CTTCTTCTTCTTCTTCTTCTTCTTCTTCTTCTTCTTCTTCTTCTTCTTCTTCTTCTTCTTCTTCTTCTTCTTCTTCTTCTTCTTCTTCTTCTTCTACTTACCGTCGTGTGTCTTCTGTGAACGACGCAGACAGTTGTACATGCTAACTTTTGCTGCCATCGAAAATCGGATTGTCAGACCCACTCTGCTCTGTGCCGATGCAGGGCGATGATAAGCTATCGAGAGCCACAGTCATCTTCTGGATTCGAGGACTTCCAAGGAGAGCAACAAGAAAATCTATCTCCGTAGACATCACTGCGATCCAGAGAGGGTGTTATGCCTTGAGACAGCAACAAGTAACGTATGATTCAGCACACTGGAAAGCTATTTCAGACTGACTATCGGCTGCTCAAACGCACTTGATGGTGCTCAGATGACCAAACACGATCCGAAAGTAAGAGGTAAAGGTTTCGAGCCAGAGATTGTTCGCCTAACCATCACCATTGCGGTGAGCATTGTAAGCAGCAGACGATCGACGATATTACCAAAGATATGAGCATGGGGGAGTACTATAGAGTGATTAGAACAATTTGCTTTGCGACTGGATAATGATCTGCAGCCTGGTCTTGATAGAAGCCGATCAGTTCTATGATTGACTAATAACACCTCGAGGCTCAAGGACGCTTTCACTGCTGCTCTAACTACACAGGAGTTTCTACGTACCACGAGTAAATCAGACTACTGTTTGTCGTACTAGGGCTAGCAACCTTTTCTGGCAAAAAGCTTCCAGAAACTGTTCAGATGCCAAATCGGTAAGGGTATTAACCAAACAGGTTTCCATGTTGTTCCTCTCAAACAATATGGATCTTTACGAGCCCTTAGGGCTGAGAGTGGCTGTGATCAAAGCCATAGTTTCACGAATTTCATCAAGGATTATGACGATGGAGATTCTAGAAGTCTGAACATATGTGTCAGATGAAACACACGGATAAGTGGCCCAAGCTGAGCAATGTTTGTCAACCGGTCTGATGGACGGTAGAGAGCAGATGGTTGTGAGGTATCAACGAGATAGTTTGGACCTATACCTCCATCAAGGTGGTGCAGATGAGCACGATGGTGAACTTGTTGTCGGCCGAGGGGGGGCAGTCGTCGGCCGTCGAAAACTCCTGCGTCGTCTATTGTCCCCAAATAGGTTAGATCGCTTTAGGGCTGCATATCGGACTAATCCCCGGAAACTCTCACATCCTTAAGCCGCGAGGATGCGACAACAACTTACACTTTAGTGACTGCGAGAAACTAGATGATCTCTTCTGTAACAGTTACATCCGCACCAGTCGCTACGTTTTAGGAGAGTGCTTATAGTTCTCTATCAGGCTTGATGCAGAAGATGATCTACACAGGGTTGCAATGGCGCCGAGCGAAAACGCTGCCAAGCTGTCGCTTCGCCTCAAGATAAGTTCGCATCCGCAATCTGAGACGTCGGCGCTCTCTTTTGATAACATGCCCTGCCGGGCCTTGCTCGTAGTATAGCATGCAGGGTTTTGTAGCCGATATTAGCATTTCAGTAGTAGATCTGTGGAACTCGATAACAGCTAGGTATATAAGAAGCTTGATGCACCTCGAAAGGTCGCTGGCTCATCACTTCTTCGTTTGTATTCTTTCTTCTTTGTCATTTTCATCCTACATCTGTCGCTCTTTCTACCATGAAATCATTCACTCTTTTCACTTCTGCTCTTGTAGCATTCGCCAGCACTGTCAGTGCTGCTGGTGTCACCGGTGCTGCCGAAGGTTTCGCTAAGGGCGTTACTGGAGGTGGTTCCGCTGCTGCTGTATACCCCTCCACCACCGACGAGCTGGTCTCGTACCTTGGTGACAGCAAGCCCCGCGTTATCATTCTGAACAAGACATTCGACTTCCGCGGTACTGAGGGTACTACCTCTGCCAAGGGCTGCTCTCCTTGGGGCACCGGCAGCCTCTGCCAACAGGCCATTGACAAGGATGGCTGGTGTGAGAACTACGAGTCTTCTGCACCCAAGGTTTGTTATATCTCTGACTCCATCTTGATCGAACTAACATCAGTCAGGTCTCTTCTCTCACTTATGACAAGGCCGGCATGATCGGCATTACTGTCAATTCCAACAAGAGTTTGGTCGGTCAGGGCAGCAAGGGTATCATCAAGGGCAAGGGTCTTCGCATGGCCAACGGCGTAAAGAACGTAATCATCCAGAACATCGCTATAACTGACCTAAACCCCCACTATGTTTGGGGTGGTGATGCTATCACTTTGGCCGGTACTGATATGATCTGGATTGATCATGTTACTGTGAGTTTTTGGTCCTTGTTCCGATATATTCGATACACATAACTAACTCTGTTACCAGACTCAACGCATTGCTCGCCAGCACATTGTCCTCGGAGAGTCTGCTTCCGGTAGAGTTACCATCTCCAACTGCGACATTGACGGTTCCTCCTCCTGGTCTGCTACCTGTGACGGCCGCCACTACTGGGCTCTCTACTTCACTGGCTCCAACGACATGATCACCTTCAAGGGCAACTACATTCACCACACTTCCGGTCGCTCGCCCAAGGTTCAGGGCAACACCATCCTCCACGCCGTCAACAACTACTGGTACGACATTGACTCCAAGGGTCACGCTTTCGAGCTTGGCCAGGGCGGTTACGTTCTCGCAGAAGGGTAAGTCAATGCTCCATCCATACTCATCGTGAATCGTGCCTTTGTCTCTGCTCAAACCTTTGAAGCTACAACATTCGTGTTCTGCTTCAAGAAATTTTGGTAGTGCTTATGGCCGGTCTGAGGCAGCATGTCCCACACTCTCTCATCCTTATACTGACGTCCATACTAGAAACAAGTTCCAGAACGTCAATGTGATCATAGAAGCTGGTGCTACTGGCAAGTACTTCACTGTTCCTGGTAGCGGTAGCCCTTGCAGCTCTTTTATTGGCCGCAACTGCCAGAGCAACGCCTTCGGCAGCTCTGGTCTCTTCTCCTCTGCCGATACTAGCTTCCTCGGCAACTTCAAGGGCAAGAACATCGCTTCTGCCGCTGCTGCCAGCTCCGTCTCTACTGCCAACGTTGGTTACGGCAAGATCTAAGCTACTAAACGTGGCTGGCTGCCTTGACCTACTCACTCCAAATCTGCGCAACTCATTTTTACTACATGCTTTAGAAGACTTAAATCAATAGACACACGTTCTATCATCGATCCCTGAACTTTTTGACCTTCCCATATTGATCCATTGCACGTGATTTTAGAAATGTATCAAAATCACTTACCATGATTGATTGAAACTTCGGCTCTGTCACGCATGACAGATACAATAGACGTACGTTGAGGCTATTCCCGAGCTGTTTAAGCGTCTTCTTGTCAAAGTCCATGAACGTCGTCGAGAAGACGGTGGCAAGTGTTGCTTTCAATGTTCGTGGCCCCGAACGGTGAAGCCTCAAAATACAAAACTATTATCTCTTCGACCATAAACGTCGTGATAGCTCCCGAAACTCCTCAACTCATTTTCCAGACTACAATACATCCAATGTACTCGTAACTAGAGCTCTAAACAGTGTTGGTGGTCGTAGAACTGTATGGGAGGTCGTGGAACTGATGTTGATAGTATGACCCTGGTCTAAGCAGCTTCCCATACTAATCTCCCACGATATCGGTCGAGACACAGCTCAGTGCGAGAGAGCGCAGCGTAGCTACCGGTGAAGTGCCGAAAACATCAAACAACACATTCACGTCTTTTGCGCCTCCATCTGAACGAGAAAGTCGGCTCTCAACAAACCGAAACTGCCTTGTTTCTTGCCGAGTCCTCCACCTCGAGCATGGCGAAGCCGTCCCGAGGTGCCGAAGGAGCGTGGTCGCCTGCCGATGCTCCACTAAAAAGCATCAATCAATATCCGGCCCATACCATAATGTTGTCCATTGATTGTCTCATTTTGTGTTGCTAGGACAAAGTTCTCTTTCGATACGATCATGATCTTACCGTCCGCTACAGCAAAGTTTGCTGATTAGCGTGGGAGGTTGTCAAGGTTCATTCTTCGGTGAGAATTTTCGTTCGCTCTACCAGTCGCAATACAAGCACATTGAACTTTATTGGCGAAAGAGGCTCTCACAACGTATCCTGTTTATTGAAAAACCTGCTACAGATGCAGGAGCTCGCTAAAGACGCCCATTGCGAATATAGCATGAAATAGCCGCAGACCATAGATCCTAATACTGCGGGCTTTATAGCACTGTTGTAGGATCAAAAGTAAACGCATCCTTCTCCGCCAAATAGGCAGGTCAGCGCAGAACCATCGAGTCGCCTACTTGTCAGCCGCCACGATATTTACAGTACAACGATGCTACCTAACAGTATCACGAATTTCGTATTCGCAAGAGTGGGATCGTGATCAATGTTCGCGCCTTCCACAGTAATGCTAAGGCGCGCGCTTGTCTGAGAAGCGCGACCCCCATCCCTGACCATTTCATGGTCGAGCCATCGTAAAGCGTGAAAGAATTTTCTACAGGGCTCCGTGCTCGAATCGATACTCACCCCCATGGAGAGCCCCACGCGCTGAACATGATCCGCGATCCCCATGGTGAAGAACGTTGAGTCAATCCCACTCTTTCACCATCCCCAAAATTGATCAACAACCGAAGTACACCGCTTAATGTTTACTCTGACACGAGATTTTGGAGGATCAGACACCTCATCACCGACTCGTGCCTTTCAGCCACCCAAGCCAGCTTAAGCCATTCCAAGACATAACAATTTCGGCAGTCGCGTGTGGCCTCCCTGTAAGCCTCGGACCAAGCAAATGCAAGCAAATCCACAACGCCACCCACGCTCGCCAGCGTTACTTGCATGCTGCTCTCCGTCGTTTCCGTGTTGGCATTGGCATGCGCCATGAAGAACGGCCAGTCCTGAATACTCTCGCATCTCGAACAGGTAAGCCTAGGCTGGAGCTGCCACTTACTCAGCTATACCGCTCGAAGATTACCTCTGTGGTGGTTGTGCCACTACTATAGAGTTTGTTTTGATAATTTGGCACAAGCTCGATGGAATTTCAGAATCGAGCGTGCGAGTTAGGGCGAGAGAAAAATTCTGCCCCAGCTTCGCGATCCAACTCCAGTGGGGATTGTTCGGAGGGTTTGACAATTCAGGCATGGCGCTTCCTTCTGGGTGACACGATCTGAGATGGTGATCCACTTCGGTCTTCGCCGCATGGTCTGACTGTACAAGGATGTCTGACGTTCGGCACCCCGTGGAAAGCATGCCGTGTTGCAAGGGGCCGAAGCGTGAAGCGCTCCCGACTTTCTTCCCCGAGTCTCCACTTCCTCCCCAAAGCTCTCCACAGAGTCCACACACACGCAAATTGAGGGCATCCCCACAGCACGCGAGACAAACAACTCATGATCACTCCCTAATGCAAGACCAAAGGGTAAACGGTCACATGGTTTGAGCCACCAGATAGAGGTCATGTCATGTACAGGAAAGTACATGTTCTTTGGTTGCATCATGAACTCCGCATCTGGAAGCTGAAGACATCTCTTTGAGGAGCCAATCATGGTCGGCTAACATGTACGACCAACCCCGTACTCCAAACGTTCTAGGGTTAGACACCGCGGGAAAGGTGGGATGGTCGCGGAGCACAAGCTCAGTCTCATTCGGTTTTTTCCAGTGCAATTTCTAGACTTTATTTATTGCAAACATATTCGTAGTCTGCTCAAGGGAGATCGGAACCGTTTTTGATTTGACATCTACTGTTCGTCATGGTGCTCGTCATGGTCAAGAAGCACAAGACGATGAAGCATTAGAGGCTGCGAGCTTGTAATTCGAGACCGCAAGATTATTGGATGGTCGAGGCTGGGCTTGCTCGGCCAGTCCTGGCTCGACGTTGGGTGGACCGTTAGTCTAAACCCACCTGAAATTTGTAAAGCTTGCCCGACGTCCCGTTGGTGAGGATGCCGGCGAAACCACTTGTTTGCTTGCCAATCAAAAGTTCTAGATGGCTTAACGATCGGGCCATGTGACTGGCCCCGAGCGCTGAACGGCCATTTTCACGTCGTAGCTCGCCGAAGCAGGCGCCTTCGAGGTCTGCATTGGGCTAGTTCGAGATGTTCTCGCCGTAAGATGGGGCCACGCGGGGATCGAGTCGAGCGAGAGTGAAGGAATACATAAACACGGCTTCCACCCTGCTCTGTACATGCTCGTATCTCACAAACAGTTCCTTCCCTCACAAGCAACCGCCAAAATGCCTGGTGCCATGCTTGCTACCACTGCTGATGTCAATCAGATTGAGGCTCCAGTCACCTGGAAGGCCTACCTGATTTGCGCCTTTGCTTCCTTCGGAGGTATCTTCTTCGGTTACGATTCCGGTAAGATCGCCTCTTTTACACTTGACTAGACCCTTCAGTGCCTAATCATTGGTATAGGTTACATCAACGGTGTTACTGGTTCCCCCGTCTTCATCGAGCTCATCGAGGGCGCTGGAAAAACTTCTCTCTCTGGTTCTCACAACTCTCTCATCACTTCTATCCTCTCTGCCGGTACCTTCTTCGGAGCCATCATCGCTGGTGATGTCGCTGATACCATCGGTCGTCGTTGGACTGTCATCATTGGTTGCGCCATCTACATCGTTGGTGTCATTCTTCAGGTTGCCTCGCACGGTCTCGGTTTGATTGTCGCTGGTCGTCTCGTTGCCGGTCTCGGTGTCGGTTTCGAGTCCGCCATTGTCATTCTGTACATGTCTGAGATCTGCCCTCGCAAGGTCAGAGGTGCTCTCGTCTCTGGTTACCAGTTCTGCATCACCATCGGTCTCCTGTTGGCTGCTTGCATCAATTACGGTACTAAGGACATCAACAACACTGGCTCCTACCGTATCCCCATCGCTATCCAGTTCATCTTCGGCCTCGTCCTTGCTGGCGGTCTCTTCTTCCTTCCCGACTCTCCTCGTTACTTCGTCAAGCGCGGTAATGTCGAGGCTGCCCGCAACGCCTTGGCCAGACTTCGTGGCCAGCCCGGTGACTCTGACTACATTGAGGCTGAGCTTTCCGAGATCGTCGCCAACGAAGAGTACGAGCGCTCCATGATCCCCACCTCCGGTTGGGTTTCTGGCTGGGCCAACTGCTTCAAGGGCTCGCTCTGGACCCAGAACAGCAACTTGCGCAAGACCATCCTCGGTACCTCTCTTCAGATGATGCAGCAGTGGACCGGTGTCAACTTCATCTTCTACTACTCCACTCCTTTCCTCCAGTCTACAGGTGCCATTGGCAACCCCTTCTTGATCTCCTTGATCTTCACCCTCGTCAACGTCTGCTCTACACCCATCGCCTTCTACACTGTTGAGAAGTTCGGTCGTCGTCCTCTCCTCATCTGGGGCGCCTTCGGCATGTTGATCTGCCAGCTTATCGTTGCCGTTGTTGGTGTTACCGCTGGTTTCAACCACACTCACCAGATCCCCAACCCCGCTGGTGGTGACCCTCTTACCCGCGCCAACAACATTGGTGCTGTCAACGCCCAGATTGCCTTCATTGCCATCTTCATCTTCTTCTTCGCTTCCACCTGGGGTCCTGGTGCCTGGGTTCTGATCGGTGAGGTCTTCCCTCTTCCCATCAGATCTCGTGGTGTCGCTCTCTCCACCGCCTCCAACTGGCTCTGGAACACCATCATCGCTGTCATCACTCCTTACATGGTCAACGAGGACAAGGGTAACCTCAAGTCTTCTGTTTTCTTCATCTGGATGGGTCTCTGCACTTGCGCGTAAGTTCTCAACTTTCCCAAAGTCATCCTGGATCTTTCCATAAGGCCCAGTATGCTTACACACTCTTACTCATGCTGATTAAACGTCTAGATTTGTGTACTCCTGGTTCCTAGTGCCCGAGACCAAGGGACTTTCTCTCGAGCAGGTTGACCGCATGATGGAGGAGACCACTCCCCGTACTTCGGCCAAGTGGAAGCCCCATGAGACCTTTGCCACCTCCGTCGGTCACGCCAACGGTGGTAAGCTTGACATGGAGGTTGTCGAGGATGTCGAGAGAAAGGGTAGTGTCTTCTAAGCGACACGTCCCTCCACCTCAGTCCATATATCGGAAAATGGCGACGGCCGAAGACTTGGCAGCCAAAGCTTCATTGTACTTTTTCGTAATACCCATCACCAAAAATTAGTATACCACTAATTCACTTTCTACTTTACCATCAACCTACTTCCTTTTTTGTCTCGTCGTGATTGAGTTGTGTTGATCGCCAGATCGGCAGTGAACGGCTGGCCCGGGGCAGCTGACCCCGAACGTCGAGATCAGGTACCGCCGAAATTCGTTCCGATATTTTCGTTTGCAAATTATTGACTCTCATCTCGTTGATCTTCCGCTAACTAGCAACAGATCCAATATTCTTGACGCTCGTTATTCCCATAATTCACACTGGTTACAAATTCAACCGTCAAACCGCTCTGCTTGACTGTACAAGGCTCTTCCTGGGAGCGACCCTTGTTCAAACAGCCACTCTCCTGGTCGATCTACCCCGCTCGAAAAGCATCCTGCATTTCCACAGCTGCATGCGACAAGTTTCAGCACATGAGAAGCGAAATTTCCTTCGGCCGATGTCCCACATCTCAAAGTTTTATCACACTGGAGTGAGTTCTCCTTCGGCCGATGTCCCGTGGTCTCGCTTTCGATGTCAAGCTCGAAATCCTAAAAACGGTCATCGTGCAAAGGCACCAAAGTCTACTCCACTGTCGGATTACGATCTTCCCGGGTCCCTCTATGACCCTCTCTTTTGTGTCTCGACCACGCGCCCTTGTGTCACGCAGTCATCTGGACTTTTTCGCCGCACGTCTAGAGTAACTGCGTTTCGTATTACACCCACAAATGTCCTCGATCCTCGGAGATGGTCATCTGGAGAGCTGCAATTTTGAAATGTCAAACGAGTGGACTGGTAAGCGCATCGCATAACATAACGTCAACGGGAATGAACAAGCAACAGCCATTTCGGCGCAACGCTTTCCTTTGCTTTGCTTTGCTTCGGGTTTCTTTTCTTGTGTGGATAAGCAAAGCTGCCAAGCTACTTGGCTCGCTCGCGTGACGCGGTTCGCCTTCGTTTTCGAGGTCCATGACGACTCGGCAACTCTCATAAACAGCATGTCGCCATGGCCTACGCTTGTCGTGATGCATCTTGAAAGTAAAACAACTGTGCTCGGGAGAGCCTGCTATATGCCTGCTCCCAATTCGCAGTCTCCTGTCGACAAAGTTGTGATTCTTGGCAGCAAGTATTTGAAACTTCTCGACGGCGAGAGACATCGAATCTTCTGTAAAAGTGAGATTTGAAAAACTCATACCAGTGTCTTCTTGCAAGAGCTCAAGCTGTAGGTATCCAGGCGACATGGTCAGTGGCACACACACACATTGCCAAGTCACCCATGCGTACAAGCCTCAGCTCTTGCAACACCACATGTGGAGATATCGTGAGCAGCGTGGCCTCGTGCGACCTTCATGCGAAAATCTTGCCACGTCCACGTCGTCGAGCATACGCGTGTGTCCGCGAGGCAAATTGAGGGGTCAAGAGATTATGCAGTAAGGTCAGTCGTACACACATACTGCTATAGAATAAGATGCTTTCCATTCCCTGACTTTCACCACCTTGTTTCTCAATCTGTCAAGTCACATCGGAATCATCAAACCGAACTACACAAGAATCACTGAAAGACTCCAAAATGCACCAATCACTTCTCACCTGCTTCACATTGGTCAGCATCACACTCGCCCAAAACCTCACAACACCTTCCTCGACAAACTCTCTCTTTGCAGCCCAAGCCTCATCAAACTTAGCAGCACAATCCTCTCTCATAGCTCTAGCCCTCGACTCAATCTCCTCAGTCGCAGAAACAGCAACCGGAATCTACAAATCCCAACTCCAAAGCCAATACTCTGCTTACTCGTCCGAAGCGTATGGCGGGCTTTCCACTCAAGCAATCGCTATAAGTTCTCAATTGGGCTATTCAAGTCTTGTGGCGTCGAGTATGCAGATATCGAGCGGAAGTTTCATGACTGGGTCGATGTCTGGGATGACGAGTGCGTCGCCTACGTCGGGGTCGGTGGGAGGTATCGTTAGTGCTACTGTGCCTTCTTCGCCTTCTGGATCGATGACTTCGGCTTCTGCTTCGTTCAATGGGTCCTCGAGTTCGTCGGGAAGCAGAAATTCGGCGTCCTCTCCGACTGGCGGGTCTGTGGCTACAGGATCTTCGGACTCTTCGTCTTCTTCTTCTGCTTCATCGAGTTCTTCTGTAGGAGCTGCTGCTGTTATTCTTCCTGCTTTTGGTGGCTTGGCTGGTATTTTGCTGATGCTGGCCAACTTGTTGTGATTGCTATACACCCGGAACCCTTTTTCTCGCATGAGTGTACTCGAATTGTGGTAGTGAATATTCTCAGTACCTCTTTTGTGGGAGTCTTCCGCTCCAAACTCATGTCTAGGATCGCAAGTGCTTGTGGGAGTGCACAATGTTCAGTTTAGCGCTAGCATACTTTGGGTGAACAGTAAGTTCACAACTATCCTTCAAACACATTCCTGATTATCACTAGAAACAATCGTGTGATTTCACAGCTACTGTGTGTTTGCTACGTCTTACCAATCTTGAAAGAGTATAATGCTCCAGACAAGATAACTCCGCCCTTGTCCGAGGATGAGCAAGAGCGTGGTCTGCCCAACGCCAACTCAACCCTTCCGAGCAGCAACCATATGGGTGATACGGCTGATAATATCCCTGAGAAGCTCTCCCTGCTCTTCATCTGTTAATCGGGACATGGCTGAATCCGAGGTATCTGACGGCTCGGGAAGAGCTTGTGGTCCTGCCAGCGCTGGTTGTGTGTGATTTGGATTGATTGGCAGGGTCTCGTCGGATGAACTGCTCAACTATTAGTTCATGACATCTCTACGGTTCTTTGGTACACACATGGAAGTTGCATTAGGGCCCAATATGGAAAGCTGCGAAGAATGAGGAGGTTGAGGAGACTGCAGGGGCCGAGGTGTGCCTAAGAGCTCGGCGAGGTCGGGATAGGCCCTCCACAGTAGTGCATCGCCATCTGTGAGTTGGTGCTGAGGGAAAGGCTGTTGGAGGAACCTCGCCATATCATTAGATGACCAAAATGGCGCGTAACCCTGTGGGCGTTGAGAGGATTGGGAAGCTTGGAGGTCTTGTGAAGGCTCAACAATAGGAAGGTTCACGGGAGAACCCATTAGGGGGGGGGGGGGGGGGGGGAGTGGTTTGAAGCCATGTGAGCTGAGAAGGTAGCGTATCTATGGCGTCGCGTGGCTAACTGTAGAACTCGCCGATGACACTTTTCTTCGCCTGTATTAGACCGCTGAGCATCCATGCGAGAGCAATACATACCATTGTATCTGTCCACGCATCGTCCTCGAAGTCCACGTTGTGCTGCATTATATCTAGAATTGCACGCACCAAGCACTCACGGGCACGAGTGCTGTTGAGTCGAAGGCCATCGCAGAAAAGCACGGTGTTCTGGTGAGGAACCTGGGAACTACCTGAGGAACGGCCCGAAAACATTTCTTCGTCATGCATACTGATGGGGTTCAATCCAACTCGCTTGAGTGTGACGAGAACTGGTGGGTTGCTGGTTGGTTTGGTATGCCCAAAGACTAAGACATCGACAGTCTTCCAACGTGAATCCACCCTTTTCTGGCGTGCCTCTACTTTCAGAATCAAGATGCCCCTGTATGACCATTCGTCAATAAACTTGACGCGAGGCCATCGGCCTGCACGTATTGCCTGAACGCCGGGTAATTCGCTGGAATTGAGGGATGGCGATTCCGGCGGCCCGGAGGACCTTCCTGGACGATTCTGATCGGACATCGTGGTTCGTGCGCTGGAGTTGTAGTAATTGATGTGGGTAGCAATGGTCTGTCGTGTTGGCGACACGATGAAAGGATCTTGTAAATGGGGATGTAACGAAAAGGGCAAAAGAGACTTCATCAAGGTACGTGTTGTTGAGCTTCGTACAGCAGAGGAGGCAGCTGCTGTCGGAAGGAAACCACCTTCCTGTGGCTAAATGCGCTTCAGATATGACCCTGACTTGCGACAGCTTCGCGAAGATCGACGCTTCGCAAGAGAAGCCACCAAAAAGAAAAGAAGAAGCGACAGCCGGGATTGTCAAAGGTCCATGGTCCATCAACGTGACTTTAGTTTGAAAAGCGTCTTGCCTTACGACAGTCGTACATTGGGCAGCGTCCAGCTGAAGAGAAGTGAACCGAAACTGGCCAGGTGATACATTTCGATGAGAAGTCCACCAATTTGGCGCCGGCTGTCTTATCATGACAAGATCATAGCCTTGCTAAAGTTTCCTATACGGAGCGATCGCTAAGAAATAATTGCATCACTTCCTCTGTACTTTATTGTGCCCTGACCGCTAGGTCCTAAGATCAAAGCTGGACCGAGAGGTTAGTTTCCAACAAAGCATTGGATATTTCTGTTCGATGCGTTCTTCCTGATGCATAAGGTTTAATCTGTTTGAAGGAACCCGTTGATCAATGACACCAGGTGAAATAGGGATGGTCGGTGTTTGCACGGCTGAAACATTATAGCACTTGCTTGTCGATGCTCTTACCTTTCTAGTCCGAAGATTGGACTCGCAAGTGGACACGGCATTGCGACAGACTCAAACGAAAAGCGCGAACGGCGGATGTATATATGTGCGAGCCTAGCATATATCTTTGATGGTGCGCAACGTCACCTCTGACCAGCGGCAGCGCGTGCGACTCAGACCGAATAACAAGGTGGATCTTGATAGTCGCCGCGAGCGACCCTGAGTGTATACGCATACGGCATCTGAGCGGAATCGATGTCGAGAGTAATGCGAATCAGTGGTTGCATGTTGAGACGAAAGATGTGATGTGGATGGGTTGTGACGGGCGGGTCTTGGCGGGGCGGCCTCTCCAGTGAGCCGGAGAAAGCCCGGGTAAGCGAGAGTGGACGAAATCTGCGTGCGATCTGCTCAGCGTTTTCGTGAACGGACGACAACGACAACCCTCGACAACCCCTCTTTGTGAAGCCATCTAATGTGAGTCGCTTCACTGATGGCTGTAGAACCTGCGACTGGATAGATGCGGCGACCTATTTTGCGCAAATTGGGCCTTCGATCGATCAGGACCGACGTGGTGGACAGTTGAAGGAGAAAAAATCGAATCGCCATACACACAATCTTCGACACGCGAGCGACACAAATCACCGCACCCTCCTCAATCCTTCTCTGCCACCGCTGCAAGTCCTGCCGATCAATCCAATCTTGCAACAAGTTGCCGTATCGACACTCTTCGCGCCTTCTCAGCCGTCACGCACGCTTTCAATCAGGAACAAGACACTGACCGACGCTTTCGCGTAACAGCCTTCATAATTCGACAATATGGGTATCTCTCGCAGTGGTAACTGGAAGCGCTCCGCCTCTGGCGCTAAGCGGTAATTATCTACTGTCACCCTGTACATATTGGGAAACACATTCGCTGACATCCTGTCCAGCATTCCCGCCAACAAGAAGCGCGGTACGTAAATCAAACTGGTGTCTAACACCGTAACCCGATCGCTTGACGAACTGTCTTTCTGACTTTTCGTCTCTACAGCTTTCGAGAAGGGCCGTCAGGCTGCCAACACCCGTATCGGTGCCAAGCGTATCCATCTCGTGCGCACCCGTGGTGGTAACCGCAAGTTCCGCGCCCTCCGTCTCGACTCAGGCAACTTCTCCTGGGGCTCCGAGGGTGTCTCCCGCAAGACCCGTGTCATCGGTGTCGCCTACCACCCTTCCAACAACGAGCTCGTCCGTACCAACACCTTGACCAAGTCCGCCGTTGTCCAGATCGATGCCGCTCCTTTCCGCCAGTGGTACGAGGCCCACTACGGTGCCTCCCTCGGTCGCCGTCGCCAGGCCAAGGGTGCCGAGTCCGAGGAGGTCAAGAAGTCCAAGTCCGTCGAGAAGAAGCAGGAGCTCCGCACCAAGGCCTCTGGCAAGGTCGAGTCTTCCATCGAGAAGCAGTTCGAGGCCGGTCGTCTCTTCGCCGTTGTCGCCTCGCGCCCCGGCCAGAGCGGTCGTGTTGACGGCTACATCCTCGAGGGTGAGGAGCTCGCCTTCTACCAGCGCGCCATCCGCAAGTAAACCATGACCCGTCGCTAAAAACGAAGGATTCTGGGTTACGAGGGGTTTACTCGATCATGGCTATACTACACACATCATGGTCGGGCGTCGTTGTTCATGACTTTTGGCTTTCGCAGAAAAAGACAGCAAAAAGTACTGTTTTAGCTATGCCAACAAAATCTTCTCTTGTTCCTCAAAAAAAAAGTTCAAAGCCTTTCGAATACCCCCTCATATATGATGATAATGTCATGAGATGATTGTGCTTTTAGTATTGAGATTTTTGCTTTCCTATTGCCCATCGTCCTCGCGCCTCTCGTTAATCTCTGTCTGACCATGCGTATTGTTCTTGATCATCAATCATGTCTCATTGCCGCTCGGTCTACCCATGTCACACAGCGTATTATGACCTTGCTTATTCTTTTCTTCATGTCATTGCATCTCCGCGTCCTTAATTCTTGACAGGTAGATCCAGATCAACGACAAAGGCCGCGTTGACAGGATCGTACCCAACATCCATAATCGCCGCATTAACCATCAAAGTCTGCTCGCCCCTCCTGATCTCCTTGCCTCCCTCCTTAGTCCCATCCACGAATACTGCTCTCTTACTCTTGACCTCTTTCTCCGTCACTTTGACTCCCTCGGTCCTTTTGATGTGCTTCTTCCATCCTTCTGCCTTGAACTGTGCAATCGTCTCCGTCTCGCTGGACTCTGTAGCTTTGTCCCATGTCACGGTCTCAGCACCCCAGCCTTCGTGAATATGGCCGAAGCAGTGAATCAGTGGCTTTGCTCTTGAGACCGCTGTGAGGAGGTGTGGACAACCGACGTTCCCGTGTGCTGTAATGTCGCCGTGCTTCCAGGGTGGGCCATGCGTGCAGATGACATCGATTGCCTTTTCCGAGAATGAGGAAATGGGATTGACAGCGATGTTTTCGGCGTCTGAGAGAGTGTTGGAGGGCGGGTTGTAACGATCCTGATGTTTTTGGTAGGGGAAAGCCCAATCATAGAACTCTGGTTGATAAGGACTCGCATGTAGCTGCGAATGATTAGCTTTCAAAGAGAAGGCAAAGGAAGACAAACTCACAGTCAAAATAGTTCCATTACCCACATCAATCTCATGCAACCCCTCCTCCAACATCGTAACTCCCTCCTTCCTCGCCCTCCCATTCTTTCCAAACCAAATCTCCCTCGCCTCCTCATAGGTCTCTCTCCATTTCTTGCCCCACAGCATTCTTTCATGAGTTCTCATCCACTCTTTATCCAATGTGCGATCATGGTTTCCCGCAATCACTAGTTTTACAGGTGCGTCGATTGCAGCAAGCATGTCAAGGGTTTTCCTGTACTCAGAAGTCAACCCTTCCATGGTCAGGTCGCCACAATGTATTAGAACATCTGCCGAGGGTAATGGGTGTCGGAATGGTTGGGAGGCAGAGGGGGTTTCGAGAGGGGTGGAATGCGTGTCGCTGATTATTAAGATGCGGGTTTTCACTGTGCCAGAAGGCGGCATTTTGGATGGGACTGGTTGTTTGGTGAGAGAGCTGGATTTGAAAATGCGCCTGATGCTCTGCATGTTTGGAAGTTGCGTTGAAGTGGGGTGTTGCAATGTGGAGTTTGGCGGAGCTGTTGCATGTGATTTTGCGTGCGTCACAGCCTACAGGGTTGGCGAGCAGGTTAGTAAGCTTGGTGTAACCTGCCTGTCTCGACGTATCAAGCTTGAAGTTATAGTGAAGCACGAGTGATTCGGGAGACAGAGCGGTTTTGGACCCAGAGCTCTTGTCTTGACAGCTTTCCGTGGAGGCTCTCGTCCGCCGTGGAGCAATTGTGCCCTCTCCCAGCTTTCGTTTCCCCCTCACGTCGACACTCAGAAGAACAGATAGATTGCGCAAAGTATACAGAATTAACAAAATGGGTATCTAGAAGATAGCTGAACAGATGAACAAAATCAAACTTTCCACCACTATCAAGATTCAAACATTAAAATCTCGTCCTGCTGCTCGCCCGACTGTGACTTCTAGTCCCACCATCACCACTTTTGTCTTTGCTTCCTAGACTCAAGAAACTCAACCGCTTCTTGATGGAAGCACGGCGTCCTCTAGGCTTATGAGCTGTCTGCTCGGTCTGCTGAGTATCAATGGTCAACACTTCACTTGATGCTCTCTCCCTCATCGCTGCAGGCATCTGCGGTATTTCGGTATTCTGCCATGCCGCAGATCTCAGTCGCCAATCTCTTGATGGATAGATGGCATGCAACTCCATCAAAAAGCTATCCTCGAAGTTCGACCGGAGAATCTCTTTGATGTGGGTAGGAATGAAGGGTGAAGAGATGGCGAGTTCGATGCTGCGCGCGTGGTCCTCAAGTGATATGATTAGGGTATCACGTAGTTGCATCTCTTTGGTCTTCACCTCGCCGTACGCATCATGGTAGATGCTCTGCACTTCCGCCATTGTATTGGTGGCCGTGCTACTCGTGGCTGGACGTGATTGGAGTGTTTCGAGCAGCTTGTGGTACTCAGCCACACTGCCACCAGTACTCATGTCCACACTCGCCTGTATAGTCTCGACCAGTGTGTCAACATGTGACTCTCCTTTACTAGCCGTTGAGTGTGTCGCGACTGCTATATTCAGCGTTTTACGTTGCGTGCGGTCGATGGCAGCTTGGACAGGCGTCAAGACCACTCTTTCCTCCCTGACTATAGAGTTGTAAGAGAGCAGTGTTGGGAAAGCAGTCTCAGTGTAGAATACGGTCTTCTCGACGATCTGATCCACAACGCTGATTGACGGGTTGTCGTGGCGACTTGTCATCGCAAACGCTATCGGCTGAGCGGTGAGACAGTGTTCTCTAAACCCTGGTGCGACTCCGCCTTGCTGGTTGATGGGATGCAATTGATTTTTGTATACTGTGACTGGACTGATCTTGACAGTGGGATCCTGCGATGCTGCTGTAGGATGTGCATAATCAGGTCCCAAATTCACAACGTACGGATACTGAACCTGGAGCAATGTTGCGAAGCTCTTACGATCGCAATTTGCAGGGCCCTCGAAGATAAAGTGTCTGCCACGGACGGACTCTGGGAAGAGTTCATGGCTGCTGAAAGCAACGTAGAAGTACCGAGGTAGCGGTACTGGTCCGGCAGCCAGAGTATTGAAGATGCGAGCCTCGTCGAATCGAACTTGTGCAATACCAGCAGCATCCCAGGTAGCTTCGCGGCCCTCAGAAAGGTGTTTGAGAGTCTTCAGCACATTCTCCCAGCAGTAGCCCTTTTCAAAGTATGTAGCCATTGTCCGATACAGGCGATCTCTACGTGACTGAACCAGCTCTGCAGGAGTTTCCAGTCCTGGCACCGTTGTTGGGGAGAGCACTCTAGACGGCTGGCTCTCGTTCAAGACTTCGACGTGAAGATTGAGAGTACATGCTGCGCTAGAATAGTTCTTGGCTTGCACATGAAGCTCTGCAAGCTCATGAATGCGGCACACGTATGCTTCCTCCTGACCACTTAGTCGCAAGAATTCCATGAGGCGGATCAACTGCACCATGCGAGAAGCAGGATCCGTTACTTCGCCTAAGTCAGCTAATACATTGAACAAGCGATCGACCTCAGCGATCACGTTCATGACAGCTTCATAAAGCACATCTAGCTCAGTATCTTTGATAACGACAAAATGCTTTCCAAGTCGTTCCAAGAAAGCGGATGCAAACGGACTCTGTATCGCGGAATCTTCACGGTGCATAGTGTCGAAGGCGTTGATGATAGCCGCTTGAACAACACCCAAGTTCTCATTCAATTGCCATTCACTGACAATGATTGAGCGAAGAATGTCAAGGCCAACAGACTGCAGTTGGTCGTGAAGACCCATGCAAAGCCTGACTACAGACGGAATGACCTCAGTAGATAAGCCGACTTGGTATCCGCCAACCCGATCCATTGGATAAAGCACTTGAAGATACTCTGGCGGAGCTTGCCAACCGAGACAAGCCCATCCCTTCTGGAGAAGTGTGGCAGCGTCCGCTCGAATATCGCCGCCAATAGTCCAAATAGCGCGTCTCGTCTGCTCAGTGAAAGATTCCATAGACACCATCTTGCCCAGAGCTAGCTCAATCAGTATCTGGAACCAGAGTTCCCATAGATCAGGGTTGAACTCCATGACATCATTGACACCGCTGTCGTCCTCGGAAGGTACAAAATTGGCAGCAAGAATCTCGAGTAGCCACTGAAGAGCAGATACTGCGACCTTCGCATGTGTTACATGTAGACTGAGCCATTGTGTGGGAAATGCTTCTCCACTCTGGATAGACTTGAACACCTTGAAGGCCTTCACAAGAAAACCTTGCTGCATTATCTTCGAGTCGGACGGGGTTCCGCTCATGAACAGCTGGCCTTGAGGGGAACCACTTTGGAAGAATGAATCCAGCACTGCGGCAATCTCCATAAGTACTTCAGAAGGCACGTTCTCTGCATCGACTGCCAGGCTCAGGAATGGATAGTGATCTGGAAACAGATACGAGAGTGACTTTCTCGACCTGTTAATAGATAGTGAAGACACTCTCCCGTCACCTCCGCTTTTTACAAATTCGTTAAGAGTGTGATATGCTTCCACGAGTCTCCAGATGTATTGCAGAGCTTGTGTCGAGATGGGAATTTTTGCTTGTTGAGTTCGCAATATCGAGCAACACATCCTGACGCCCTCTATCTTCTGCTCGGTCAAATTCGAAGCGTCTGGCCAATAGTCTTCAAGCCATGTGAGTGTAACAGCGTGGAGCTTGGGCAGTACATCGGGAGCAGAGAAAGTCTCTTGGCCGGATAATTCTTTGACCATGATCAGCCTGTGAATCCGCAGACCACCCCTTTTGCTGACAGATGCATTCATCATATTATCAACCACGTCCAAAATGTCATCGGCACTCATTGCATGAGCAAGCTCAGGCAGCCAGGAAGAGAACTGCTGCATCAAGATCGTCTGAGTTCCGTATAGGTCCTCCCTTGGGTTACGCATCAGATTTACCAATGCCACTACCACAGAGGAAACTGCGTTACTCAAAGATGAGGTGCTACGTGGCGACCCGGATTGGCTGCAGTTTGTGACAAACTTCATGACCTGGCCAGAAACTTTGAGGGTGCTGCGAAGTTCTCTTGCATCTTCAACCTCATAAGGCCTGCTGATGAAAGCACGCAAAGCCCTGCACACGCCTTTGGCGGCATCGTGCGAGTGCTGGCGCTCGTGGATGTATTCGTCGAAGAGGGTCTTTGTATTACTGAATCGACGATCACGAGTAAGATGGAGCATGTGGATTAGGCATGACAACGCACGTTCAGTGAAATTCTCGCCCAGGTTTACACCGGTACCAGTGTCATCGGCGACTCGGTAGAAGACACTAAAGATCTTGTCAAGCGCAGTCAAGACCGGCTTGAAGAACTTGACAATCTCTGCATCTGGAGCTTGTTTGAATCCTCCCAGTAATGGCATGAGACCCTGAACGGTGGTACCGTCCCATTGCAAGAGTGAGCTGATCGTTGGATCTTGAGGTGTGGTGCTGCTGCTCAATGTGACGTCTACTGACAATGCAGCCATTGGTGTGTTCTCCTGTACTTGTAATTGATCCATACGAGATGGTAGCATTTGGTAGGCGCCTCTGCCGTGAACAGTACTAGCAGTGTATTCACTGTAGTCCCAGAGAGCCAAAGTTTGATGACCATGTGTACAAACTGCACCTTGATGATCCCACAAAGGTATCCAAGCGAGCGCGAAGGGAAATTGATTGCCTTCGGCAATACTGAGAACTACATGGGCGTGAGAGAGATCTTCGTTAGGCACAGACAAACGGATAGTCTGGTTCCAAATTTCGCTGCGATCAATGGCCGATGTCCTATATGCAGTGTGTGGTGGACGGTTCGATGCTGGCCAGATAGAGTTGTCAATGCGCTTGCCAGATTCAGTCCGTACTTCAAGTGTCAACTGCAGGTTTCTCAAATCGGCTTCATTGGGTATAAGTACACTGCCTTCTTGAGGATGGAAACAGCGGGCACCAGACGGTAACACTGGCTCTCTGAGAGTCAGGTAAACATCACTGCGCTGCTGAGCCGATCCGGAAGACAGGTTTAGTGCTTGGGTGCAGTACACATCTCTCAGCATTGCAGGATGATCTTTGATGAGAGCGTCTGCGTTCGGATGAGCGAATGCATGCAAATCTAGTTGGAACTTCCCAACCGATGGTGCTTGAGTGAAGCTACCCATTGGACTCCGGACAAGGTTCTTGATGACTTCTTCCCATCCATTGACACCCGCGATAGGTTCTTCGATGACTTCTTCGAACGCCTCGGCTGGAGTCCACAGTGATATATTGTGAGTAGCGTTCCCATGCTGGCGGATGAGCTCGCCGATCTCGATCGCGCCATATCCAATCACTCGTCTTAGTTTCTTTTCTGCTGTTGCAGGGCGGCCTTGAGTATCTACCACTACTGGTGTCTGCGGTCTGCCTCTCAATTTCGATCTGGAAGATTCTCGAGTTGGTGGACGGGCTTGATCTTGCGAAGTGCTTCGCTCGAGATTCTTGCGACCTCGTTGACTACCCCACAGGAAGCTGCGCCGTGCACCTGTACTTTCCGATCGACTGTGGGATTCTGGTCTGTCTGTTTGAGGCGTTGCTTGAGAAGGTGCGATCGTTCGCTTTCGTGGAGCTTCTTCTCGATGAAGCAAGCAAACAAGGTACAGATGAGAGCTCGGGTCAGTTGCACTGCCAATCTCCGCTTTTGTCAAGTCTGTGAACAGAGTTTTTGGTAGTTGATTTGGCGTAAGATTTTCGATAGAGTGACGGTCGAACGGCACTTCCACAGCGAAGACTTCAGACACAGCGCGTGGCACGGAATCCGACGCTTGACGGCACAAGTACATGTGCAGAATCCCAGACTCGCCATTTGTGTCACCAGTTTGTTTGAGATCCACTAGCAAATGCGATACCAACGACTCTTGAGCGGGTGGTGGAGGAGGTCTGTCACGCATACTCATCAAGGCTTGCAGTTCCAGCATTTCTGGAATGCTGTCTTGCGCCGTGAGAATGCGGCCCTTTTCCTGGGGACTGCGAACGATAACCTCTCCATGAAGCAATTTGTTTCCTTCAACCAGGTCCCAGACAGTTCTTTCTCTCAACGAGGCAAGCTCTTTCTCAGTGAGAAGATCATGAATCAGTTGTTTGCGCGCATTGTCCAATCTGCCTGCTAGATCCGACAATTTCTCCAGGAGATCGTACTCATGGTTTAGTACCAACTGGTGCACATGTGTGGAGTGCCATTCACGCAGACACGAGGAGATTTCATCAACCAGGGGCTCTTCGTTCGAGAAGGGGGTCGCATCACCAATGCGAAGAGCAGGAAGAGGGGCTTCGTCCTTCAGAGCACCTATCGGTCTCGGCTGAACGTTAATAGGCAGTAAATGCGTATCGTTGGGCTTGCGTGGGAACAGGCGTGTCCGTCTTTTTGACTTTCCTCGACGCGGCGCATTGGTCGGCATCTCAATGGTGTCGTCGCCATTCTGAGCACCACCATTCGCTTGAGCAATGTCCGATGTTTCCTTCTCTTCTTGAACAGCCTGACTGTCGTCGTCGGCCAGCACCTCCCTGATTTCAATGCAATTGCGTGGGAAGATTCCAGCATAGGCTCGAGGCATCAGCGCTTGGCCATTCTGACAGTCCAGACCAGTCAGAATCGAGGGTTGCGACAGGAGCCAACCTCGACACCACTCGTGAGCAGTGCCGCCTATCTCGGTAACGTAAACGTCGTCGCCAATCTCGAGAGCAACATTGTTGGCGTGTGTCGCTTCAAATCGCTGTACGCACACAGCATGTACAATATTCTTGACCGGGCGCCACGACATGGGTATGCGTCTTGCTTCTTCTGTTCATGTATGCGCAGTCTTCCAAGAATTCACAGAGTGTCGCGAGTCGCTTGGGCCTAGCGGAGAGCGATCGGGTCGAACACGGAGCGAGGAAGGCGGCTTGAAGCTAGAGTGGACGAGCAATGTTTCCAGAGCCGAATGGCTGACGAGCGACTATGGCGATATGTAACTTTGGAAGTGCACCAAGGGCGCAGCTGTAACAGCAAGAAGGTTTGAGGTCGCTGCCGTCGTTTCGGATACCTAGGTCTGCGTCTACACGTCCGCGCGTTGCTTGCTATCGTCGACTGTCTCTGTCGGCTCGCTGCTACTTGTGATGTGACGGGCGTGATCTACAGCAAACCAAGGCCTCTTTCACCATCAATGACTCCTATACCAGCCGTCAACGAACGCGTTCAGGGTACTCTACCCAAAGGTTATTTCGGGTTGCTCCAAATGGGTCCATCGCACGGACCATCTCATCTTCCTTGGAGGTCGCACTGTCTCAGCATCGACCGTAGATCCTACATCTTTTGCAGCCATTCCGTGTGTTTTGTGTCCATCACAGCTGTCGCCTGTCCATGATAGTACTTGTGCCGTCGTTAGGCTGGTCGTGAGAGAAAACTTCACGCTGATCAAGTCCCGAGATCCGCTCGGACTCTTGACGCGCTGTTCTGGTCCTGCTTGAACGGCTTTCGTGTACAAGACTACGTCGTGCTTCTAACTGCAGTAAGGCACGGTACTTTTCGAATCTGGTATCGGCTGCTAGGAGAGTACATTGTCGGACCTCTCTCCGGGGACGACTCGATCCAAATGAAAAGCACTGTGCCTTTCTACAGCATGAACCACTGCGGTCTTTGACGCGGAAGAGCAACACAGACAGACTTTGGCACACGGAAACGCGTCGGCTCAAGTCCTCAGCGAAGAGCCGATCTTCATTCCGTCGGTGCCGGACAATCGGGAGCCATCATGTCACGATGCACAGAAAGCACCAGCGTCAATATCTCGTGTTCCATGTTGCACCTGTATGTGACGCCTCAGGGAGAACGGAGCGTAGCACTCCGTGACTGAACAAGCAGATATGATGATCACATATCTACTAAGCTACAGCAAGCTTCCAATTTCTGCAGCTTCAAGCTTTAAGTGGGTTGTTCGGCCAGCGATCCCACCAATGGCCTCTCTGGTCAGAGACAGAGCAATGCCAGAGACTACTCTCTACTCGATCTATGGTCACTCCTCTGATCTCCCCACTCTCGATGCTACCCACACATGTGCGGAGACATGCGGGATGTCCATGTTCCCCTCATGCCATACCAGACGACGTCATCGTAGCAGGCATCTCTAGGTAGGGCAAAGCAACCTCAAAGCGGCCGCCTACAAGTTATAAGCTAGGCACCTGACTGCTCAAAGCTCAATAGAGAAACCACAGGTCTTTCCACGATGTTGTTCTACATAGCTGCTGCTATCACAGCAATTGCTTCGAAAACCATTGCCCAGAGCGTCATCAGTCTGAGTGGCCATGATTGGACCTTGACGAACCCCGACCTAAATATATCATGCCCTGCATCGCTACCTTCCCAAGCCCACCTTGATCTTCACGCCTGTCAAGTCATTGGCTCGCCTTACTATGGCCTCAACGACTTCAACCTCCGATGGGTCGCTTGGGCCAATTGGACATATACAAGCGCTCCTATCTCAGGCCTAAACCGAAATTTATCATCTACATGGCTAGTGTTCAATGGCCTTGATACCTTCGCAAGCATATCTTTTTGTGGCCAGCATGTTGCTGCAACGAACAACCAGTTCCGTCAATACTACTTCGACGTTTCGTCCGTGCTCGAAAGCTGTCAGAGTGCCCCAGTCCTTAGCGTTAACTTTGGAAGTGCTCCTAAGATCACGCAGGAGATTGCGGACGAACCTGGCCAGGAAACTTGGCCATACGGGATCGAGATCATGTACGAATTTCCAAATCGACAGTTCATGCGGAAGGAACAGAATGACTTCGGTTGGGACTGGGGTCCGGCATTCGCTCCTGCTGGTCCCTGGCAGCCAGCTTGGGTTGTCCAGTTAGACAACCCTGAAGTCTATATCAGGAACTCTCTCATTGACATCTTTCGTCGAGGACAGCTTAACAACCTACCTCCAGATCAGAGTCAGCCATGGACTGTCAATGCTAGTCTTGACTATATTGGCACGGTACCTCAAAGTGCCTCGCTGCGCTACTCCCTATCCGACCTCAATAATACCATTATTTCGAGTGGCTATTTAGAGAACATCAACATCACTTCGTCCACCCTGACAGGGTCGACTGAGATCGATCCCTCCTTGGTTGAGCTATGGTGGCCTAGCGGTTTAGGTCCGCAGAACCTATATAACATGACCATAACTCTCAACGACGGCAGCAAAAGTAACAATACCATCACAAGTATCACCAAGCGAACTGGTTTTCGTACGATCGTCTTAAATGAGAACCCGATAAGTCAGGAGCAGCTAAATCAAGGTATCGCACCAGGTAATAACTGGCATTTCGAGATCAATGGACACGAGTTCTATGCCAAGGGATCGAACTTTATCCCTCCCGATCCTTTCTGGCCCGCTGTGACAGAAGCCAGAATGCGAGACCTCCTTGACGCGGTCGTTGAGGGGAATCAGAACATGCTGCGTGTGTGGTCTAGTGGAGCATATCTACCTGATTGGCTCTATGATCTGGGTGATGAGTATGGTATCCTTCTGTGGAGCGAATTTGAGTTTGGAGATGCACTCTACCCTGTGGATGAGCTGTTCCTGGAAAACGTAAGGGAAGAAGCAGAATATAACGTGCGGCGAGTCAATCACCATCCATCTCTTGCCGCCTGGATGGGAGGGTATGTATATCGGCTATAGGACTACTGTATGATGTTGCTAACCATGACTATTATAGCAACGAACTGGAGAACCTGGAGCTTGCTAACGTCAACAACACCGCTCCGGAACAGTATGATCGCTATGTCGCCGAGTACGAGAAGTTATTCCTAGACACACTACTTCCAGTGGTCTTCGGCAACTCCAGGAGCATCAGCTATGCACCCTCTAGTACGAGCAATGGATGGTTAGAGCTCAACTTCTCAAACCCGATCCCCATTGTCGAACGCTATAACAACCTTACGGAAGGTTCTGTTTATGGCGAGACAGGTTAGCAATGTGTCAGACACTGGTAGCAAGAATGTCTACTAACTATCCTAGATCACTACAATTATGATCCGACGGTCGCATTCAACCTTTCCTCCTATCCTATCGGTCGTTTCTCGAACGAATTCGGGTATCACTCTATGCCATCCCTACAGAGCTGGGAACAAGTCATTCCTCAGTCTGAGCTATACTTCAACTCATCTTACGTACAACTACGCAATCGACATTACCCGCCTGGAGGACTGAACGCAACGAACTACTATAACAGCTCGCTGGGCATGGGCGAGATGACAAGAGCCGCAATTGAGTGGTATCCGGTGCCTAACAAATCAGACAGCGTAGCCAACTTCTCGGCTTGGTGCCATACTACACAGATCTTCCAGGCCGATTTCTATCGTTCGCAAATAGAATTTTATCTAAGAGGCAGCGGACTTCCCGAACGTCAGCTTGGTTCTTTGTATTGGCAACTTGAGGATCAATGGACGGTATGTTGCGGTTTTGGTCTGCTGCAAACTCTTACTGAGCCATGATAGGCGCCTACCTGGGCGGGCATCGAATACGATGGTCGATGGAAAGTGCTGCACTACATTGCAAAGGACGCATATCAGCCAGTCATCATCGCGTCATACTACAATGTCACGACCGGTGATCTTGAAGTGTATGTGACTTCTGATCTCTGGCAAGCCGTATCTGGATCAGCCAGCTTTAGTTGGTACGACTGGTCTGGTGATTGTCTGAATATCTCCACGCCTACCACTGCCGAAGTCAATGTCGGCGCCATAAACTCGACACGAGTGCTCTCGACAAACACTTTCGACATCTTAAACAGCGCTGGATTCAACTACTCAAATGTGCTGATGCATATGGAAACCACTATTCAAGGTCAGATGCCAAATAGCAACGAAAGCAGAACGTTCACACACGAGAATTGGTTCCATGCTTCGCCGCTCTCGTCGGCTGCTCTAGTCGACCCTGGGCTTCAATTATCGTTTTCGAATACTACCAAGAACTTCAGCATTACTGCGAGATCGGGTATTGCTGCCTGGGTATGGCTTGATTACCCGCTGGGCGCTGTGGTCACATTTGATAGCAATGGCTTCTGGTTGTTGCCGAACCAGACTCGAGAGGTTGGGTATAAGGTCAAGAGCGACTCAACTGGAGGTGCATGGATTGACGATGTGACGGTGGAGAGTTTGTATGATAACACAATCTCATGACACGGGTAACACGAGCTCGACTCCCAAGCCTGGCGGGAGTCCAATATGTGTCTGTAAAAAGGCATGAACATTCGGCTAGCCATATGCATGATGGCTGGAGGAGATAGAGTTATGTTGCTCCCAAGATATACTCCAGTAATCACAACCTCTTGACTCTCGTCAGGTCGATCCCGCTCCTGAGAAGAACAAAAAAAAGACAAGAAGGTCGATGAGGACGGAGGAGATAGGGACAGCACTGCGTTTTCTGATGAAGAGATAGAGAGAAAGTTTGAGCGCCGTCAGAAGCTCAAGAAGGACAACGAGGATACTGAGAAGAAGCACAACGACACCAAGGAGCCGGAGTCAAGCAACTTTGAGGCTGATTCCATGCAGCAGTAAGCTAAAAGGAACTTGAGGAATGCATGAGTGGTTACGAAATCAGATGGCAACCAGCAGTCGAGGATCCAAAGCATCTGCCTTGGCATCAATCTTGCAACTCAAAACTCAAGGCAAATCGCCTCTCACTGCTCCACAACTACGCAGATTCGATGCAAAAAACGTAATCATTGATATTTGCCACTTGTTTTCGCAAAGCATTGAGCGGATAGTGAAGAGGTTGAGCTTGTGAAGGAGAGTCCAAAAATTGTTTTGGAGGGGTCCAATCACATGACAGTTGTCGAAACTGTCTAAGCGAGGGCCACGCTGCCAAGACTTGCTCTGGGCTTTTGCAAATTTCGTCTGCCTCCAGCTCTTTCGCTTTTCCAGGTCATCCTCGTTGTCAACTAACCACAGCAGTCAAGATGTCGCACAGAAAGTTCGAGGCTCCCCGTCACGGCTCTTGTCAGTACCAGCATCTACCATGGATATCGCCAGCTCGCCAGGACGAATTGCTAATGCGCGCGCACAGTGGCCTTCCTTCCTCGCAAGAGAACCATCCACCACCGTGGTAAGGCCAAGTCGTTCCCCAAGGATGACTCCAAGAAGCCCGTCCACTTGACTGCTGCCATGGGCTACAAGGCCGGCATGTCCACCATCGTCCGCGACCTCGACCGTCCCGGAGCCAAGCTCCACAAGAAGGAGATCGTTGAGGCCGTCACCATCATCGAGACCCCTCCCGTACGCTATACCTCCGACCTTGCCTCCAGCCTCGAAACACTCACTAACACACCCTTCAGATGGTCGCCGTTGGTCTTGTTGGTTACATCGAGACTCCCCGTGGTCTCCGTTCCCTGACCACCGTCTGGGCCGAGCACTTGTCCGATGAGGTCAAGCGTCGCTTCTACAAGAACTGGTACAAGTCCAAGAAGAAGGCCTTCACCAAGTACGCCAAGAAGCACTCCGAGAACGCTGGCCAGTCCGTCACCCGCGACCTCGAGCGCATCAAGAAGTACTGCACCGTCGTCCGTGTCCTCGCCCACACCCAGGTCCACAAGACCCCTCTTAAGCAGAAGAAGGCCCACCTTATGGAGATCCAGGTCAACGGTGGCTCCGTTGCCGACAAGGTTGACTTCGCCAACGGCCTCTTCGAGAAGCCCATCGAGATCAGCTCCATCTTCGAGAAGGACGAGATGATTGACTGCATCGCCGTCACCAAGGGTCACGGTTTCTCTGGTGTTACCTCCCGTTGGGGCACCAAGAAGCTCCCGAGAAAGACCCACAAGGGTCTCCGTAAGGTCGCTTGTATCGGTGCATGGCACCCTTCGCACGGTATGTTTCGTCTTCTGACATGATCATCTCGTATCTCATACTAATGCCCTCTCAGTCCAGTGGACCGTTGCCCGTGCTGGTCAGGACGGTTACCACCACCGTACCTCGGTCAACCACAAGATCTACCGTATTGGCCGCGGTGACGATGCTGGCAACGCCTCGACCGAGTTCGATGTCTCCAAGAAGACCATCACCCCCATGGGTGGTTTCGTCCGCTACGGAGAGATCAACAACGACTTCCTTATGCTCAAGGGCTCCGTCCCCGGTGTCAAGAAGCGCGTTGTCACTCTCCGCAAGTCCATGTTCATCCACACTTCCCGCCGTTCCACCGAGAAGGTCGAGCTCAAGTGGATCGACACCTCCTCGAAGTTCGGTCACGGTGCTTACCAGACCCCTGCCGAGAAGAAGCAGTTCATGGGTACCCTCAAGAAGGACATCGAGCGTTCCGCTTAAATGTTTTCTTCCACACCTTGAAAAGTCTTATCTGCGACATGACCGGCGTTTTGTTATTCAATTAGCGGTCTGGCAAATGGGGAAGACGAGTGCTAAATTTCAAAATGATTCCCACCCCACCAACTTTGGTTTCTTTCCCTCTATTATGAGCTGTCATGTGCATGTTTGACTTTCACCAAATGTCGAGTTGTGACACGTCGATCTCATCTCCAAGACACTGATTAACCGTAGACCTGATCACACATCGCAATGCTTTCTTGGACTCCTCAATGCCCTTCTAACTTTCCACCAAGCCATTCCCTGTCGAGCTACTATTCTTTAGATCTACCTCATCCGAGTCACGTTCTCCAATCCACCCTTCTTCGAGTCACCCCTTCCCAGAGGACCCTGTTCTTGTAACACCCTTCTTGGACAATCTGAGGGCTGGTGATGATGACGCCACCGCTCCTTCCTGCTTCATCAACCCCAAACAGCAAAACTCAGCGAGAACGCAAGAACGACTCTTTCACGCCCAGAGCTCTTGCACTTGATTTACAATGGCTAGCTCGATGCAATTGGTCAAGTCAGGTGAGGTTGAAAGATACAGTTGTAATATTGTGGTATACATTAGATCGTATGAATGGAGATAAAAATGCTGGATAGTGGAGAGCCGTTTTCCAGACTCGATCCGTAATAAGAAAAGAAGAGAAGATGGGAAAAAGACATAGGAAAGAAGAAATTGCTGCTGTTTGGGCAGAAAGAGCACGATCAAACCGCATTGACGAGGGCGAGTGCGTAGCAGTCCTGGACAGGGCCACCAGTAACAGTGTACTTGATGTTTGCGTTGCTAGTCAAGGCGTTCAGACCCTCCTCTCCGTTGACCACGAAAAGCTTGCTGACGGCGTCGTTGACAAAGTTACACATGACAATGTTGTATGAATTGCCAGTGGTGTCGAAGCCGAAGTAGACCGATTGATTGTTCTCAACCTCCTGCAAGACCAAAGTCATAAAGTCGGCGCTCTTGGGAATACCAGTGTCATCGCTCAGGCGCAGACGACTGGCACCGTAAACCTTCATCTCATCGGGGTGGAAGTGGAGGAGACGACCACTATCGTCACCGAAGACGGCGTCGTCGTAATTACCGAAGAGCAGGGTCTGAGATTGGACCAGCTCTTCGCTGTAAGTGGCGATATAGAGATTTCCGTTGGCGCTAGGCACGATTGCGAGCGTCTTTTGGATATCTACAAGGGTAGTGTAGTTTGCATCAGTTGGAGATTCAGAAACAGAAGCCAGAGCAAGAGCCTTATTAGTGTTCTCCAAGAAGGCTGTGTTGTCTGGGTCCTCGGAGTAGTCACCGATTGCATCGTCAGAGAGCTCTTCCTCGGTAGCAACATCATTGTCGAAGGTCTCAGTGTAGTTTTCGTCGTCATCCAAAGTGTACAATTGGTCGCTACCACTGTCATCGTTGTTCTCGGAGTCGTCAGCTGAAGTGGTGCTGTCCTGACGACGGGCCAAGAAGCTACGAGCGTGGCGTCTCTGAAGCTGTTCAGCTCCACTTTGCTCGTCAGCGCTCGAGGCAGACTTGTCATTATCAGGTTCACTATCCTCTGTGATAGGCTCCTCAGTTGCATCCGGAGTAGAGGCACTATCAGTTCCTGTGGGTGTCTCGTCCTCAGGAGCGTTTGTTTCGGTTGGCTCAGGACCGTCTTCGCTTCCAGTAGCACTGGGATCAGATGGTTCACCAGTTTCAGTAGGGTCTTCCTGATCTGTACCATCAGTCGCTGTCGGATCTTCGGTATTGGTGGGCTCCGAAGGTTCGGAATCGTCAGTGGTAGTGGGCTGGGTACCAGTGCTGACGGCACTCGAGGCTCCGGTTGTAGCAGAGGTCGAAACAGGGCCAGTATTTCCGGTAGTAGCAATTGTGGTCTTTGCAGCAGTACGATCTATTGTAGCAGTTGATGCCTGCGAGGACGCAGCAGAAGAGGCCTTCGACGTTGCCTTTGAGCCGTCGAATCTGTGATGGTGTAAGTAGGATCCTTGATGATCTGGAGAACGATGACGTACTTCTTGCATCCCTTCAGGAGAGGTGGAGAATCATAGTGAGCTAGATTGAATGTCTTGATGCCCAAGAAGTCAAGGTTGATGTCGTTTTGGACTGGCTGTGGTCAGTAAATTGAAAGGGAACGCCTTGACATAGCTAGCTTACCATTAGCAAGGTACTCGATACCATTGTTACAAGTCTCGCTAGCTGCTTCCGCATCTGCAGAAGAGGCTGCCACAGTAAGATTGCCATAGACCTTAGGCTCCTCGATCAGAGCCAGGACTCGCTTCAAGCTCAAAGGAGGAATTTCGATGCCGGCATTGATTGCAATAGGAAGACTCAAACTGACTTTGGCGCCAATCTTGCCGCTCGCCTCAAAACGCCGGGTGAAATTTGGGGTAAATCCTGTGATTGAAGACTTGCTGGCGCTTTGCTCGTTGAAGAGATCAAGCTTGGCTTCGAAGTTGGGAATTTTCATGGCCACACCGACTAAAACCTGACCCTCGGCGTCGACTTCGACGGAAGATTTTGCGTCGACACTGATGTATACGCCGGCAGTGAAAAGCTTTCCAACAGCGACTCCGACGTAAGGAAGAGGTGCATTGATGATCTTCTTTTCCTTTTTGTCCTTGTAAGAGGCAGTCACGGCAAGACCGAGATGAACACCAGCTTCGATGTTCGCATTAATACCAGCATTAAGCGCTTTGAGGCCGTCTTTGCCGTTCCACTTTGCTTGCCCGGCCATAGAGACTTTGCCCTTGACGCCACAGTCAACACAGTACAGGTCAACGGATGCCTCTGCTTTCTTGTTCTTGGACTCCTTCTTCTCGGAGTAAATCGAGGCTGCTTTACCCCAAGGTGAGTCCACAGTTGCCTGAGGGCCAAAGTTGAATTCTTGAACTCCCTGGATGGAAGGGTTGAAATCGGACAGGTCGCTCAGAGCACCATTAGTCGCAGCGTCAAAAACATCTCCGAGCACCGGAACGAGTCGCAAGCTAGTAAGGGCAACTTTACCGGTACCGATCGTAACATCGACTGCGACCGAAGCAGTTTTCTTGATGACTGTGCCGGTCTTTCTCAGGAAATTTCCGACAGGCCTGAAAAAATCACCAAGGTCGCGGCGCATGAGAGTAGCCTCGTCATTCACAAGATCATCTGAGTCGAAGTCAACCTCTGGCAAGAAGTTCTCAAGACTTGAGGCAAAATTGTCCGTGGTATCAAGATATCCGATACGATCATCAAGGCGGGCATCGAAGTCTGCATCACCACAATCGATAGCAGGCAGACCGTCAATGACCGATGATGGAGCAGCTCCACAAGAAGACCCGTAGAGAGTGTTGTTACCAGAGGACGTACGAGTGGGCACAGCACCGCTAGCAGTAGCACTAGCACCTGCGTTACCACTTAGGGTGGAATAGGAGCCGCCCTTTGGAGCCTGACTCGATGCAGTACCACTAATGGCAGGCACGCCACTACTTCCAGGGGTATATGTTCCCCATACAAGGTCGACTTCATGGAAGAGCTCTCCAATATCAAGCTCGTCACTGACGATAGCCTTGATAGTCAAAGTCTTGTTATCGAAGGAAAGCGAAGCAATGAGCCAGAAGGTGCGTTGATCTTCAGAGTCACCATGACATCCATCTGTATAAGTCGCAAGTACCAGGCCGGTAGAAATACTAGACCAACTGTCACAGGCCAGGTTGAAGGCTTGGGTAGTGGTAAAGGAGACGAGGATGCCTTCCTCTGAACAAGAAGTGCTTGAGATGTACGAAGAGTGATCGAGAATGACGGCATCGTGGGTCATGTCAGTGACTACGGACGCGAAAGAATGCTCGACCTTGGGATCGGCAAGACCGTAGTAGAGACTGGTGTTTCTCGATGGTATCAGATTGTTGAGATCATCGAGAGGGTAATCCCAATGGACAGCAGGCTGGACCGTGGCAGCGGCGTATTTTGCAGTGGAGGACAGAGCGACGGCGAATGGAGCATGGTTGCCGGTCGAGGATGGAGTGCCTAAGGGTCCCCCTAAGGAGCACCCTGCTACAGTCTGGGTGACCACGATGGTTTGGAACGCACCCGAGTTGACCGGTGCTTGAGATTGAGATCCACCGTGGATCACAACGGCAGAAGCTGCTGACGATCCCGGGCCATGAGCAGCACCTGCGGAAATGCCAGAGGAGCTTGCCTGGTGACCACCAATGGCTGCAACAACGACTACGTCGGTGCTCGCAGCGTTGTATATGGTTGCAGTGCTCAGCACAGTCTTAGTACTGGTGTAATTGCTGAACTGAGGGTTGGAGGTGACATTGGTGTAAGTCGCGTTGAGAGGCAGGACAGCCAGAGGAGATGCAGAGACACTGCTCCCCAGACTCAGCACGAGTCCTGGGATCAGGTGTCGAAGTCCTGCCATGGCTTTCGGCGATCAAGATTGATGGGTAGAGAATGGACGTCCCAGGGATGGAACAAGAAAGGAGTGTGGTTGTCGAGGTCGGTTCGCTGGATGAGTAGATCAACATCATAGAGAGACGCCTCCTACATATACCCTCCTAGGCATGACCAGGAGTGAAGTTGCAATCTCCTCTCAGCCATCTTGTGTCTGACGGGTTGATCTCAATCTCGGTGTGCCCTTCCATCCTGTTGTGTATTTTACTCATGTGCTGCAGTTCCAGACTAAGCTACTGGACAGACCAATCTATTCATGAAGTCGACGTTGAGCTGAAGTCCAGATACTCATTTCCAACTCTTGGCTATTCTCTATGCTTCACCCCGACCAGGGTGAGTTTGAGACAGAATAGGGAATAGACCATGTTCCTGCCAAGAAGTGTCGTTCAAAGTGTAGTCGAAGTCATGGCAGGAGGCTTAACGTGGACGGCTCGCGTATATACATTCGAAAGTCATTCTTTCTTGGCAGGGTGATTTGACTCGAGTGCGAAGCAGTTCTGAAACGATGCTTGTTCAAGACGTGTTCCCTTTTCTTTGCTTACACGAATGCTGTAACTCTATGGGTGACAAAGCCGCGTCGATAGGGCATTGCCAACTAAGGCCACACAGTCCATGAGTTAACCTACATCGACGTTCTTGTTATACTTCCCGTAGCAATGTCGACTATACAAGCGAGAAGACACTACAGTACAAAGCAAGCAAATTACCTAAGGTTTGAGAATTGGCACAAAGAAAGAAGTAGCGTTGGCTGCAGGTGGCGTCTCCAGGGTGCCGAAGCCCAACGGGGACGCCGATGAAATGGATCTGACCAACGGGTCGTAGTGAAGACGGTTTTCCTTCAGCTCCCAAGTATGGGAACGCTGTTGTGTGTGAGATGCTGTAAGGGGTTCGTATGTACTGCGACTGGGCAAACCTTGTTTGTCGGTAGAGAAAAGGACGATGCGAAGGTTTCGGGAGTGCCGCCATCTGGGAATCTCCAAAGTCCGTGCGACATGCTCCGGCGAGGATAGTTTTGTCAATGCATAAATAATTCCATGCTCTCCATGTCGCTCGAGAGAGCCTTCATACACAGTATGGCAATAAGGAAACTCCCAGCTAGAGTTGCACGGATGGAGTGGCTTCCATGCGTTGCGACAAGGTATTTCGAGCGTACACGCTCTGCAGGGAGCGCCTCAATGGTCAGCAGAGCTCCTCAGATGTGTATCACAACCACGAGAACTGCAGTGTCTCCATGATAGTCCCAGTAAGGATGAATCAGGATCTCAGCGCGTATATGACTTACACGTCTGCCAACATCATGTCGCTGAGCTCAACCGCACAAGTGTCTGAGATGCTGCCGTCACACGATTTGGAGGTGGCAGGGCTTCCCCGCGCTACGTCATGAAGCCCGAGCTCAGTACTTCTTCGTGCACCACCAAACTCACAGCTTGACCATTTCGAATTCAGTCACTCCCACGTACACACAATACACCGCAATCATGTCTGAACAGTTAATGGAAACAAGCCCGGGTGGAGATACAGCGGGCTCAACTTCGCAGTACACAAGCATTCACACCGTTACGGTCCCTCACAAGAAGTCTGGAGGACAAATGGGCAGTAAGTTCTCTGTTCAGCAAACTGGTTGACAATTCACAACTGAAACGCTTCTAGACCCCGAGACGTCTGTTGACTCCGTACCCGAGGTTGAGGCAGCCAAGAAGGCAGAGGAAGGCGAAAAGACAGCAGAGAAGATTCGCTACGGTCAATCATTGAGCGAGAACGGCATGGGAGGCCAGACTATCGGTACTGGAGAGGCAAACAGCAACAGCGCAGGATCAAAAGCACAGGATGAGACGGATGATGCCGTAAGCGAGAGACAAAAGTCTGGATACGGTGGTGACAAGGACATGGACACAAGCATTGGCGGATAGTGGACGACACGGCAGATACCCATTGTCATGATATCACGATATGAGAAAGAATCTTTACCTACCTCAATATACGAACACCTAATGCTGCTGAGGCCACGTGTGGTTGCATCCATCCGTCTTCCTCCGCAATGTGCCATCGTTGGGGATCATCGACTATTGGAGTCTAGAATTGAAGCTAACAAGATGGCTGCAAGGAGAAAATCCTATTGATTATGTTTTCACTCATTTCAAAGGACACACATTATACAAGTACTTCTTTGAGGAACCCCAAATTTGATGCTGGCTTTGTTCACCATCGGAGCGCGTGTCATCATTTTGTCAAACACTCGAAGAGTCGAGGATTAACGGCCACGGCAGTCCACACGGCGCTACCCACAATGAATTAAGCCATGACTGCCCGAAAGATATGATATGAGTGTTATATGTATTGATGATAGAGACATATCGCATTTGGCAAAGGAAAAGATATGTACGAGAAACCATTCAACAGAGCCAGGGTGAGGGGCACAGCAAGCCTGATGTTGAATGTTTTATCGCAGCTCAGAATGGCAGGGACGTCAATCAACGAGTCTGTATGCTGATCTGTCTTCTCGATGAAGCGATGGAAACAGGAGTAAAAAATCAAGTTCGAGTCAAGAAAGCAAGGCGAGGTACCCGTAGATACGGCCAAGTCCAACTGTCCGAGAGCTCTCCCCACGATACTTGTCGCGCTCCACAACGGACGCGACCCCCTCCTACTTACTCATTCATGCAGGTAGCTCCTCTGATACCAGGAGAGGAGATGAGCTGGCAAGGAACACACATGCCATTCATTCATACGCCATGATATCAGGAATGTCGAGGCTCTTAGGCCTGTCCTTTCTCTTCTGCCTCGGACTTCCCTTTGCCCTGTTCGCTCTCTTCACCACCACTCTGGCACTGGGCACTCTCCTATTACGACTACTCTTTGTGTACTTCGATCTGTTTCTCGCCATATTGAACGGCGCCATAGTTCCGTCATCTCCTCCAACGCCTCTCGCATCTCCGAGTGCCGTCCTCCCGACGCGACGCAAGAAGCACAACACACCACCCACGCCGTCAGCGGCGCTGCGGAAGACCCCTTCGTTCGCAAGTCTTGTTGGTAGCGGAACGGACAGAGACTTTGAAGGAGTCGGGGGGTGGAGATTCCCGGAGAGTGCAGACGAAGAAGCCGTCTGGATGAACATAAATCGACATCTTGAATTACCCGCTTCGCCAGCTGCCACGAGAAAACACAGGAGGACAGGGACAGGCAATGGGGCACAGAGTCCGATGGTGGCCAGGACAATGGCCCGGACTCCAGGGAGTGCAAGTCCAGAAGGCTACTTCAATATCAGGGTCGAGAGTAGGGACGATTTGGGCATGACTTCTAGAGGCAACGCGTGAATGCGTGCAGAGGATGAAGGGCTAGAGTGTGAAGAGGGACGCCACGGAAATAGGCCGTGTGCAACGAATTTATGATCCGACAACTGTTACAGTTGTTTATACAGCTGTACCTTGTCTACCAGAAGCTCGAAGTGTAATTGAATAGCAGATGCCTGACAGATTGAAATATTAAAAGTGGCTATGGCAGGAGCGGAAAGTTGGCAGGAACCCCACACGACAGTTGTTGCTCGAGAGGAGGAAGGAGCTTCTGGGCGCGCTTTGGCCGTGGGCGGGCAGGCTGGCAAGTCCCAACTAATTTGCATGCATAGCAGCGGGCCTCTTCCTTCTTCCACTCGACACTCTCCTACACGCAAGCACTCTGCACCCACCCAGAATCTACTCTCGAGTTCTCGCATACTCGATAGCAGCTCATCCGAACGCCTCGTACTCACGCGCCTCGTCGACTCCGATCTCCAACCACACCACCACCGACGCGTTTCCTCATCCTCTGTCGCAATCATGTCCGGAGAAGCCTGGCTCTACCTGATAGCGGTGCTTATCAATGCCGTCAACCTCTTCCTTCAAGTCTTCTTCACCATCATGTACAGCGATCTGGAATGGTATGCTCCTCTTGTGCCCTCTCACCGCCTAGCCGTGCCTGGTGCTGACATGATCCTCTCACAGCGACTACATCAACCCCATTGACCTCTGCAACCGCCTCAACACCTACATCGTCCCCGAAGCTGCCGTCCACGCTTTCCTCACCATCCTCTTCCTCGTCAATGGTTACTGGATCGCTTTGATCCTCAACCTGCCGCTCCTTGCCTGGAATGCAAAGAAGTCAGTTTTGCCCAACACCTGCCCGACCACACTCGTCCTAACATGACACAGGATCTTTGAGAACCAGCACCTTTTGGACGCGACCGAGATTTTCAGAAAGCTCAACGTTCACAAGAAGGTAAGCTCCCGCTCCGCAACCCAACTGCTATGTCAGACAGCTGACACAAGCTTCAGGAATCCTTCATCAAGCTCGGCTTCCATCTGGTCATGTTCTTCTTCTACCTCTACAGCATGATCGTCGCCCTCATCCGCGACGAGTCGCACTAAGCTATGCTGCCTCTCGAACCACGCCGTTAAAAACACTTTCAATCTCAATCCGCCGCCGCTGCAAGATGCTGCTGCTCCTCACCCATGCAGCCTCATGCGCGCGCTTGAGCTCGCTGGCTGGCTGGTGCAAGATGAAGATGAGAAATGTTCATGTCACAAAACAGCGCACATATGGGTCGCTTTTCTTCTTACAATTCACGGTGACGAAGTCTGGGAGATCATGGCCCATGCATGACCATCCTTGTCCTTTCGCTCTCTTCTGCTCGGGCGCTCGAAAGCTTACGACTGATGCCCGAAGACAGATTGCGCTTTGCTTTTCGCTGGCGCTGTTCATGCTTTGTCATGATGCAAAGATACCTCCAATACGATCATATAGACATTGTGTTCCATTCCTTCCTTACCATCCGTCCTTTCGGTCCTTTCGCAGATGTGCATCTTTGTGAAGAAGTGGACCATCTTCAGCGAGAGTGGTCGTGTGACTTGCGACCTTCATTGATGCCTAAACTTGAGACATATCTACTTGCCTGTACTAGTATGCACCATCTATTGAACACGTGTACACTCCAGTATATTAGATTGTGGCCATACAAGGAGACAGATGTATGTCGTTCGATATGTCTTCTCAAGGCTCAAAGAATGTCCCTCGGGCCGATGATACAAGCCAAGAACCTACCCCAGATTCCACTCGACTTCATCTCCTGTTTCCTTCCTCTTCTCTCACAAGTGCAGGTCAAGGCACCCAACCTTGTTCTGATCTTCTAGACCGGGTACAAAGAAGTATGGTGACCACCAGGTCTCGGGCTGCCGCTGAAAGAGCCGATGATGCTAAGCTCTTCAAGATGCTACCACCTGAAATCGTCAACCACATCCTGGAACTGGTTACCGAAACAGAGGAACCCTCGGCCAAGGTCCGCTGGTACTGGAGCAGCCCAGACGGCTCAGATGAATGTCTCTTTCCGCCACCCGCGGCCATGGAGCTCTCTGGTTTCTCATGTGCTTGCCGGTATGCTTTGCAACTCGCCGATACACATCTGACCACAAAGAATCCGTGGATGCCGGACTATGGTAGGGCGCATGGGTTGGTGAGCGTTACGGGCGCCTTTTGCTTCTACCAGCGTAGGTTTGGACTCATGGCGAAGTTTTCGACGTTTGAGAAAGGCGAGAGCGAGTTCTTTTCTCTGCCGCTGCCTGATGAGTGTGATATCGATCTCGAATTCTTCACGAGCTGGAAGCAATCGGCATGAAGGGACGGATACTTAGGTCGGTGGACCGTTCAGCTCTGTCAGAGACTTCAGCGGTCTGCGTCTGCGTAGGGCATGCGATATTGCCGGAGCGTCCTGGATGTAGAAGGCCAGTCAGGGGTAGCGAGAGAACACAACCCACTGCTCTCGCAAGATAACCATGCCTGTTTGCTTGTAGATTCAATTCTCTTTACCTTGGTGCCTATACCCTTCCGATGGTAGCAGTCAGGCGGCCTCTGTCGTCGACTCGTCCGAGGTAGTGTATTTCTTCTTTTTCCTCCTCTTGTACTTTCCACATCAGTTATGGTCTTCGAACCTGAAAGAGCCTGGGTTGTGTTACTCTGGATCGAGCTCGAGGTGATTCGAACCGGTAAGATTCGTCCAATGCCAGACACGACAGGGTGAATAGTGATGCGTGGAAATATGGCTCGTAGCACGGATGACGGCGAAGGAGGATATGGTGGATTTGACGACTCGAAGGCTCTCTATCCGCTGGAGATGTCCTGCTGCTGCGACCAGGAAGGTGACTGTCCGGGTAGCTCTTTGCCTCACTGTTTAGGTAAGATGCCATGGTACTCGTGGAACAAGAGAAAGATGGTGGATGTTGTGTCGGCCGCTGCTGTTCGGCTTGGTCGGCGGTCGAGCAGCCCTCAGCCTCAATAAGTGGTTGAACCACCCTCGGGTACTCTGGAGGCACGGAATAGGCTTCCTGGCCACCGAATGGGCTGGAAGTGGTACAGGGTGTCTGTGGTATGTTGGCCGCTGGATTGAGACGCCGTACATGAATGGCGTCGGCTCGCCAACTCAACGAGATCAGGCAAAACAGACACCATACCCCTCGGTAGAGGTCTCGTCTGGTTGCTTCGCGCATCCTGTGGACGCTTCCAATACTCTGCGCGTATTGGGTGCCGTCTGTGTGGCATTTGCGGGTGTTTCTTCCCATGCCACTGCTGTGTTGCGGCCACTGGTATACCTCAGCCTCGATCCCTATACCGCCCGCCATGAATTCACTGACAAAAAGACAGGGGCCAGGACTGGCGAAGGCTCAGTTTGTAAGGAGGTTTGAGTTGCTATGTAATTGGCTAGCTGGTGTTAAAGTCCCACTGTTCCCGCAGAGGGAGTGGATTGTAGAGGGGACGGTCAAATTCAAGGTTTGTTGTGCTTTACTATATAGACACCCATCTTTTCCACCATCCAGACCTCTTCCCCTTCCTCAACTTCCACCTCCACTGTTTGACCCAAGGTTATCTCGTCCATCTCGGACATCACCTCACATCATTGATCTTCCTTCTTCATCATCATCATCGATCATCATCTACTTTGTTTATTATCAACAACAACTGCTTTCCATCATGCGTACATTCACTTCCAGTGCGCGCAGCAGCTACGCACCATGCACAAAACAACTCATCAACGCGTCTATCGCTTTTGATCATCACCTTCCTTCACCATCAAACATCCTTCAAACATCTTTGGCATCGAGTGTCTTCCTTCTTCATCGGTCAACCACTTCCCTTTTCATCATCAACGACCTTCATCACTTGTTCTGATTTTATTTCCTCATCAACATCCATCATCACAATCAAAACTCATCGACTCTCATCAACATCAAGGCATCTACGCAAAGATCTCTTGCATCTCATCAAGGCAAGTCACTTTCTTGTGTTTACTCAGGCGCAACTCCTTCTTACATCAACCACAGGCACAACTTCAGCGCTTCCTGCGCATCAGCTTCGTTTTGAATTGGTTCCTGCCTTTTCATAGTCGCGTTCTCTCTGCGCATCTGCCATCGAGATCGCGCCTCGCTTACACTTTGTATGCGCGCACTTTTAAAGTGAGTGTTTTCTGAATCGATTTCACTTTTTTTTCTTGCTTACAGTGAATAGAACTCATGACTGCTTCACAGCATCATCAACTCTTCATCACTTTTGCACAATTTTGCCCATTCTCTTCCTTTTAACTTTCAATTCACTCCATCTCATCGCACAAGCTGCAAACAACCAATTTTTCGACATTTAAATCGACCACAACCACTTTCTCGCCAACAAGTCCATCAAAATTCGACAAAACCATTTTTTCATCATCAAAATCAATAACAACCACTTTTTCGACACTATTTCATCATCAAAACCACTTCACACCTTTTTTTTTTTTCTTCTTCTTCTTCTTCTTCTTCTTCTTCTTCTTCTTCTTCATCTTCATCTTTTCTATACCACCCAAGCATTTTCATTCAACAAATCATGAGGTTTTGGCACTATGAAGGTAAGTGCGCTTGTGACTGACTGAGAAGGGTTCGAGAATTGACGCCTATCAGGTTCAGATTCAAGGCAGAGCAGGCAGTTTCGGCGTTTCAGCGTTCAGCAACTCACCTTTTCTCCAATTCGCAACTTGCCGCTCTGGAAAGGTGCCAATCATCTGCCAAAAACACTCTGCATTGCTTCATCAACACAGTATTGAGGATTACAGCCTTGAAACGAGATCAACTAGCCTACCACTCGGACTTTTCAACAAGCTCATCACCAGCGAGGTCATCTTTTGCAACAATGCCAGCTCATTTCTCCATGCAAAGTACACGATCTAAGGAAGAACAACTAAGCGCGAAACCAAATTTTCCTCAAAAAAGAACCACAAGTACGTTGACTTTCAAGCTCACTCCGTTCACTTCACCAAGAACACTGCAATTATGATCCCTGTTCTTGTTCTTCTGCGATCGCATACTGTATGGCCAGCTCAGCGTCGTCTCTTGCTGCATTTTGACATGGAAAACTTGGGAAAAGCTCCATAAAATGCGCAGAGATGTACTGCCTATGAGATTTGCGCCATGTTCAGACAGCTTTCAAAGAATTCAAGTTTCAAATCGGCGTGGTTTTTGCTGTCGTGGATGTTGTGCAGAAAGCTCTTCTGAACGTGGGGAAAAAAACAAAGAAAATTTTGGTCGAGTTAATGGTGACTTTTTTTCTTTTGGTGGTTGGAAAAGCAAACATCCCGATTTGGCTTATGCTGCTGGCAGACGTCAATTTCGCTGATGGTGGTTGAGGTGTGCTAATTTTGGTGTTTTGCTCAAGTTTTGGCTCTCTGCATATGGTCACTCGGCTTGAAAAGTTTGGGTGTTTGGGGCGTCAGAACTTGCAATCGCATTCTCGGTTGATCTTTGCTGGTTCTTTTGACTAATATGAGCGATGTCTGGGTGTCTTGGGTTTGATTTTTGGTGTTTTTACAGGGTGGTGGCGAGCGGTTTGGGAAATATTTGAGGAGCTTTTGTTCCGTCATCATCATCATCATCATCAGAACAGGAAACAAAGACATGGAGATCAGGGCAGAGTTCAGGGCAGACAAAGACATGGACATGGGCAGGAAAACATCTTTTCGACTTTTCAATCATCTTTTGGCATTCAATATCATGGAGTAGAGACTTTTGGCAGGATGAAGTAGGATATTTTGGAATCTGATAGTGCTGGAAAACAACCTCTTTCGAACCTCATTGATTACTGCTCATCTTTCTTGCTTGTGATTTAATCCTTCTGTCATCGATCCTCCCGACCCATACCTCTTCGCGAACAACTGTCTCACCGGCTTCGACCGCTTCCTGAGGGAAGGAAGCCAGCCAAAAACTCGGTGAAAGATTTCACCCTCTGTTCGCTATAGGCCTTCTACGATGACTATGTTTACAACCGGTGCCCCGTGATACGAACGAGGAAGGTGCGAAGGAGCATATTACACCACCACACCTGGCTGTAGATGTCTGACGTTCAATGGACATGAGCAACATCATTGAGCTTAGCTCCAATTCATCCTGGAGGATCATCGGTGGCTCTTGCAAAGTCTTGAGGCAGATTGAATGATGAGCGATGCTTTCTAAAGACATATGCGATTACAAACGTTACTACCGTGTTTCCAGACCATGCAAAACATTATCCGAAGTCCCGACGACGTTGCATGATCAAACTGTTCAACATGGGCGAGCCAAGACTCCGGCTATTGCTTATACGATATCTCAAGGGCAAAGTAATCTCTGTCCCTAGTCGCCGCACTGTGGAGGGAAATTTTGGCGTTCCTTTGATGAGGAAGTGCACTAGACGATGCTCCCATATATCGTCGAGGTAGAACGTAATTAGTGCTCTGTTTGGCGCTGTCAGACAGTCGAGCAATGGCCGAAGAGCACCCTCTTTCCCAAGATGGATCTCCTCGAGTTGCACGCGTTCTAGAGAGGGCACCGTCAACACTTTTTGTAAGGCCAAGTGGCTAACGTGAAGTCCACGCAAGGTCAAGCTTCGGAGATTGTCGAAAGAGACTGCCTGGGATACATGATCGAACCATTGTTACTCTATCAGGTCGGCGTCGCTACTTGACATTCCTCTTGAACTGTACCAGTGCAGATTAAGCTTTTCAACATGTGAGATGAGTGTGAAGAAATTGACTAGATCCTGGAGTCGTTGTATAGCAGCCTCTGTGGGTGATGTCGAGCGGATGCTTGAGGCACCCTCTTCATGATTTGCCAGGCTTAACGACAAGCAACGAAGATGGGACCAGGTAGCAGAAGGTAGCGCAGAGCCAGCCGGGCTCTCGAACACGTCACAGGGCACGCTACATCTCACACTGTCGTAGAGCAGATTTAGCTTTTCGACACGCAGACCGCTGTCTTTGAGTGCACGTAGCGTAGCTCTGACAGCAAGAATACCAGCAGCGTAGCGTGAATTGGTCTGGACACCAAAGTAGACCTTCTTCAAAGAGGCTTCTAGAGTTTCTGTTTCAGGCACCTCTACGTCCAGCGATCGAAGACACCGCTGCTCCGACTGATTGTGAATGGACAGGAACGCCAAGTATAGTAGATTAGCATCAGTGGCATCCTCGTTCTCGATACTTAGGTCATCTGATGGCGGGTCGAGACGGAGGTCTTGTAGGAGGTAAGCGAGACGATTATGATTCGTTCCCGCGACGAATTTGGCAAGTGCATCCTGGCTGAGGTGTATAGTCTTGCTTTCACAGAATGATTTGAAGTGCGCTTGGGTAGAAACAATCTCGGTAGTACGGTCAACAAGACGAAGGTTGCAGATGTCGTGAAGCTCCAGCCGGCTCAGTATGTTCTCCACAAGCTCCGGCGGCAGATTTAAGATGCTGTAAGTCATGGCGATGTGGTCGCCCTCCTTGTATGCTGGGACAATTCAGGCAGACAAGCACAAATGAGAAGAAAGAGAAGCAAGATGAGAGAGCTTCTGTGCAGAGTGGAAAGGGTCGAGGAACGAATGGCAGGATGCTTCCTTGGTCGTACCCGACGCTGGCATTGGATGCCTGACGCCATGCATATTGATCCTTCAAAGTGACCTGCGAAACATGCAATGACTCAACTGCCTAGCAGGACAGATATCCGTTGGAACAAGCCTGTGGCAGTATAACCTGAGCCGAGCCTCGTCCGCAGCGTACCTAGTTTAGTGAGCGTTGGTGCTCGAGGAAGACTAAGTGCCGAGTCAGGCAGCAGAGCAAAACTCGCAAGTTGCGACCTCTACCTCGTTGAAGTGTGTCACCCTGACATTCGATCCGGATGTCCAAGCTTTCTGCTTTCAGCAGTGACGCAGCGCTTTCTACAAAGACATTCCTCAACAAGCATCAAAAATGGCAGACCAACAACTTGAACTGGCCAAACGAACGAGTACGAAAGGCAAAGTGCCCACTGGCTATGCCGATGAGATAGTCATTAGCGAAACGGCCTTCCGCAACGCACACCGAGCAGTCGAAGCCAACCACGAACCGCCGACTAAGAAGCGCAAGAGAGAAGGAAAGGGCGACAGCAGTGTTGTCTACGGCGCAAGCGCATACAAGGGACCATGGGCACGTTACGAGGTAGAAAGACCGGACGACAGCTCAGGCAGTGAAGAGGAGGTCGAGGTCGAATATGAAGAGGACGACATTGCGCCGCAACCCGCCGCTCCGTCAAAGGCTGGCACCGCCTACATAGAGTCGGACGGCTCCAGAGAGACGACTGAGTTCCACGGAAGCCAGCAGTACGACTACCAGGGCAGGACATATATGCATGTGCCACAGGATCTGGATGTCGATCTACGAGGCGACTTGCCCGACGACTACAAGAATTATGCGCCCAAGAAGTTGCTACATACCTGGAAGTCACACACGAAAGCCATCACCCAATTGCGCTTCTTTCCCGACGCTGGCCATCTGCTCCTCTCAGCTTCTGCGGATAGTAAGGTCAAGATTTGGGACGTCTACCACCAACGCGAACTGTTGCGCACCTACTCTGGCCACACAAAGTCCGTGTCGGACGTCTGCTTCAACTACGATGGTTCTCGCTTCATGACAGGCTCTTTCGACAGACAGATGAAGCTCTGGGACACAGAGACGGGCCAATGTATCAGTCGCTTCAGCACTGGCGCAACACCTCACGTCGTTCGCTTCCAACCAGATCAAAGTACAGCCACCGAGTTTTTGGCTGGTATGTCCGACAAGAAGATTGTACAGTTCGACACGAGAAAGCCTGCAGAGTCACCGGTGCAAGAGTACGACCATCACTTGGGGCCCGTCAACACAATCACCTTCTGCGATGAAAACCGCCGCTTCATGACGACGTCCGACGACAAGAGTCTACGTGCTTGGGAATATGGCATTCCTGTCCCAATCAAGTTTGTTGCCGAACCATACATGTTCCCTATGGTTCGCTCAAGTTCGCATCCCTCGGGCAAGTATGTGGCCTTCCAGAGCTCCGACAACCAAATCGTCGTGTACGCCTCGACGGAAAGATTCCGACAGAACCGAAAGAAGAGTTATCGTGGACACAACAACGCTGGTTATGCCATCGATGTGGCCATCAGTCCTGATGGAGGCATGGTCATGTCGGGAGATAGCGGTGGTTACGTGTGTTTCTATGATTGGAAGACGTGCAAGATGTGGCACAAGATCAAGGCTAGTGAGTCTGCTGTTGTTGCTGCGCAGTGGCAGCCCAAGGAGACGTCCAAGGTTGTCACAGGTGCCTTGGATGGATTGATCAAGTACTGGGATTAGGTCTATAGAAGATTCAACCCAGAGCTTCCTAACCCCTTATTGTTTGTAGAGCTGTTGATACGGCCTAGTCTCTCGTGTGGTTTGCATGCGTGAGAGGCTTTGACATGGTTGGACATGATCGAGTATGTTTTACAAGAACTATATCATGTGAAGGAGGGAAAAGTAGGAAAGTTGAACCGAGGTTGCCCTAGCCGGGTGCCGGGCGAGTGAGCGACTGCCCCACCATCTGGAGCTTCGCGCACATGCAACAAGCAACTTGTTTAGACCAAAAATCAACATGCCTCAGGAAGAATCAAAACCCGTCGACGCGCCTGTCAAGCAGGAAGCTTTGGACAAGGCTGTCGGGGAGCTCAAGCTCGGCGAAGGCCAGGACGCACCGAAGACCGACGTAGACCAAGACTCGACACAAGCAGACGCAAAGAAGTCAACGACAAAGAAGATCAAGGATGCCATCGCTGGAGTCACGTCGTCGTCCAAGTCCTCCGCCGCTCCCACCTCCGCCGAAGATCCTCTACCTCAGGATGCCATCAACAAGCTGTCCGACTCAGACATTGCCAACCTCGTTCAGAGCAACCCCGCCCTCGCTCAGCAAATGCTCAAGGGCAACGCTTCCCTCGATGCTCGTAGCATGCGTGAATTACTCAAGTCTGTTAGTGCCGCCGACGTAATGACTGGCATGAGCTCGGGAAAGAATGCAAAGGACATGGCAAACTACAAGTTCTGGTCTACCCAGCCTGTTCCTCGCTTTGACGAGAAGGCCGCCGTCGAAAAGAAGTCGGTTACAGAAGGCCCCATCAAGGACGTCGACCCTGCCAAGGTTCCCACAACTCCCTCTCCCTTGGTTGCCGGCTTCGAGTGGTGCGAGGTCGATCTTCTGAAGGAGAACGAATTGAAGGAGGTTCAAGAGCTGCTGTGTAACCACTACGTCGAAGATGACGAGGCCATGTTCCGCTTCAACTACCTCAACGAGACACTCAACTGGGCTCTCAAGGCTCCCGGCTGGCGCAAGGCATGGCACGTTGGTGTACGCGCTTCAAAGTCTCAGAAGCTTGTTGCTTTCATCTCGGGTGTCCCTGTCCGTCTCAACGTCCGCGACCGTCTCGTCAACACTGCCGAGATCAACTTCCTGTGTATTCACAAGAAGCTACGTAGCAAGCGTCTTGCTCCCGTCTTGATCATGGAAATCACCCGCCGTTGCAATCTCGAGGGCATCTACCAGGCTATCTACACGGCTGGTGTTGTCCTGCCCAAGCCTGTAGCCAGTTGCCGCTACTTCCATCGTGCTCTTGACTGGGAGAAGCTCTATAACGTCGGCTTCAGCCCGCTCCCTCATGGAAGCACAAAGATGCGTCAAATCTCAAAGTACCGTCTGCCTGAGCGTACTGTCACTCCTGGCCTGCGCCTGATGAAAGCAGAAGATGCCGATCAAGTCACCGACCTTCTCGAACGCTATATGAAGCGTGTCAAGATGGCACAAGAGTTCAACAAGGAGGAAGTTCTCCACTGGTTCCTGGACAACGAGTCTGATCCCAAGAGCAACAAACGCGTCGTCTGGACTTATGTCGTCGAGGACTCCAACAAGAAGATCACCGACTTCTTCAGCTTCTACTGCCTCGAGAGTTCCGTCATTCATAACGCTAGTCACTCGAGCACCATCCGCGCTGCTTACCTCTTCTACTACGCCACCGAGAGTGCTTTTGAGAAACAGACAGAGGACGACGATGTCCTCAAGACGCGTCTGAACTTGCTGGTCAAGGACGCTCTGATCCTCGCCAAACAGGTATGCATTGCAATACACAGTCTTTCACCATACAAACAACTAACGATTCGTACAGGCCAAGTTCGATGTCTTCAACGCCCTCACCCTCCTCGACAACCCTCTCTTCTTGACCGACCAAAAGTTCGGCCCCGGCGACGGTCAACTCCATTACTACCTCTTCAACTACCGCACAGCCGACCTGCCCTCCGGTGTCGACAACAAGAACCAAGTCGATGCCAGACATCGTGGTGGTGTTGGTGTTGTCATGCTGTAGATACCCTACGATCTGCCTCATATCCCTCAAGCCTCTTGTTCTTAGCGTTATCCCTAGCGAATGTCTGAAAATGCTTCCAATCGAGAAATTTCAGATGTGGCTTCTCCACTACTTACAACGTTGCTTTGTGTCTGTGTTTATGAGCATGTTGCTTCTCGGTCCCTTATTTCTTGCATCCTCTTTTGTGCCTCGTTCAGATGTTGTGCGAGACCTTGCCAATGTGTGGTTGTGCTAGATTGCTGTCAGCGATATTCGAAATGCAAATAGCTTGTTGCATGACTTCAGTACTTTTTGTCAGGCGAGCACACGCTCCATGGCAGTCCGTATCTTAGACATCGTCGGGTATTTGTTGAACACACACCGCCCCCTGACCGAGACCTCTCTGCATCGAGTCCAGTCTCCACTGTGTCCACAGGTCTTTGTTGCTGATACAAATCAAGCACCGCGGTTTATAATGATATCCACCCTGACGCCAGAGCGACGACACACAAAGCATATCATACAGAGAGCAACCATGGCGAAGAATAAGGCGAACTGCCCTTGAGGCTTGGGTCCAATGACGCTCATGAGGAGGGCGCACCAGAAACCAAGGCTAGCGCGAAGAGGAGCGTCCCGGATGGCATAGAGGCAGTCAATCATGTGCCACATACACACGACCTGGTAGATTTGGATGGAGAATGTTGAGAGCATCGTTACTGGCTGTTTGTTGTTGTGTTATTCTGTTTTGAGAGGTTGTCTGGACTGACGAAACTCGTGGTTGGAAGACGTGTTGTTATTTTCAGCTTGGAAGGTGTTTACAAGAGAGCATGTCGAGATGAATATACGTATCGGGCGTCGAGCCAGGACTAGAAGCTACTGGTCAATGTCTCAAGCAGAAAGGTTCTCGACACTGTCTTGAACAGTGCAGTTGGGAGTCTCATTTCTTTGTTGACTGAATGGATGAAGACGGAGCTATCTTGAGCCCCAGACTCGTAGTAGTCCCTTGAACATATTCAATGCTGGGATGACGGTAATGGCAAGGTTTGCCAGCCGCACATTGCCACTCAAGACTCAGGCCTAGATATTGCAGTCCACCCGGTAGACTGAGCATCTCAGAAACTAGCCTTTGGAAACCTGCCGAGTCTAAGCAGCCTAAATTGGCACATAGTATCGTCGCTGAGCTTGCCAAGAGGATCGGTGTCCTCGTGGGAAGTGCCAACATTCGCTTACTGCTTGGACAAAGGACTGAGATGAGACCGCTGTTGCAAGTGACCAGTCTCACCGTATGAGCGTACAAGCTAGAATCATGGTTAGAACGATTGTACTCCCCACTGCTAGAATTATGCGTGTAGCTGTGTCTAGACAGTATCCTAGGAACAATGACGACGTCTCCCCTTGTCGCAAAAACACTCTTGGAGTGTTGTTCTCGTCCTACAAGGTATCTAAGCAATGCCCTTCCCATGTGCTACACCTTGTTACACGAAGCTGTATGAAGGCACGATCTCTTATGAAATATAGCCATGTCCATTGGGATCTGTTGACTTCCTGCATGTGAGCTTCTGATCCAGAGAAGCACCATGCCTCCCTGCAGTTCGACGGTACTCCATTCTCATCATCATGGAGGTGGCGTAAGATACATGATCACGAAAATTGTGTTGCGTGCTGCATTGTTGCTTTGACGCTATGCTGGATTGCAGGCGTGCGTGGAATCCAGATCACATCTCTGATTATTGGAAGATACCGTGTAAATACCAGTTCTCGTCTTTGCTCGTGAATGGTATAGTGACCGAGTCGTGAGGTTTCCGAGCCTTGTAGACATGCGTGAAGTTTTGACAGAGGAGATCCCGTCCGAGATGAACACCCAGCTCCGGACATGTCTGTTGACCTCCAAGACGTCGGACAGGCCAGCACAAGAAGACTTAATAATGCTCACTATAACAAGCGCATGCTACTTGAGTCTGTTCAAGAGTACAGATCGCGGTCCTTTTCTGGTATCTAGGGCAGGGCCGCGTGGAAGCTCATGTCCTTCGTCGTGAATAAGCAGGTTGATGTGCTCAGGAGAGGTAGGAAGTGTACATCAGCTACCGAGATTGGCAGTCGATGAGATAAATCATGTACTCGATCCTCACATCCTGCAAAGCCGGACCTGTGATCAATCGCCAGCTCGGTCATGTGGTAGCCGATTAGTCAAGGAAATGGCCAAGAAGGGCAAGTGCTGGCCGAGCGTCTTCGTCTTCCCCATGGAGGACCAAGACGATAAATTGCACGCAGTGATCGAGTTTGATGCCTGTATCTGCTGCTGTGTTGACTGAGGTGCAAATAATGCAAGTCGTCGTCGCGACGATGATTAAAAGGTAAGAAACCCCATTCCGCAGTCGCAGCTATTCAGATCCGCAATCGGCGTCTGGCGCGGTAAAGACAGCCATTATTATTATCATTAGCAAACCGATTGGTCCCCAGATTTTCTGATCTCGTCTGGTCTTGCGCTTAGCGGTCACCTCCATCTTCAATTGACCCTATGCGCATGTATAGCCGCAACCACTTTTCTTAGCTGGCGAACACGTTTTCACTACAAATTCCTTCATTTCTCAGCGTTTCTCTCTTCTCTCTCCCTCACCTTTCCTAGAAATCAACTTCCCCGGCATCGTTTGCTGCAATTGTCCACATTCTACATTCCTAGGACCCTATCTGCCCCGCGATAACCCCACTATCAACAATTTATCTACCACATCATGGCACCCATCGCCATTCACACTTCGCCAAAAGACTCGCTCAACGCTGAGGCCGAGTCTTTCAAGCCTGTCGGAAACAAGCAGATTGATCCTTATCATTCAGCAACTTCTGCTACTGCTATCGCCGCCGAATCCGCATACGCTGCCCACAACTACCACCCCCTGCCTGTGGTCTTCTCGAGAGCACAGGGAGTTGATGTTTGGGATCCCGAAGGTAAGTTGATCGGAATTTGAATGGTAGCGCTCGCACGGCGCGCAGTAATGAAATTGGTCGCGGTCTTGGTCTGCGAGAGGGAGGTGCCTGCATTGTTCCTCCAGCAGGTTCGAACCACGCCGAATCACATCAGTGCATTGCGTCGCATGCCAGCCACCGACACATCACTAGAAGAAGACATGCTAACAGTACACAGGCAAGCACTACCTCGATTTCCTGTCCGCATACAGCGCCGTGAACCAAGGTCACTGCCACCCCGAACTCGTCAAGGCCCTTGTTGCCCAAGCCTCAAGACTCACACTCAGCTCTCGCGCGTTCTACAACGATGTCTTCCCGCGCTTTGCCGAGAAGGTCACTTCAATGTTGGGCTTCGAGATGGTCCTCCCTATGAACACTGGTGCCGAGGCTGTAGAGACTGCTGTCAAGATCGCACGCAAATGGGGTTACAAGGTCAAGGGCATTCCGGAGAATGAGGCATGGGTTTTCTCTGCACAGGAGAACTTCCACGGTAGAACAGTGAGTGCAAATGATGGCTCACCTCTGGGTATCGCTAACACATGTCCAGTTCGCTGCCATCACCATGTCCACCGACCCCGAGTCCAGAGATAACTACGGCCCTTACCTGCCCAACATCGGTTCTTCCAACCCCACCAACAACGAGCCCATCCGCTACAACAACGTCGCCGACCTCGAGAAGGTACTGGAGGAGCACGGCAAGAACACTGCCGCTTTCTTGGTTGAGCCCATCCAGGGTGAGGCTGGTATCGTCGTGCCGGACGAGGATTACCTCGTAAAGGTTCGCGAGCTTTGCGACAAGCACAACGTCCTTATGATCTGTGACGAGATTCAGACTGGTATCGCTCGTACTGGTAAGATGCTGTGCCACGAGTGGAGTGGTATCAAGCCTGACCTTGTTCTTCTCGGCAAGGCCATCAGTGGTGGCATGTACCCCGTCTCTGCTGTTCTTGGCAAGAAGGAGGTCATGCTCACCGTCGAGCCTGGAACTCACGGTAGCACTTACGGTGGTAATCCTCTGGGTTCTGCCATCGCTATCAGAGCGCTTGAGATTATCGAGGAAGAGAACATGGTTGAGCAAGCCCAGGTCTTTGGTGAACTGTTCAGACAAGGTCTTCGCGACATCCAGGCCAAGAACTCGATGATTTCCTTGATCCGTGGAAAGGGTCTGCTTAACGCCATCGTCATCGATGAGAGCAAGACCAACGGCCACAGCGCATGGGATCTCTGCATGTTGATGAAGGAGAAGGGTCTTTTGGTAAGAAAAGCTTCACTAATCGATTGATGAAACACCAGGCTAACGTTCCTGCAGGCCAAACCTACTCACCAGAACATCATCCGTCTGGCACCGCCGCTCGTTATCTCCAAGGAGCAAATCGAGACTTCTTTGAGAATTATCGGAGAGGCAGTTGACGAGTTGCCCAACTTGAAGGGCAAGAAGGAGGAGAAGATCCTCCCTCCCGGTGAGAAGAACGTGCATATCGGCGTCGATAACTGAACGTGGCCAAAGTCACTTCGACATCAAAAGAGTGCATCGTGTGCGTTGCACTGATTAACGTTTTCCGCCACGATGCAATCCGCCTTCAGCGTGCAGCATATTTTATCGATTTCTCCAGCGTTTCGAGTCAGGACTTTGCATGAACAATACCCCCCTCGAGAGACTGTATGCATGGGTGATCGCTTTACAGACACTTTCGTAGTTATTAGACAGCTTGCGCACCAAATTGTGCCACAGATAAGCTAAACGAATACACAATGTCACTCAATCTAGAAGAAGCGTGCGCCCATTCCAAGTTCGTGCGACGCACCACCTCTCCACGAATCTTCATACGAACGTTCAGAGCTTCACCGCGCGGTTCTACAGCTACACGCGCGGCAGAGTTTAGCAACACTACGAATTTTGGACAGCGCATCGTCGCAAGCCCGTGGAGACTACAAAAGCATGACGAATGTGCCTGGAAAAAGAAGGATTCGAGAAACCAGATCAACGTAGAATCCAGCGTGGGTGAGACAGCCGTCAAGTCAGGTTTCCTTGGATGTCTGTTAGGCTACCGACGAACCACAAGGACGTGTGACATATCGACGACGGCCCAGAAGCGGCGTGGCGGTGGCCTATCAGCAAACATGTAAACGTCGCTTGGATTGTGCCTTGTCATAGCGATAGCAAAAGACAGAGGGTTGTTTAAACCCGCCACGCCTCCACAACGTGTCTGAAGCACTTCTGGGCCAAAGGTTGAGAGAACGCCCAGCGCCGACCAGTCCACGCTAAGCTCCGCGGGAGTTCAAGAATGACCTTCCCCAGACCTCGATTAAGCGGGCCGATTCTAGGGTAAATTGATTGCAGGCTTATCGAAATGCGCTGAAACCGAATCGTTCGATGTGTTGTCTGATTGCGGCATGGAAATTTCGGCTTTGTTGAGGGGTTCCCTGTCAAGTCGAAAAGCATGATGAAGAATTCGTCAGCATGTCGTTATGACAGTGGCAGAAGTGTTTGCTCGATTAAACAGGATTTCTGGAACTTGGGACCGAGTCAGTGGAGGCGACTGCGACCAGGACTCAGGCTGGGGAGAGGCCGACCGTTGTTGGCGCAGAGAGATGTGCGGACCTTCAGGGGTAGCTGGGGTCTGGCCTCGCAAATCGACCAGAGCGGACGAGAGCCACACAAATTCGAGTCCAGCAGCACACATGGAGCTGACACGGGCTGGAAGGCTTGCAGCATGTTCAATAAAACCCGAGAAAAATTAATCTGAAGCGCTAGAGGCAATTGATGTTAGCTTGGGCAAAGCAAGTGGGCGTATTTGCGCGTAGGTCTTAGCCGTATCTAAACGACCGTGCTCAGAGTAGTCCGTCCTCCCTCCCCGTTGACTTCGCACCTCTTGTTCTTGAAGCAGCGTGACGCCTTTACCGTAGCGGCTTTTCTTGTCCACACCTCTTATACCTGCCGACTCCTCTTCTGCCTCATTGACTAGTCGTTTCCCCATTCGCCTTGCGTAACGTGCCTCAGTGTGTGCACTGCCCTACCACCACAGACACCATCGACCATCGACCATCGACCATCCACGATAACAACGACTCAAGAGCCGCCGCGTCTCCGCCTTTCTCGCCCGACCCCCTGATCTTCTTCCGACCACATCAACTAGAGATCCCATCGACCGTCGATATCAATATTCTTGACGACCATTGACCTTTCATCATCCACAATGGGCTCCTCCAACTACAACCACCTCGAAGATGAGGTGACCTTCGGCGCTACTGTCGACACTCCCACAAAGACCCAAAACCACCTCGCTCCCAATGTGTTCGACACTCCCAAGTCGCTCAGCCCGGTCGTCACTGTCGACGCACCGTCGGATGAACCTTTGACTCCTTTCTACGCCACACCTTCTGCCGACATCTCTCGCCAAACACTCCCTGCCGACCGTGTCAGCGAGACCGACCTCGAGTCTGCCCGCAAGGAGGGCTACTTCATCACATCCAACCCCGTCGGATCAGACCTCAACCTCCCATCAGAAATGGCTCCCGTCTCCGCCGTTCCTACTGGATCCAGATTGAGCTTTGATGGTCGCACCAAGGAATGCACAATGTGGCCTACAAAGCAGACTCTCCGCAACCAAGACAGAGCTGAGCGTGCTAAGCGCAGAGCAGCAAGAGCCTGCGGCTGCAGCAGTATCCACGCTTGGTGGGTCGGCACAGACAAGAGACAAAGACTGTGGTTCAAGTTCATCGTCGCTGCCTTCATCGTCGCCATCGCCTGCGGTCTTGGCATCGGTATCAGCAAAGCTGTCGGTGCCGGTGTCTTTGCTGGCAAGGGTCAGACCAAGCCCATTGCCAACGCATAAACCCCCCCCCACTGCTTTACGACACTGTCTCCTTTCTCCGGCGTTTTGCTTTTGGCAAAGTCTTGCTTCCGAGCGTTTTTCTGTTCATGCCGCTGATTCTGTCGCCTATTCTTTTTCATGTTTTCCTTTCTCTGTCGATGTTGATTACATTGTATTGCACCTGTGCCAGTGATGCATTGATGCGGCGTTAGTGGTTGGGGGCCTTGAGGGGCCATGGTATCGGTGTTTGGGGGGTCTTGTACAGGGAGCCTTATTGGGTATCCATGATCCTGAAACCAGAGTGGGTGTTTTGCTCAACACTAAGAATATGATCTTCTATCCGCTTCGATGCGGACTTTCTACACTACATTGTTGTCTTCGTTCAGTCGGCCTTTGATTGGTGAAAATGTGTGCCATGGTGTTGTACCTATTTGTCTACCTGTATTGTCGTGTGCAAGAAGCGGGAATCCTCTCAACTGGGCTTGTTCCTGATATCCTGGGCGTGCATGTTGACACGATTATAGGTCCACTTCAAGCAGAGAGTGCTGATTGTCATAACCACAGCACTGCCCGCAAAGAGACCGATTCTACCAGCAGTGTCCAAGACTTCAAAGATGGGGTAAGGGTACCATCCGTTGTGTTTGAAGCATTCCTCAACCCAGAACCAGTATGAGATAGCAATGCCACTACTAATACCTAGAGCCGGAAGGACAGAGACAGTGTAGGGTGGAGAGAAGAAGAGCAGATCCAAGATAAGTGCTATTGAAGGTGCAGCATGGAAGGAGAAGTCGGCACCAAATGGGATCCTAGGAGCCCACTCTGGAAGAACAAGACTTTCATCAATCTGATCTGTTAGTCAGCATGCTATAACACGTGTTATAAGCTCAACATACGCCTTTGAGACCCCAGTATAGGATACTAATCAATACTTCCATGGGAGCACTAGTCACCGAAAGTATGTTCTTGATCCTGAACAATCTAGTCGACAAGGTTAGGTCGGCAAGTAGACCAATGATGAAGGTCAATGTAGCAAGACTCAGACCGAGAATGGTCAGATGTTGAAAGTGTCGACCAAAAGAGTCATTGACTGGGTTCGGATTGGCTTCTAGCCAGTAGAATGAATATGCAAAACTGGAAAGACCCAGAATCTGTGTTTATGTCAATCATACTTCCTCTCGCTGGCTCTTCTTCCTCGATGATTCATACGTGAAGTGCAGCACTTGTGCCTCGAGAAGGAGATTCTAAACGCTGCTGTGGGTGACGCTGGAGGAAGTCTCGAACTGTTTTCGACGACATTGTTACAGATACATGTACTTGCAACAAGTCAAATTACTACAGACAGACAACAAGATAAAAGGAAAGAGAGTCTGCCAGCATGGGGCATGGTGACGTTCATATTAGTGAGCATCAAGGCTGTCCTAAACCCGCTTTTCCCGGCCACTCGGAACCAAGTCGACCCGAGCCAGCATCGAAACTTCTGTCATCTGTCAACCGGCAGGATTACAAACCGATCGAGTATGAGCAAGGCATCGATGTTGTCTATGCAGCTCTACTTGGTGGCTTTTGGACTGCGACGACTGGGTTATGAGAGCGAGTTGGATTTGTGCATGTGAGGTTCCTTGGATTCGATTGGGTGGACCTTGGATCAACCTCCCCGCCATGCTTTTTTCTGAAGCTTGGTCGACCATATTCGACCTGCAGCCTTCCAAACCTCGATGGACAGACACAAGCTCGCTGAAGAGTCAATCTAGTTCTGTATATAGAGCAAAGTGGTGCATGGGACAGACGTCTAACATGTTAGGGAAATCATGTTCGCAAGAGGCAACCTTGGCCGTTTCTTATCTCGGGTCCATCGGTTCATTGATAAGAAGCCTAATCCAGGGCAGGTCGCCGAGGTGCATTTTCTCGTGCAGGCCAGTCAATCGAGCGCTATTTTCTGCGTCCCTTGATGATATTGCTTCCAGAGATTGCTACAGGAGAAGCATAACATATTTTTGTCGCTGAGCATATCGTCAAATCTGGGTAATTGCTGGCCTTAGGATGTATACAATACCTCGTTGAAAGAAAGCACGCCGAGCCCGCGAAACAGCTCATCATGCCACCTCGGAGCAACTCATCATCAGCTGCAGCCAACGGACCCAAGAAGCGTTCTCGTACAGGATGTCATGGATGTAAGAACAGAAAAGTCAAATGTGACGAGGCAAAGCCACGATGCACCAATTGTGTAAAACAGAATGAAGAGTGTGATTACTCCCTGAAGCTACAATGGGGAGGTCGCAGCAAGAAAGAGCAAAATGCATATTCCGCAATGTCGGACGCAGCATCTGGTTTCTCTACCATCAGTTTTGCTACACCTAGTGCTCCGCCGACTGCGGCTCCTTCACCTTCAGCTCAAATGCTACCGATGGTGGAGCTTCAGAATACCACACAAGAGACTTTGTTCAGAGAGAGCGGTAGCAGTACCAATGCTCAAGCAGTACCATCTGATCATAACTCTGGATACAACCCTGGTATGGGTGCAAGTCGGCCATCAGCTTATCCGGAGCCCACCGGCTCTTACTCCTCTTTACCCCAATTTGCTTTGCCGAATCCATATCCCATGAATCCTCCAACAACAGGACAATACTATCGAAGTCCGAGTCTTACTCGCCCACCTTCGCCTTACGAGTTCGGATGGTCGAACGAAGATAGGACCAAAAGGGCTAGACTCGATTCTGGCGACGGCCCGCCACGAAGCCTTCCACCTCTTTTTGCTCGACAAGGACTGCCTGAGCCACATGGCTCACCTTTCTCACCTTATGATCAAGCATCTCCTGGGGCAACTGCGTATCAGTCTGCACCGTCGCCTCTTACTCCTGGCCCATCAAGTGCTCATCCGTCACCAGGACTGAGAAGACTTTCCGTAAACTATCTGCTCTCAGGACCAGCTGGAGATCATGCAAGTCCACGATCATCGTACGATCGCTTTGGTGGCTATCGAAGGATTGAGGATGGTTGCACAATCTATGGTTATGACCATGGGCTGCCCGATCTGGACATACCCAGAAACGACGACAATGGAGCCATCAACCCACAAACACCTGCAGCATCGATGGCATCGCCTAGTACACTTTCTGACATTGCATGGTCACCATCACAACTCTTCGAGTCACCAGTCGAGAAGCCTGCGTTTGAGAAAGGCGGTTACTATGCTCGCCCTGTGCCAATAAGGATACCTTTGGAGCTTGAGCCTTTGCCTGCGCAACTCTCGGAAAGTCCTATGAATTTGATCTACTTTCACCATTTCTTGAACCATACTGCTCGCATTTTGGTACCTCACGACTGCCCCGATAATCCATTAAAGACCACTCTCCCACGCAGTACGTAATTGATAACATCAAAGCATTCAACGCGATTGTTAACGTAACCTCTAGTTGCTGTACGGAACGCAAATTTACTAAATCTACTCCTCGCATATTCAGCATCCCACAGAGCACGCCTCCTCTCCCACCCCGAACCAGCCAACCGCGTCGCAACATGGCTCCGCGATGTATTTCCCGACCTACGGCGCTCACTTTCCTCCAACGAACCAGTCTCCAACGCCACCTTGACCACAGCAATCATGCTAGCCTCCCGCGAATGCATAAACCCAAACAGTCTAGACGTCTCCATACCCTGGCAAACCCATCTTGAAATCGCACGACAAATCATCATTTCTCGTGGTGGACTAAAAGATCAAGGCGATACTGGGGACTCGTTTGTCAACTTTCTGGCCAGATGGTTTGCGTATCTTGATGTTATTGGGTCGCTTTCTGGACATAGGAATCAGGCGCCACTGGATGATGAATACATGTCTTTTGATGCTGGGAATCAGTCAGACGCGTATGGATTTACGATTGACTGTTTCTTTGGCTTTACGAATTGTTGCATCAGTTTGTTGGCGAGGGTGGCGAGATTGGCGAGGCAGTGTGGTGCTCAGAGGATTGACGGGCAAGGTAGTATCGACGCGAATTGGACAGCATCGAAGGAAGTACTTCAAGAAGCGGAGGGGTTGAAGAGAGAGTTGTCGCATAGTAGGCATCATGTCCAAAGAGGATGTCGACATAGCAGAGACGAAGACGAACAAACCAGCGAGAGAACGAGATTGGAGTTGCAAGAGATGGTATCGGTGAATGAGTCCTTCCATCTTGCTGGTTTGATCCATCTGCACCGCCGTGTGTTTGGCAAGGCATCAACGGATCCTGAGGTTCAAGATTCTGTCAAGCTTGTTCTTCAGGCACTGAAGGGAGTTCGAAGAGGAGGTACGGCAGAGTCAAGTTTGCTGTTTCCGATGTTCACCGCTGGATGCGAAGCTCAAGACGTTGAGGACAGAGATGTGATCTTGGAGAGATTGAAGTTGGTAGAGGGTCTTGGAATGACTTATGTGAGTATCTTCTCGGTTGTTTGACCAACATCCAGGGCTAATATTGGTTAGGTACGCAACGCACGACACCTCATGGAAAAGTCATGGGACACGGGAAAATCTTGGGAAGTACTGGTTGCAGGCGAATTTCTGGGATAGAAAAGAGTACAACTGTTGGCAACGACGGCCATCTCTCTGGGTACATGATGTGACGGATTCGTGCTCAGCGTCCGAAAAGTGATTTTTGACAGAAGGATATGGATGATGATAAGATGACAAGACTTTTTGATGAGTTGAACGACATGCAGAGAAACCTGGCGCAAAAGGGTGATTTGGTGCCAAAAGCCGAACCGTAAAAACGCCATCGCTGTGCAAATCCGAGAGGAGCAATCGAAGAATGAGAGAAATCATGACTTGTTGGGGGCGTTTCTGCGCTCGTTGGCACGCTCCCTCCTCTCGTTGCGCTTGACACGCTCGACTCTCTCCTCTCTTCTCTCCTTCCTGGCATCGTGCTCGCCACCGTCCTTTCTCGTCTTCTTCTCGTCGACCTCGACCAGCCAGTCGTTCTCGCCATTCTTGTTCTTGCCCTTGTAACCGTACTTGGGCAGCCATTCGCCAGAGGCTTGGTCGTAGACGAGCTTGCCATCGCGCTTCTTGTCCTTGATACCCTTCTTCTTTGCAAACTCTTGCCACTTGGTCATGGGCTTCTCCTCGGGGACGGGCTTCTCGCGGGGCATGGGGGTGGTGGGTGTGGGTAGGCCGAGGGTGACGCTGGTGCTGTCGTCTGATTTTGTGATGGGGCATGTGGAGAGGAGTTGGTTGATCAGGGCTTGTGCGCAGTCGCGGGCGGCATCCTTGATGTCGGACTCTGAGATGGTGCTGACGGGTGGCAGAGGGTTGGTGTCGTTGCAGAGAAGGTTGCCCAAATCGAAAGTGTAGGGAATGGGCTTGCTGACCGTGACGGGAAGGCGGGGCTTTGAGCCGGCGGCGACCTCGGTGTCGATTTGCATTTCGTCGATGCTCATTTTGGCGTATGTGAGGAGTGTGTTGTGGTGTTGTGATGAGATGATAAAAAAGTCTTGCTCGCTCTTCTGCACGCAAGTTTGCGGCGAGAATCCACGATAAGCCAGTCGGCGATTAGATCGAGCACTCCTTATCGCTATCAGATCTTGCGACCCTGGACGCTTGGGCGGCAAGTGGGGCGCTGGACAAATAAACAAGAGGTGCGAAACACGAGGCGCTCTCTCACTCATCACAACCGTACCATGTCGTTCTTCTCGGGCTTTTACACTCGTCTGTCCGGCTCTTTCACGAAGCCGTCTGAGGCTGAAGGCGACGATATCACTGTCGCTCACGTGCCTCAGCCAGACTCGGTGGGCGAGAACGATGCATCAAGCCGCACTTTATCTTCCGACGACGACCAAGGGGACGTCGACACTCCCGAGAAGACTCATATCTCATCACGATCACATGTACCGCCGACACCATCTTTCGCGCCTCCAGCCACTCCGTTTGCAGGACAGTCTTCGCCCATAGTCAACCGAGCAGCAGCAGAACAACTCATGCGCGAGGCCGGCGCTTCTGCTCCAACTCCCGCTCTCAAGGCCACACCCTTCTTCGGCGTCTTCGCTCCCCCTCAGACGCCTGCTGCGCGCAATCTGTCTCCTGTCAGAGCACAGGCCGCCGAAGAGCAGCTTAAGCGGGAGATGCTAGGAGATGTGCCCGAAACACCTGCTACTGTTCAGCCCGGAACAAGAGCTACTCCCATGACACAATACAAGACTCCCGCCATGTCGCACTCCACTCCAACCGACTTCTCTACAGGACAGTCTGCTGCAATAGACGCTTTCCAGACTCCCTCGATCGCGCCCGCCAGGCGCCAACGTCAAACCCAGTCGCCAATCCATGAAGAGTCGGAGATTCTCATTGCACATGTTGAGCACGAGCCACAGTCTTCCGCAACGCCTGAAGTTGAGCAAGAGGAGGATGCGGCAGAGGAATCAGAGGCTTCGGCAGCATCATCACCTCACGCGATTGTTGATGTGGATGTGTCTTCGGCAGATGAGAAGGATACTTCCACTACTTCGATCGAGTCCAGCGATTCGGAGAAGGCCCGCACAATCGTCATTACCACAAACAAAGGTCGTAGAAACCAACGACGCACCACCCAACGCCTCACATGGCGAAGCCTCGATGACAGGAAATCAAGAGTGCAAAAGGCAACAAGGCCAGGAGTGGGTAGAAGTGTCAGCGGCAGAGAAGAGCTTTTGAACAGAGCCCGCAAGCGTTTCTATCATCGCAAGGGGGATACGACTAAACTTTTCTGATTTTTTTGCAACACAACATGAGCATGAAGCTTGCAACACGTGCATGAAGCATTTTGGGCATTCTGGCGGGGTTTACTTGGAGCGACGCATATCTCTGGCTTATGATACCCTTTATGGCTGTGGGCTTTTGGGGTCGATACCAACATTTTGTTTCCTTTGTTCATAGAGGAGTTTTTTATCTCCTTTGCATAGTCCCCTCTTATAGAGAGCCAATTTCGTGTTCTACAGACATTACATGTCATTGTTGATGAGAACAAGCTATATTGTTGCACGGAATAGCGATCGAAGCAGTTAAGCTCTGTGAACGATACCCTGGTGGACACGGACGAATGCGTCACGCCCCGCGCCCTACGCCAAACACTTTTCGGTATCGCAATCGACAACTCACTCCTTCTTCTTTCCAACTTCAGTTGACTTGATCGTTCTTTCTGTCTGGCAATTAAAAGTATCCGAAACAATGGCTGCATCGTTCCCTCCCCCTCCCGTCAACACCATTGGTACGCTCTTCCGACCACCTCCGACCTCGAGAGCCCCACCATAGCTAACAAGCATTCTACAGACTGGGACAACATTGGCTTCCAAGTCCGTGAAGGTATGCATTTTTCATCCTCACTCACGCACTCTGCATCTTCTGACACTCCGTCTCACCAGTAAACGGCCACATCGAATCCACCTACTCCAAAAAGACGGGCCAATGGACCTCCCCCAAATTCGTCACCTCCCCTTACCTCCGTATCCACGGCATGGCTCCCGGTCTCAACTACGGACAACAATGCTACGAAGGCCTCAAAGCCTTCCGCACCCCCGACGATGCCGCTATCACCATCTTCCGCCCCTCGATGAACGCAAAGCGTATGCAACACTCGGCATCGTTTGTCTCCATGCCCGAAGTCCCCGTTGAGCATTTCGAGCATTGTGTCAAAGCTGCAGTGGCATTGAACGCCGAATACGTGCCTCCTGCTAGAACAGGTGCTGCCATGTATATCCGCCCTTTGCTGTTTGGAAGTTCTGCGCAATTGGGTCTGAGTCCGCCTGAAGAGTACATGTTTGTGGTTTGGGTCTTGCCCGTCGGTGTGTACCATGGTGTTCACTCTGTCCCTGCCCTCATCCTTGAGGACTTTGATCGTGCAGCCCCTCATGGTACTGGCAGTGCCAAGGTCGGTGGAAACTATGCGCCTGTGTTGAGATTCAGTGAAAGAGCTAGGAATGATGGTTATGGTATTACACTGCACTTGGACTCGAGGACGAGGACGGAGATTGACGAGTTTAGCACTTCTGCTTTCTTGGGTGTCAAGAAGGATGGGGAGAAGACCACACTCGTTGTGCCGGATAGTAAGAATGTCATTGAGAGCGTGACGGCGGATAGTGTGTGTGAGATTGCACGCAGTTTTGGCTGGACTGTTGAAAAGAGAGCTGTAAGTTTTTTGCCTTTTCTCCTCCTTCTCAAATCTACACGACTAACTCGCGTCCACACAGATCAACTACGACGAACTCAAATCCTTTGATGAAGTCTTTGCGGCCGGTACAGCAGCCGCCCTCGTACCCATCAAGAGCATCACGATGAAGTCCCGCAACGACACCTTCACCTACCTCGACTCTGACGAGCCTGGTCCTGCTTGCCTGAAATTCCTCGATCATCTCAAGGGTATCCAGACTGGACGTTACGAGGACAAGTTTGGCTGGAATGTCAAGGTTGAGCAGGTCAAGAGGGAGGGGTATGGGGCGGAGGATGAGACTAAAGGGGGCAATGTTGATATGATTAATGCTTGATTAAATTGAGAGGTCTTGCTTGGTTCAAGACGGGAGATGGGAGAAGGCATAGCATGTCTGGATTAGGAGATATATGTATGTCACGCCACGGTGCTAGAATATGAAACACGTGTGTAACTATCTGAAGAAACATCACCGACCATGATCTGCAGTGATGATCCTTGTCGACTACGCCTCTCTGTGCCCTGTCTCAATCTAGGCGATAATCAGGTATGCATGTTCACTTCCCATTGCTGCTCAGCACCACCATGCGAGTATATCTGCCATGAGTTACGTGGTTGCGCATAAGAGCATTCAAGTACCATCTCATGCACGGTCTCAACAATACAGGAGGTGTTTCAATTAAGCTTGTCTAGCTAGGTAGGAGAGTGTTTGAGCATATCACCTCCAGTCTCACTCTTCCTCGATTAGGCCTCAATGGCTGCCATCCAGACATACCACCCTCATCCTCATCGTCCAATAAATTCCTCTGCGCCCCTCCAGTACCCCTCCTAGGAGGCAACGCGGGCCCTTTGTCACTCTGACCAGCCTGACCAGACTGTCTAGACCAGGTCTCAATCCTCTTATCACTTTGTCCAGCTTGTCGGCTCCAACCCTCAATCCCCTTGTTATTAACCTCTCCAGTCCCTGTCCTCCTAGGTGGTGGAAGCATAGGCATAGAAGTGCTTTTTCCCACTCCTGCACTACTGCTAGGAGATTGAGGTAATGTGTTTACTCTCTTTGGGAGTTTTGGTGCAAAGTCGTCGCGTGTGGCTGTGGGACTTTCTGAGCGTAGGTTTGATGGTTTCTTGGGGATTTGTGGTGGAGCGGGTTTACGGGTGATTTTCTGATCGAGAGACGATGGACGAGGTGGGAGTGGCGGTTCATCGATTGAATCGTCCAGGAGACTTCTTTGAGAATGTGAAGAGCGAGTGCTGGGTGCTGGAGATTGCTGATGTGCTGGCCAGACGGGAGGGAGTTTTCGGTTTGTGGTTGTGGCTCTTCTGTTCAGATTCTCGGTGGATGTTGTGGCTGAGGAATTTCGCTCACGGATGGAGAGGTTGCGTGGTGGAGGTAGGTTTGGTCGAGGTACCTTGACCCAGTCGGGTTCTGATGTTGCGCTGAATGGATTGGGAGGTCTTTCTGTGTTGCGGACGTATCCATCACCTGGTGCTTTGACTTGTGAGCGGGCTGGTATACCGCCGTCTAGCCACCATTTGCGCTTATCGGAGCTGGCTGGAGGAAGACCGGGCTCGATTGACTCATAGCCGAGCAAATCGTCGTCATCAGTGTCTTCAGCTCTGGTGTTGGCAGTATGACCACCAACGGCCGCACGTCTCTGCTTGTAAAGCCCTTCACTGATTTGTTGTTTCTTCTTCTCATCGATAACGGTGATGGTACATTGGAAAGTGGCATAAACAGGTCTGTGGTCTGAGAACTTCAAGGGTGCAGTGTCATAGTGGATCTGACGGAGATTGTGGCCCTTGGTCAGGACACGATCGCACCATGCAGGAATTCGAGCCTTGTCGCTAGTATCGTAGTCATCGGTACCGACATCGTATTTATACGTTGGTAGGAAGGTGATCAACGCCTCGTTGTAATACGGGAATGTCTTGCCGTGGACCATTTGAAGATTGAGCTGTATTCGATCAGTACGGAATGGTCGATTTTGCGAGAAACACAACTTACCTGATCGTTCTCATACAACTTCTCGAGATCGCCCATCTTGACCAGCTGCCTCGTCTTTTCATTCGACATACCAATGCGGTAGTTGAAGTCGCCAAGCCAAATGATGGTATCATGGTCTTCGATCGATCTGTTTCTCTGGAATCGTAATCCATGACTGATAGTCCGGTAATCTTGGTTGCGCTCCTCGTAATTGGCGAAGCCTGCAGCCAAATGTGCAGTGACCAAGCAGATCGAAGTGTTTGCATATTCCAAACGAATGGCCACGGCACCTTTGTTTCCTGCCATGCCAGACATACCTGTCTTCTTCAAGGCACCTTCAACGTTTTTGATGTGTGGTAGGATACTTGCCTTGACAAAGACGGATAGGGAGGCACCCACTAATTGTCCACCTCTCAACATGACATACTCTTCCGACCCCAGAGTCTGAGCATGGTCGTTCAGAGTCGCTTTCACTGCGTCCTCCCACGCCTGTCTTCTGTGTGGATCTGTAGACATGATCTGTTGAGGACTGAGATCGACAATCTCTTGGAAGCCAACAGCCACAATCTCGGGCTGTCTTTGCGACATATCGACTGGAGGGCAAAGCCATGGAGAGAGGTCCTCAGACAGACCTCTAGTCTTGCCATTGAGGTTGAATGTGCCAACATAGATGTTGATGCTATCATATGCCGAGTATTCATTTGTCTTCTTTGCGAGCTCTGCAGAAACCCAGTCGTTGATTGGATCGAATAAGTGGACGGGAACTTGATCTATCAGACGACCTAAGAGCATGTCGATCACATTCTGCCTTCCCTTATCCTCGAAGTTGTTGATGTACAAGCGTGTCGCGCTCTTTCGGAAGTCTGCAAACGCACCTGCAAGAGATGATTTTCCGTGTCTGGTGAATGACGACTTCAAGGCTCCAGTACCTGCGTAAATACGCGATAGTGCATCACCATTATCAGCCCAAAGAGTGCCATGACGGACCCAAAAGTCGTTGGTCGCCCCCCTCTCGGCTCGTTGATTCAAGAACTCTTGGATGGCCATTTGACTGATGAGTGTCTGGATGAGGTTTGTTCTATCCAAGCAGTCGAGACAATTCGTGCGGAACACGCCCTCTTGCTGTAATATGCTCATATTCCTTCGAATGTGTGATTGTGGGCGACCGTTGGCGTTCTTCGGTTGGTCATCTACCTCTTCTGATAGGAAGTAGGCAAAGTTCTCAATCGAGTCTTGCACATATCGCTTGATGCCCTTTGCGGCCTCATATCCGAGTGCTCGAGTCTCTGCGTGGAAGTCGTAATCAGTTTCCTTGATGAGCTCATGTTCTTCCGCTTCCTTTTCCCCAGGCTCACCCGAAGGTAGGTTCAAAGGACTGTTGCGAACATGATATTGATATCTCCGGCTCAACTCGAGTTCACCGGGTTTCTCGTTACTGAGCAGATTGACTACGTGTATGTTACCATAGTTGATCTCCAGGTCAGACATGTGCTTGTCGAATGCAGGCTGGGATGCTTCTGCCGATCGTGTAAGCTGGATCTTTTGCTGTCCAGGTGTGAATCCCGCCGCTTGCTCCCAGAATAGAGGTATGCTGCCTCGCACTTGCACGTAAGAGAAACTGGTATTACCAGGTGTAGAGAATATGACTTCTGTCTCGACAAAGTTTGCGACGTTGCCATCGTCATCAATACCTCGAGCATTGAATCGTGTACCTGCCCTGCGACAAGAAAGGCGAGACAGTAGCGTTAAGGTAGAAGGGAAGCCAGAGGTGGTTTGACTGATAGGTGAAGAAGCGGGAGGAACTGTTACGGTCATAGCAAACCCACGTATCGCAGAGGTCAAGATACGAGAAGCGTCCAACTCTCTTCTCTCATGCTCTGAGAGTCTAGAACGAAAGCTGACCAATGGTTGAATCATATACGAGTTCCAGAGAAAGCCAGCGTCAAGACTGTCAATTGCCACTGTTGCAGATAAAGAAGATCTGATTTGATTTAGTCTGCTGTCATCACCAAGAATTTGGGTAATGTTACCTGTCTTGGAGTCGCCTCGTGAGATCAAAATCAGCACTGTAATAGAAACTGCCACCGCTGAGCAGCTTCTTCATAGCCGCACAAGGATGCTCCAGAGTAGTATCCCTGGCATGATAGTGGTCGAATCCATCCTCCTCGATGTCATCTGTCGAGAAGTTGTTGAGACGATCTGGTACAAGATAGTCGTAATCGGACTTGTTTATGCAGTCTGTGGCCCATGAGCAATTGCAAGGCCAAACGCAGCCCGAAACAACTCACGAAATTCAACAGAGGTAATCTTCAAGACGTTTTCACCATTCCGTACGGTAGCCGCTCTTTGTGCTCCGTTGACAACGCAAAGAAAGATGTCACCATTGACGGTTATCAAGCCGAGAGTTCCGAAGACCGCAAGAGAAGTCAAGGAGCGAAAATCAGTCGTGTCAGTATCAGCAGTTCTACCGAATTCGACCATACATCGTGGTTGTAGAGTTGCACCTTGCGTGGAGTTGACGGAAAGCGAAGAGGCGCCAGCGGTGGAGGCACTATGGCGAAAGGTTAAGATATGGTCATCAGTAGCTAATGCGACAGCGCGGTGAGGGTGGTCCCTCAACAACACACGGATTGTCATGCCGCATGCTTTGCGCTCAAAAGAATTTCAATAACAGTCGACGGTGATATTATCGTAGGTAGGTGGACATGTTAAAAGCGGGAGATGAAGCAACAACCGCTTCCGAACGTCCTGTCAGGTTGGGCAGTGATTGCGGGTGACGCCGAGTAAAGAACGTGACTAGAGACAATATGTACAAATGTTTACAAATTGTGATCTACTCAATGCTGACGCATGTGGTTCGGACGAATGACAGACGTTCTGCTTGGAATTTGGGAGGCAAGCGGTTTTGGTGGTCGGAAAGGTGTCAAGCTCCAAGCGGCAAGACTGCACAAAGACGAACCAAGAGTGGCAACACGATTGATTGCAGTGCATCTAGTGGTAGTTCGGTGAATTGGGCACAGGATACGCATGGCTCTGATGTCGATGAATGATTTGAAGAAATGGTATTGATACAAGAAGATATTGAACGCCATAACCCATGCTTGCTCTGATATACACACATCAACCTGATGTCATGGTGCTAGCCCCCGAGCTTTCCTAAGCGTAGCATCTTATTGTCGATTTCCGTACATGAATCTTCTGACGAAAGTGGAGCACTCTAATGACTGAGGGTGGATCTCTTCTTCAGACGTCTTCTCTTAAGCAGGTTACGACCAGTCCTCGTGCGGAGGCGGGCGAGGAAACCGCTTCTTCGCTTTCTCACACGGTGCGAGGGGTCGAAGGTATCTCTCTTGGGACCTCTGGCCTGCAGAAGGGTAAGGGTGGTCGAGGCAGCTGGCAAAGTGGGAAGCTCGAGAGTGGTGTTGAGCGACAAAGTCGAAGTTGGGGTGGACGGAAGTGTCGGACGTCTTGCTGATAGCAATGAGAATGTGCGACTGCGAGTAGAGGTCAGCGAGGATGCGCAATGGCATGTATGGTGGGAGGATTACGATTGTGCGGGTTGCGATGCGGCCAGAGGGCGAAGAGTCGACTGCAGCAGCGACATGGTTGAGGTGAGATTGAGCGACGATCGCACTTGGGCAATATGCCGTGTGCAGCGCAGCAGCGACATGACGGGCGACCGGTTGTGCGATGTACGATGTATATGCAAGCGTGTATAGAAAGGAAGTCGTCACAGCATCACCATCATGCTCGCCGGCGTGTGCTGGCAGCTGCGACCAGACGCTCGGACCCTTGGACTTTTTTCTCGAATCTCGACTTTGTCCAATCCGTCTTCCGCTCCGCAACAGATCCATCTGTCCATACAAGACTTCTCCCAATGGCATCGACAACTCCCTACCCGCCGTCGCGCTCACACCCTTCAAGCCGCATTTCCACCGAGGATGCTCTCTCTGCCATGACCACCTTCATCGCTGCTTCGGAATCCACTCCTTGGCTGCACCCCGACGCTCGCATTACCCCCGACGAGATCAAATACTCGACCAATGGTGGTCCACAAGGAGGCATCATCATGCACCACCTGCGCCGCATCGAGAAGGGTCTGAACGGCGAGATTCTCGCTCCTGAACCTGACGATCTCTTCGACTTGCCAGAGGGTGACGATACCAACCTTGACAACCTCTCCGCTGGCTACCAGACTACATTAGACGGGGGCATGAAGAAGGGCCCAAGGAAGACTTTCGAGGACGAAGGCGAGGATCCCGAAAGCTATGCGCGCAACCAAGAGATCGTTGAGGGTGAAGTTGGCGACAGGGATACCAGTCATGCTCACTCAGCCTACGACGCTGATGCCATGGACGTCGACGACGAGGCATATGCTGGTACCGGCCTCTCCAAGGCCGAAAGGGAGGCAAGAAAGGAGGCAAAGAAGAACAAGAAGAAGACGATAGCGAGAGAGAAGGCTGCAAAGAACAGATCAGAGGGTTGATCAAGTCTTTCCCTCGCTCTTCAAAGGCCATCCAATCTCTATCCCCATCATCAGCAGACACGCCCTGACCGCTCACCGTCACACACTGTTGAATCGGGATCTTGTCTTCAAAAGGGTCTATACGCCCTCGGACACATTTTTATCTACGACAACTGTTCTACAGCTCACGACCAGTTGATTCGCCCAACGTCTTCTCATCCTTCACCTCTTCCTTTGCCTGGGACACCTTCTTCTCGCTGGTCCAGCCAACTGCCTTGAGGCGTTCTGTTAGGATGGGGTGCGAGTAATGGAAGCTGGAATACATCCAGTCCGCATCCATACTCGAGAGGTTTTGAATCTGGAGCTTGATCAAAGAGCTGGCCAGCTCCGCCGAGTAACCGAGCTTGAGCGAAAAGTTGTCTACAACAAACACGTCAGCATATACTCTACATAATCACCCACTCATCTAACATACCGGCTTCAAACTCCATTCTTCTAGTCATGACGTTCATGAGCAGCTTGATGATCGAATCTGTAGGTGCCAAAACCTCGTTGAAGAGGATGAATCCAATCATGATTGGTCTTTCGCGACTGAAGCCAAAGGCATTGTACAGCGACCGGTTGTTGATGAAGACCGAGAAGAGAGCAAACATGTAGAACAGGTGGACCTGTGAGATCAAGAGCAACTTGGTCGTGTGTCCCATCTTCCAGTGACCCAATTCGTGAGCAAGCACGGCCTCAATTTCCTTTGTTTCCGACTTCTCGATCAGCGTGTCGTAGATGACAATCTTCTTCTTCCAAGGTAGACCGGTAAAGTAGGCATTGCTGTGCGCGCTACGCTTGCTGCCGTCGATGACTTGCAGTTCGGAAAGAGGGAAGTTGAGACGTTGGGCGAGAGCTTCGACAGCATCCTTCAGCGGGCCGGGCTCGAGAGGAGTGAGCTTGTTGAAGAGAGGTACAATGGCAATGGGGTATATGGTAATGGCAAAGAGCTGAACACCCAGGGCGAACAACCAGAGGTAGTAGAAGAATTTGTCACCAGTCTTCTGGATGATCTTCAAGAAAGCCCAGCCGAGTGGCACACCAAAGGTAACAGAAAGCGCCTGTCCCTTGAGCAAGTCGGAAACCCACAGACCGATGGTCTGCTTGTTGAAGCCGAACTTCTCCTCGAGGACGAAGTGGTGATAGTATGACAGTGGCAGACTGAGGATGGTCTCGATGAAAGAGGAGGCAAAGACAAAGAGAAGTGAATGGGCGATTTCTCCTTGACAGCTAGCTGGAAGGTAGCGAGTAAGAGCAAGACCAGTAAGAGCCCAGAATTTGGGATAGAAGTCGTAACGAATGACGGCGAGAGACTTGAGCTGAGAGATGACACCAGAAACGAAGCCATACTTGGCTTTTGCGCGACCGTAAGCCTGGAGTTCGGTGGTTAGCTACTATGGGAGGAGATTGAGGTGAGTTGTATGACTTACCTGACTCTTGTCGAAAGTGGCCTGGTCGACTTCATTCTGCAACTGCTTGGGCACCTTTGTCCCTTGCAGAACACGGTACTGACGGAATGCCAGCCAGTTTTCCAGTAGATACTCGCCCATACTGAACGAGATGATGAGCGACTTCCAGGGGAAGCCTGGGCGGTCAAGCCATCCGGCCAGACGACTCAGGATGTCCATGGTCGTAAAGTTTGTGAATGTGTCTTGTGAGGATGGTTCAACAGCAAAGTTCTAAGTAGCTTTACACAGGAGATCTGGCACATGCGTATGCCAAGCAAGACGTTTGATTCCGAGGCAGGTGGCTTCTCTGAAACGCCCCGCAGCTCAAGAAGCTCTTTGGCGCTCTCAAAGAGGAAGGCTTCACAGACAGGCTGCAGGCGCGACCAAGTGTCCCCAAGCAATCTATCGAGATTGTCGTGGCCAGCGGGTGCCATGCTTGTGGCACGTCGGGCGCATCGGAAACCAATCACGGGGCTGGCGACCAATGACTGCCGCCGCCGCGAATGCACCCGCACGTCACCACCGAGTTGGCAGCGCTTACGCTCCTCTCTAGCCTGATCTTGCATCAAATTGCTCTCCTTCACCTGCTGTAAGCTTCGTACTCCACCAGATCGTACCCTCAGGTAGGCTACAAACTCCTTCATCAGCTCCCTGCTGTGCCTTCGTCAAGTCACTATGATCGTCCACCTCATTTGATTGTGCCCCACTATCACTACGCGACCAGCCTCACCGCCTATACCAACCCCCTCGTTGCGCGAAAAATAAAGAAACAATGGACGGCGCCCATGGCTATCAGAACTCTGGGGACTTTCACTTCCAGAAACCGCCAAAGACTCCCGAACCAGAGACTCCAACCGTAGGTCCCTTGCGCATCCACAAAGTCAACCACTCAGCCTCGACCACTTCAACCACGTCGAGTCCCTCGAGAACATCGTCTGAAGAAGCCGAGGTTGATGGCACCTCGCAGACCAGATTCAGAAGTCCACCATACCCCGATGACCGTCCTCGCCCTCTACACGCTGCTGCCGGCGCACAACGTCAAGGCACACCAGAAGTGAAATCTCCAACTATGCGCCGTCAGTCCTCGGCCCGTGCCAAATTTGGTGCACACGATCCGAACCGTCCTACTGTCTCTGGCTACGCTGGGACTCCACCACCCTCCCTCACCCCAGGAGTGATTGGAGACAGAGACAAACTTGTACCAGAAGTACCGGGAAAAGAAAAAGCGGTTGACGATGATGACGACGGCCTGTTCCAAAGGCTTCCACCAAAGCCGACTATGCCAGCAGTACCTGTGGGAGATGAGGGATTGGCACAGTCTACCTTTCAGCAATATTACCCACCTCCCACAGCTGCCACACTACAGCCTCCTAGTGCTGGTGTGAATCGGTTGAGCTCAAGCGCATCCACATCTACGACACGCGCTCAGAGAGGTTCGCCTCCTCCGCCCGAGACGCCTATCCTTGGTAGACCGGTTGGAACCTTTGACACAGCATATCCATATGCCCAGACCGCCGCTGCCTCACGTACCAACCAGTATGCCAATCCTGCTGCTCGTCCCCCAACCATGTCGCCCTCTCAGCACCCAGTCGAAGTTCCTCGACCGTGGACACCAACTGAACAACCTGGTAGCTACCCACATGGTCCCCCAGTCGCTTTCCAAGGCGACACTGAAGTCCCACCAGCAACAAACTACCAGAATCCCACCATTGCATCCTATCAGAGTCCACCTCAGCCAAGCCAGAACCGAGGATACCAGGGATCGCCCTTTCACCCTACTCAGCAGTTTGTTACGCCACCCGTCCCACAATTCGGAGTCCCCATCACACAATCGTCATCTCCTGCTCAGCCTGCGCAATACTTGCAATCGCCTCAGAACAATCAGCCTGGTTCACGCATGTCCTTTTCACCTCAAACGCATCCCTTGGAGCAGGACATACAGCGATTACAAGTAGGTGACGAGCCTCCACCTGCATACTCGAGCGTTTCCCAGCAGAGATTGTTCTCTGGGGCCGCTTCTCAGGCTTATCTCAATGACAAACGCTTGAGCAATGCTTCGCTACCTAGCACCGCTTCGTCCTCGCAAGACCCAAACGTACGCAGACATCCAGCATTTGCCAATGATTTGAGCCAGCCTGTCGTACAGCAGCCGGTAGTGCAACAGCCTGTCGCCTCGACCCAACATACAGCCCTCACCCCTATCCAAATAACGTCGCCAAGTCCAGGAGCTAGCATAACGCCAGCATCCCCTCCACCACTTCCTGAAGGATGGATCGCTCATTTGGATCAAAACTCGGGTCAGTATTACTACATCCATCTACCAACCCAGTCGACTCAGTGGGAGTTTCCCAAGGGTCCGACACCTTTGAATCTCCAGGAACCACTCTCACCAACTGGCACCTTCGCGAATCCGATGGCTTCGCCGGCAATGAATGCTTTCAACCAGCCCTTGGCGTCTCCTGGTTTTCCTCCACAAACTGCTTCTTATCATCGTGACAGCATAATGAGCATGAACAACCTTGCAAGTCCCACAGTCGCTGGCTTCACTGGTCCGCCTCCCACTGCAGGTGTTGACATGTACAAGGTTGTGCCTACCAATGGTGTATACTTTGGCCCATATCTGCGCTACACTAACATAGATCTCGAGAGAGGTCTCTGGCTCGGCTCTATCCTCCTGGTTACAGATATGCCTCAGCCACCCACTATTCACATTCATCAGACTACTGACTTATCTCCCAATCGTAAGTTGTGACACTTGGAGTTCTGTTTCAATTGCTAACACGTAGCAGCTCGTCAGCTGAAGGCAAATCCGATCTATCAGCATCAACGTTGGACATTTTACCGGTACGATGTTGACTTGGTCATGGACGACCAAGATACCAAATGGACGTATGCCATTACATCGCACCTCGGATGTACCAGATACGAGTTTCTCGTCGCCGGCCGCTATGAGACGAGCTGGCGCTTCGTCTCTCATTCAGGCAACGACTTTGCATTGAACGTCAGTGCCAATGAAAGAGCCAGGCTCGGGGGCATCGGCCCTATGTGGAAAGACGTCTTGCAAAAGCACGTCGAATGTGGTGGCTTTCACGCTCAGCTAGGTCTCGGTGGTCAAATATTCGGCGATCGTCTATGGAAGGAAGTCCCCACTCTCAGACAGTGGACTGCCATGAGCGGCAAAGAGAATCGCAAGAACGAGGCTTGGTCTGCGAAACTCGAAGATGACGTGTCTCACGCATATTTTCACTACTACTCCAGCCACTTCGACCAGCCTCATGTGCGAGAAGCATTCGCACAGATACCACATGTTCTTACTCTGGACGACAACGACATGTAAGGACATTTAGACGAGATTGAGAGTAACGACTAACAAGCTCCAGTTTCGACGGCTACGGGTCCTATCCCGAATATATGCAACAGTCCAATATGTTCAAAAATATCGGCCGCATTGGCATTGACATGTATCTCCTGTTTCAGCACCACACGACACATGAGATCCTCCGCAATGTTTCAGGTGAACTAGATCTGTTCACCGTCACTGGTACTGGCTGGCACTTCATCAAGTATCTGGGCCCAGCTGTAGTAGTTGTCGGTCCGGACACTCGCTCTGAGAGGGATTCTCACAGAGTCATGGCTGGTCCTACCTATCAGGGACTGTTCCCGAAGGTTGCAACACTGCCGCCTAGTGTGCAGCATTGTATTTGGATGATACCAGTACCTCTCCTCTACCCCAGGCTGGAGACCGCAGAGCATATAGCACACACCATGGCAACCGGCAAGAAAGCTGTCACCGGCACGTTTAACATGTTGGGTCGAATGACAAGTTCGGTTGCGGGCGTTGTCGGCGCTAAGGGCGTCGTCGGCGATGGCTTCAGCTCAATCAAGAAGGCAGTGGGAAAGTCTGGCCTTATGAGTAGTGTTCTGAGTCCTTTCGGAGAAATCGATATGCTTGACGAGCTGCGTGATATGTGGACTCACGAATCAAAGGTATCTGATGATCCATACTCATTGATTTACATGATATGCTAACAACCACATCAGGATCTGGAGCGAACATACATGATACGTACGCTGCAAGGCATTGCGCACAACAAGTCACTGCGCATGACCTTTTTGTCTGGCAGCACAAATGCATGTGGAGCTGCTCTCGTTCACGACCCATCACACCCTGGAGATCACAAGACCATGTATCAAATCATTACATCGTCAATCGTCAACGCACCTCCACCATCTTACGTCCTCCGTCTACTGAACAGCAATCCAAAGCAACCAATTTACATACCTCAGAATGGTCAACGCAGCGCTGGACCACATCAAACACCACAAACAGTCGATACACAGGAAGAAATGATGGAGATCTTTGTGGCTGATGTTAACGGCACACCTCGCGAAATGAAGCGTCTCATGGGTCGCAGAAACTACGTCGCAATGGTCGCCTATGATCCTGAAAACGTACGTGGATCTCATGGTTCAATTGCACCCAATGGCAAGACCACGAGTCGTCTCAGTCTTGCTGCCGACTTTATGGTTCAGAATGAGGGCGCGTATGCGGCGCCTGTTAAGTACGGCCCTGTCATCATACCCAGCCTGGAGTTTGGTAGATGAGGCTTGCGTATGGAGGGGTGGAAGAGGGGGAGTGGCAGATTATTCTGCGTTGTTGTAATTTGAGCGCTCAGTTTACATAGCCTAGCATCGCATGGCTTGACCATTATAATTATTTGCAGCTTCTACTCGCAAACCCTGGCTTTTACCGTTGTTGTTCCCTCGTCAAGGCACATTACTGAAGCCTTCACAATTTGTTTGGTATTGCGTTCCAAATTATCGCCAGCTGCTCATCTGTTCCAAACGATTCCGCTACCGCTTTGGAACGAGGCTTCCTCCGTCGTCGCCCCTTCTTACCATGTATGACGGTGAGTCTGCCTGACGTCGATCCCTTCCTCTTGCTCGTGCAAAGACCCATAAGCACAAAGCTGATCAGGACAGCGGCAAATGGCAGCACTGACCGACTGACTCGGAGATACCCTGACGTGGCTTGAGTATGCTCTGTATACACCGCGATTTACTGGGATTTCATATCTACTAGAAGATCTGCGGATCTGCATGAGCAGATCTAAGGATCTACGGAGTACTACGGTACGTGCTTTAACAGGGCTCGTATGTAGATCTGCTGCGACAACCCTTTTGGGACAGTCTGGCAGCCTTGACTCGAGACCATCATGAGGCTGGACTTTGTGGAGCAAGAGATTGGTTTTGGTTGAACGCCGACGACGTTATATCGATTAGCTCGTAGGATCATGATTGACTGTGTCGATCATGATCTCCTCGATCGACATGGTCGCCACTCGCAGCTGGATCAGCATGCTCAGATGCCCACTTAAATCTGAATCGACCTCGACAATCGTGTGTCATCTTGTAGACTCTACGTTTTGCTAATTCGATGGGCACTATGATGTCCTATAAGCTCGCAAAAAACGTCTGTGTCTTTCCGCATGTCTCTCACCTTATTCAATGTGTGCATGCTTATCAAATCTCGTGTGCTTGATAGACACAGATTAGTAGATGTGATCGTCAGAGGACGGGCTGCCGAAGATCCAAACTCTAATTATACCACAGCATTCTCCATTCCCAAATAGTATTGCGCATGTCGTGCTCAGTCTCAGGTTGGGGCAGACCCTGTCGTTGCCACTTGACGTACAATATGTGCGTGCGTCCTCAATCATCGCCGAGGATCTAAGATCAACACACAGCACACAATAATCGTTGGTTGGCGAATTCTCGAAGAGGTAGAGATGTGCTCGAGGTGGCAGAATACTGCGAGGTAGGTATGAGGTGCACTGATCGCTCTGAGTCTAATCAGGCGACGGGCAGTAGGTATAAGTATATGCTCCTCGCTTGCCAAAGGGTGAACAATTCCGCTCTCATTTCTATTCTTCTACAATCACTCATCAACACTCCTATCAACAATCACCACCATGAAGTCATCTATCATCTTCTCATCTATCTTCGCTGCCAGCGCCGTCGCAGCACCGCTCTCGAAGCGCGACGATATTCCTTCGCCAGGCCTGGTGTTCGACCAGCTCATTGCACTATGTGATAAGATCGGCGGTACACCTATCACCTCCACTGTCTGTAAAACAGTTACTGGCCTCGATGTGGGCGTAGCTGCCGCCGACCCTGAGACCGGTGACCTCGCTAAAGTCACGGTATCTGGCGGAGGGCTGCTCGAAGGAGCATCAATCACGATTCCCGTTGCGTCTCTGGACAGTATTCTTGGGCAGCTCTCGAAGCGTTCTCAAAACCCTGTAAATATATACATTTGCGCTTCACGTATCAAGTGCTCATCCTCTCAGGTTTTTGATATCATCAGGAGCGAGAAGCCTCGCGCCGTCTCAGTCGACCTCGGCGGTGTAGGTGTTGATATCAAGCGTGAGGCTGAGGCCGATTTCGAGGCACGCGCCGTCTCAGTCGACCTCGGCGGTGTAGGTGTTGACATCAAGCGTGAGGCTGAGGCAGATGACCAGGTACGCATTTGAGGTAGATTATAAGACTGATGAACTCTCTCGATCTGCGCATGTGGGTCATTGAGCCATGCATCCTGTTCTCGAAACCGAGAATTACGCTTTTCATGATGAGACGAAATTACAATACATTCTTACATTTGACTATCTTGAGCTTGACACTTCTAATAAGCACGCTAATCATTCATGCGTCTTTACATAGGTTATCGTTCTGTCCATATAAGTTATCTCCTCGTTAGGCATTATGTACTGATTTGTTCACATCTCCGCACGCGCTCGACGTGTTCTGACACCTTGACGGGAGAGCGTAAATCTCGAAATTCGTAGTCCAGCCACCTGAATGTCATTAACGCTGTTGTCGCACTTGTTGTTGCGCTAACTGCACCAAGCCGCAAAGTTCGACAAAAGAGTCGTGTAACGAAATGCCGCGCATTTCGATCACTGTGCGGTTGATATACGTTAGAATTGACACAATGCTAGGTGTTGTTGAAAGTGGAACCCTGTCCTGAGCCGGCTAAGGAACCTTCGCCGAGTGTTTAATGCAAGCGCCTTCATCATAAATCATCTTGTATTCGTGACTCAGGTTTCTTACAGAGATATCGTTCCCTTCTTTTGAGACACAGATCATGTTCGCAGATGTGTATAAAAAATCTGAATGACAAGCTTGAACATTACACGGGACGAACGTATACATTTGCAAAGAGACAACGAAGGACACCGGTGAAAGACCTCCCTAGCTTGTACCGTTACACCCTTGCCGAGCCACAGTTTCAGACAGCTACAGCAGCAGCAGCAGCAGCAGCAGCAGCAGCCAGTACAGCACCAACACCCCACGCCCAACCCGTGACCTCAGCCGCAACACGAGGAGCCTGACCTGTACTACTAGCAGTGACAGTCGCCGTAACAGTAACACGCTGAGTACTAATATATCCTGTCATGTTTGTGCCGTTTGAAACATTAGCAATAGCGGCCGAAGCTGCCGAACTCAATGCCGGTAGCAAAGAAGTCGGAGAAGACGGGTCGAGTGTGGGAGCCGGTGTAGTACTCTCATCCGTAGTCGTCGCCGCAGCAGTCGATGCACATGTTGCAGCAGAGGGCAAATCACTGACTCTGTAGGCAGAGCAGAAGTTGTTGGCAAATCCGATGGCGGCTGGATTGATGTTAGAAGTTGCGAATTATTCAAGGTGATCAACTCGCTACTTACCAGCTTGATCTGTTTCGCTACAGGCTTTGGACATGCAACAGCCGAGATTGTCGAGGAATTCTCTGTTTCTGCAGATGCATTCGACGTCGATGTTGTTGCAGCCTCCGAAACTCGAAGTCACGCAAGTGCTGGCACAGTCGGGCAGACCCCAGATACTGGCCCTTTCCTGCAGACTCAAGGGCTTTGAATGACCCCAGAGACTAAATGCTTGCCCGAGTGTGCTAAGCACAGTAGCTGTGTAGAGAAGAGAGATGGTGGGTCGCATGGTGGTGAGAATTCGAGATTTGCCAAGTTGCAGCTATGATGGTAGATGGAGTAGATATGTTGTGATCTTTGAAAGGGAAACTACGGCGGAGACTTGACAGAGGCTTGATGGCTGGCTTGTAAAGGAAGCCATCTGTTTGTTGTTGACTCCTTGAGATGCTCCCCAGGTAACGACATGGAAGGAGGAATGTATGTGAAGAGCCTCATCGGAATGCACTTACACAAACTATTCATGAGGTGTACGTAACCAACGCCAAGATCAAAGAACAACACATTTCGATTTGATTTGCACCTACCTTGACTGATATTGTAACGTGTTGTGTCGATTGAATGAAATGGTGGTCGTGGTGAAGGTGCTGAAGCATAAAGCGAAGTAGCACACGGAGACACTTCCGGTGATCAACGCTTTTCCCTTCCAGGAAACTCCACAACAGAAAAAAATTCCAGAGTCAACAAGCGAAAAAGGTGACTCATACCTTCGACAAACAGAGCTCGCGGAGGCTCGATCCATGGCCCTCGGTTTGACTGAGTCTTGATTGAATAGATTACAAGATGGCGTAGCAAAAGAGATACACCTGGTGCCTCACTCAAGGACAAAAAAAATGGATAGCTAAGCTCGGTTTCGATCCGAGGTCCTCCGGGTTGCTTGAACTAGTTCATATGAGCCCGGCGCGCTACACATTTAGTTAGTATGAGTGTTGAGATGTGGTGAATGAGTTGTGTTACGAACCTTCCGCTGCGCCACTCAGCTGTGGATGACGAAAATCGATGCCTTAGTTGTATATATTCATCACAACGTAACAGATACAGCCCCTTGTTATCTTGCTGAGCAGCTCTCTCGAGTTTTGCATATGAAAGAATAAACGAACACGTATTGCGAAGTCGAGCTCCTACTGCTCGGTTGCTATGTTTTGTATGTACAGTGGGTATCTAACATTAGTTCCTCCATTCCTTACACCCCGGCTCCTCCTTCGTATCTGTGTTTGGGCCCACACATCCAGGCTCTGCTTTAGGTTCATGCGACTTCACTCTCTCCACGGAGCCAGAGTCTGCAGTTGGCTTCTTCGGCTTCAGTCTCTCGACCGTACCATTGTACTTTTCGACAGTACCATCCTCCGGCTTACAATGCAACCAGATCTCATCATCTGGTGAGCCGCCTCCTTCCGTTATCCTCCTTCGCGCCATTTTCCTCGCCAAACCTGGAGCCACTCTCCAGGTAAACTCGTGCGGGATCCTCAACCTCGCGGCCACCCATTTATCGTCCTTTGGCTTGTGCATATCTACTTGAGGTATATCTTCGAGATGATGCGTTTGGGTGAGCAACAATTCTTCGTTGGGGAATGCGTTTCGGATACGGTGTGGTATCGTCGGCATGACCATCGATAAGAACTCCAGTGAGGCGTTGACATTGATGTCCAATGCTCTTTCGGGATTCGCGCTGGCCTTGAGAAAGATGGAACAGACGTTGGGATATAGCAAGGAGAAATCAGACTGTGAAACATGTATCGTTCCGCGGACGGTCATGAGCCAAGCTGGGCAGGGGTGAGCTTCTTTGACAAGCGAAGCGACAAGCTCGAAATTAGACGGCCAGTAAGTAAACGCTTCCGAGTTAATGGCCAGTATAGGTGCTTGAATCTTTTCGTCTTCCGCAGCTGATGGTCGTGTTCCACTCCTGTGAGAAAGGTTAGCTTTATATTTGCGATTGGAATCAGCTTGCCTACCCCCAGATATCATAGATGATGCCTTGGGCGATCCATTTGAACCGCTTTTCGTGTCTCAACATATCCACAACCGTCGCCGCTCCGAAAGAATGACCAGCAGCGACGACATATTCAGTGTCGACCCTGTCTTTCCAACAAGTCCAGTCTACGCCTTCTAGACCGTGGGTACTGGAAGCTTTGTAACCCTTCCGACGCATGTTCTGCTTAGCGATGGTTCCGCCTTGTCCGGAGTTGATAACATTCATGATCTTGTAAGCTTCTTCGATCTCAGCCGTTCGCAAGTCCAGTTGAGATCCTCGTAATTCGTGATCGACGCCTTTTTCGTTATTAGGACTTGTGTCCCATTCGTTGTCTTGTATTGTCAATATTCATCTCCTGATACACAATACTTGTGACTAACCTTGGGGAAAGACATAGTCCTATTGACAAGTCAGCCGTGAGAACTTGGGCGTCTCGTTGGAAAAAGACTTACAACAACGTCGTAGTGTGTATTACCGTGCCTGTTGTGGTGCTTCTTAGGATCTCGTCGTTCACCAGCCTTGTCGAACCTAACCTCTCCACTTCCAGGCTGATTAACGAAGGTCCGAGGCCCGCTTCCATCCCGATGTTCAAGAGCAATCACAACAAAGCCGTAACTCGCGAACTGTACTATGTCAGAAAGGAGACCTGCTCGAAGAGAAATACCACATACCTCGCCACAAACACTCGAGTAAGCAGATCTGGTACCACCTAGACCATGACTGAAAATCATAAGGGGGAACTTTGGAGGTTTGGCATTCGGTCCATGTTCATCGTCTTCGACTTCATCCTCATCTTCTGTATTCTCTCCTGCCTTCTCGTAATCCTCTTTAGTCTTTGTTCCGGGAGGATACTGAGAGGATAATGGCGCATTTCTGAAAGCTGGGAGTTTCGTGAACATTGTCGGCAAGAAGATAGGTACACCCACAGTACCGACACCCGCAAAATGTCCATAGCCTTGAGCCATCTTGAAGCGAGGGCGACCTAGCCATAGTTGTCGGGACGGTCTCTTCTTCTGTGGTGGAGAAGCGGGATAGTATATGGTCAGAAGCACAGTCTTCAATTGCAGTACGTGGTTGCCTTTTCGAGTGATGTTTGAAAACGTTCGAGGCTCCTCTACTGGCACTTCAATCTCCATAGTTCCTACTGAGTAAGGTCCCGAATATGCTGGCAATGATCGTACTGGCAAAAGCATAGTCTCTCGGAGCGACTTGGGAGGACGCGCCTTGGGCTTTTTCGGATTCCGAACCTTGCTTCCGCTGGACAAGAAGCCATTGCTGGGCACCGGTGCATTGGACTTGTCTCCAGAGATCCACGGTGGTAGAGGCATGAGGGGCGACTAAGCCGCGTGAGAACCGGCGCTTCGGGAGATTCACCAGATTTGTGAGTTTGCGCGTGTGGAAAACGTGTGGAAGCTGGAGATCAAGGATGACGGAGTATATGAGAATCCCAACACGTTTGGCAAGAGATGAAAAACCGAGAGAAACTACTTGAGTAGAGAAGCACTTCGGCCGACTGCACGTTTCGGTCCTCATATGCGTATAACACTGCCACAATCGTAATTGTGGTTCAAGGTTGACCGCGGAACAGTGACGTCAAGAAAAGTAGTTTCAATTGAGATTTCGTGGAGAACAAACATTGATTCTGCTTTTCGGTCCGGGTTTGTCGTGGAAATAACAGAGCGATGACATGCCTAGTATATGACCATAAATTGAAGAAGGGGCATTCAACGTGGAATGCCTTTTTCCAATCTTTCTTCGAACATCTCTCTTGGCCATCAATGTAGGCGCCTTTCCACGTCTCACACAAACGAGCCCTTCTATATATCACTCTCACGGTGCGGAGGCCTTGCTTGACTTGCCTTTACTTGCTGGGACAACGTCTGGCCGACAGGAACGATTGAATTTTCGAAGAGCTAGCTGAACGAGTACATACCCTATTCAGGTATCTTCGGCCTCCGCGCCTGCCCCATTTGATTTTGCGGAAGCCGGATGGTCCGGAAGACGATACAAGCAAAGTCAAGCTTCCGCCAGTTGCCTATCCATCATTCGCCAAGAACAACATCACCAGTCTTGTAAATTACTCGACCAAATCACATGCAATTTTTTGAAAGTACGATGCTCGTGAAGATGATTTACTTGGTCAGATCATGTTATACTTCCATGCTAAGCCGACAAAGAGCCGACTCTTTCCAATTAGCTTCGAGTGAAGATGGATAGGTGTATTACTCCAAAACCATTGTATTCAAATCAAGTAGAAGAGACCGCAGATTCAGGGTCAGCGTGGAAAGGTCATCTGTCGAGGAGCGACGGCTGGCGAGCTCAACGGACTGCCATATGATCCAGGGATAGGCACAGATTCGTAGACTTGTTCACCAGGAGCGGCACCGAAGTGGCCCTGCCGTTGCTCTATAGGTTGCATCTGTATGGGTGAAGGCGATCGCGAGTCCGTTGGTGATGTATAGTTGAGGGGAGTGAAACCAGTTTGCTGCATCTTTGGGGTCAAGCCCTTGGATGGGGGTGGTTGCAGCATAAATGGCTTAGGGAGTGGGGGTTGTTGAAAAGCATCAACATAGCGAATGCCCTCGTCTTCGGTTATACCAGCCTCAACAGATGGTCCGGCCTTATAATAGTCGACAGGTGGTCTCCAACCACCATCTCTTGGACTCAGGGGACCATTTAGACCAGGCGTGTTCGGTGCTGATTGGGAACGTAATTGAGCGAGGTACAGATCGGAGCGAGCGCGGTCACGAACAGCCATTGACTTGCGCAGCTTTCTCTTGGACCATATGCGGTAAAAGACGAAAGAGTATACGCCAATCGCGCAAAGCTCAACAACGATCTCGATCACCGCACACACCAAGGACCAATTCTGCAACCGGCAGACAAGGGCGTAATCGACCTCAGCAGCAAAAAGTTCTTTACGCTTGTTCTCTTTGCAAGACCAACCCCAGAGATCCTGACCGTTGCTGTTGGTTCTTGTAGTATTGAGGACTCCAGCTCCAATTCCCCACATGACGATGCTGAAGGCGAAAAATCCAACCGCGAAGACAGTGTAGTAAGTCTGCACTTTCTCGGCTCTCTTGTGCCCGCCTCTGCAGTAACTCCAGAAGATGGCAATACAGAATACCATGGAGATACAGGCGATCACCAAGAGTAGAATTTGGGGCCATGGACTTGTCCCGATGGCCCATGGAGGCAGATTGCTACGAGCCGACAAGTGCTTTGTCGCGTTGAAAATTGCGAACGTTGTTCCGATCATGGATAGAACGATCAGAGAGCATGCGAAGTTGATACTCCTCAGAAAGATCTTGGCCGCACGAACTCTAGCTTTGATTTTCTGGTTGAGGTGTCAATGAAGGACTTTGCCAATTATCCCGGGATGAATACTTACAACGTCTTTGGCCTGCTCTTTCTCGGTAGCAAGTTCTCGCTTCTCCAGGACATTTTCTTCACGAAATGTTGGACTCATGATGTTGCCAAAGTTTCTTGGTGCTATACCAGGGGTCTTCATTGCACTCTTCAATGGTGGGCTCAGAGGGGCATCGCTTCTACCTCGAGGCAGATGGTTGTTATCAGTGTCTTCCATTTCGACCGTTACGTGTGATGTGTGTTTGTCATCAATGTATCCGAATCCAATGTCAGAAGGTTGAGGCTGCGGTCGGAAGTGGTTCGTTGGTAAAGCTATGAAAGACGATCGGGGAGGCTCGATTGGTGAGTTGACCGTCGTCGCCTCGGCAAAACGTGCGAGTCGAGGTGATTTGAAGGAGGAGCAGAATGAATTTGCAGACTGAGCTCGAGGCCTTGTTGGGTCGCCGTCTGTAGGTACTTGACTGATGTTGGCATTCATGTTTTCGAAGGATAAATGGGCTGACGTGAGATGATTGCAGAGCGGATCAAAGGGAAACACAACGGGAAGCCCGAAACCGCAACTTCAAGTCTTCACAATGTGAAGAAACGATTATTGGGATGAGTGCACGGTGGAGGTATACAGTACGGGTTGGGCGAAAGTCTGATGAGAAAGGTGCAGGAGATGTCAACCTTTTGATATTTTGATCACCCACAACGAGCGGTGGTCAGATTGATAGGCGACATCGTAGCGCTAACAGATGTGCGACAGCGATACAAAGAGAATGGGCGGTAACTGACCTCTTGTGGATTACGATTAGTGCTGCTGATTCGCCAGAGACGACTTGAGGGGGCTGGTAACCAAAATAGGCGCTTGGAACCGATCTACCCAACAGGATGCAGTACCGTAAATAGAACGCTCACACGTGAGAACCAACGATATATAAGGAAAAGATGATTTGACCGGGAATGTGCTAGACGGAGAGAATGTTGCAGGCGAGTTTGTGACTTGCACTTATCGCGAGAAGCACTCCTTAAGAATGGTCAGAACTTTACTATGGCAAATTGGCATGGTAATTTCTCAAATCTAAGCGCCCATGGCAAGACAAGTCACACTGCTGTGCATGGCCTGGAGTCGCGACGACATGCAGGCAAGCTGTGTGAAGAAGTGGAGGTGACAGCGAATCGCAAGCGTGCATTGCCAGCCACAAGATTTCAGCGCTTACGGATCGAATAACCTGCGGTCGGGTTTTCGTCCACACCCATATGGACCGTGTCTATCATGGCGATCAAACCTGAAGGATTGAGTGTGTGAACGTAAATGCAACATGCGAGGGGGATGTCGAGTGGCAGTGTTCACGCTTGGAAGAGACCGTGCCATGGGGGAGAACCTCGGTACGGAAGGGATCGACGTGAGCCTCAGGTCTCCAGGCCCGGCTTCTTTTCTGTCCACGCATGCAATCTCCATAGCAGAGAGTTGTGTAAGCTACGAGAAGCCTACTGCAGTTGGTTGTAAGAGGAATCCAATCCATCGCCGCTTGATAAGTACGCGTCCTCTCAATGTCCAAGCGACAATATATGCACAATGTTAAGGTAGACGGAAGGGTGTAGGTAAGCATGCGTAGGCGAGCATCGCGCCTTCCAATCTCTCTCGACCTCCCAGCCCAGAAGTTCAGCTGAATCTCAGTCGCCTTCTTCACCCACCGAGACTCTTGCAAAAACATCAAAGTTATCACCTTATCCATTTTTTTCCATAGCTACTCCCCTTCGCATCTCAACCTGCAATGCTATCCAACGCTGGAGCCGCTAAACCCAAGAGCACTATCCTCAACATCACCAGCTATGGCCTAAAAGGCCGACCGCTTGACTTCAAGCCCGATGTACATCTCAACGCCCGCCGCTTGATCAACCCACCTCCCGAGCTTCGTAAAGCTTTCGATGGCCGTTGCGAAGGCCTTCGTAGGAACCTGCGTGCAGATCCAGCTTTCCACGAGCTACTTACCGAGACCCCTCCACAAGTATTCGAGGCCGAAAAGACATTGAGAGCACTGGTCGTGAATACCGAGGACAACAGTATCAAGAAGATCGAGATCAAAGTCGCGGTGGCATGTGTCAGAGGCCGTCACCGAAGCACAGCCGTCGCTGAAGAGCTGGCCAAACTGCCTGTATGGCCAGAGCATTACGACGTCAGAGTGAATCACCGTGATGTGGATATTCCTCATCGTTACCAGAAATGGCATCAGCAGAACCTCGAGCGTGAGCAAAAGGGCGAGACTGTCAATCTCGATGATCATGGTGTCGAAAGCGGTGACGATAGCGATCTCGAATCGGAAAGTGAGATACCAACGGAGGAGGACAGACGCCATGCCCAACGCAAGCCGGAACCCTCGCAGTGGTAGAAAGATCGCGAGAAGCAGCTGAGAGAAGTCAACAGCGAAGAGCTACTGAAGCCCGAGGGTTCGCCAGACCCAAGCAATCCTTTACACATTCCAGCCGACAGTCGTGGAAAGACGATCGACACACAGACACACCAGCACATCTCTGCCGAAAAGAAACCGGAGCTCCGTGCCGACAATTCGGCTACCCAGCACGATCTTGGTGGAAAGAAGCCTGTTGCCTCCGACATTCAAACATCCCAGCACGACTCTGCCGAGAAGAAACTTGAGACCCACATCGACAAGATAATCCCTCAGCACAAATCTGCAGAAAAGAAGCCTGAACCCCATGCTGAGAAGAAGCCTGAGATACCCGCTGAGAAGAAGCCGGAAACACCTGCTGAGAAGAAGCTTGACGTGCCTGTTGAGGAGAAGCATAAGACTGCTGTCGAGCAAACTTCGGAGGTCCCTGCTGAGAGAAAACCCGAGGCTTCCGTTGACACGAAGTCTGATGCTCCTGCCGCTGGCAAGCCACAACATGATGCCGCTGAGAGGGAAGCCGACGTTCCTGGTGAGGCCGCCCAACAGCATCCCGACCACGTCACATCTTGAGCTTTAGTGTGAGGCCATCATGGTGATTGTGGCATGGTCTCTAGTGATTTGTAAGTTCCTAGTCCGTAACCTATAATCACGTCTCTAAACTTCCAATTCATTCCAAAATATCGTGCAATTTTGATAAGCAAGCATCGTACATGACATCAAGACAAGGACTGCGCATACATCGAGCACAATAACTTTGGAGTGTCGAATCTGCTCTGCATATGTCAAGTGCCGGACCTCATCGAGGACTGACCGCTCAAATTAAGCTCTTGCAACTCTCGACGAAGTTCCTCTTCTGCCTCTTTGTGTTCTACACAGCAGTACACCCAGCCCCTTCACTATTCCTCCCACATCCTCTCGGACAAGGATACGCCGCATCATACTGCCACAAAAAGTAAGGATCCGTCTCATTAGCCAAGATGCCGGCGATGAGTTTCGTCCTCGACGGCAAATCCCCGGACTCCTTGAAGACATCATAACTCGATATACGAATCTGACCCCAACCTATGTTACTGCAATCAGCGATACTCTCTAGTATGTGTGTGTATGAATGCGTGTAGGAGAAAGGGGCCTCTTACCACGTTCAACAAGTGTATCGATGGAAGTACCGTAGATGTATTCTTTGAAGCCTGCCCAACGGATTGCAGAAGCACACATGGGACAACTCTCTGCATTTGTGTAGAGGGATAGGGAGGAGAAAGCTGATTGGGCTTGAGAAGCTGTGAGATTGTATGGACCTGAGGGGTCTTTGAGGATGGTTGTGCAGTTTGCTATTGCTGCTATTTCACCTGTTTATTCGCCGTCAATACCCTTACTACTCTTAACACAGCTAAATGATGACATAGGCAGAGTGTGTTTTACCATGCAAAGTAGGATTTCCAGTCTTTGAATTCTCATTAATCCCTATACAAACCAATTCTCCCAAATCACCAGAAGTAGTAGCTGTATGATTTACTATCACAGTGCCGAAAGCTGCAAAAGGACATGGAGAGGAAAGAAGGGAAAGCGCTTCGTTTGCTTTACGCATCCAGTGTACTCGGGTGGAGTAGGGGATTGAATTTACGGTTAGGCCTGTTGCATCGATTGCTTGGAGGAGTTGTTGAGATTGATGCTGGTGGGCCAGGGTCAGGGGGAGGAGGATGCTGATAAGCGGCAAGGAGAACCGCATTCTGGAGATTGGGATGTGGGAGAAAGGGATAGGGTGTGTGAAATGATGGTGTGGTGGGTGAAAGTTATGTAGATGGACAGCATGATGGCTGAGGCGGGCTGGATTAAGCTTTCCGGGCAAGAGATCATGCCTATCTGGAGCTCGGTATGGTAGATAAGAGAATATATTGTCTGGCGGCAGAAGGTAACATCGAGATGATAGACCACGGCATTCAGACCTTTCTGAGTGTTATCCATGCATGTAGCTCGAGACGAAAGGTTGAAAACAGAAAACAGACAAAAGCGCCCTCATGAATTTTGAAATCATGCTCAATTACACCAGTAAAATATACATACAGAATACATCTACATCAAGATCATGCCTTCTCAAATGCGAGTCTTGACAGCGCCCTTTTCGAGCTCGCCAATGATACCGCCACCGCTCAGAGTCCACTTTTCAGCGACCAAGGTGTCGTTGACGGTTTGACGAAGCATACCACTCTTGGCGTAGTATTCCATGATGCTGCGAGCCTCTTCTCTTGTCAAGCCCTTGAGCTGCCACACATCGACACCGTTCAGGGCGGCAATGCTTCTCTGGTCAACCTTGACCCAAGGATCCCACTCGGGAGCTTGCTTGTTTTGTGCGAGGGCGGCGTTACGGCGAATGGCGTGGTCGAAACCGGCGATTGTGGGTCTGTTGCTGCCAGAGTCTGCGGCGAAGATCATACCGCCATTAGGCAGGGCCTGCTTGCCGGAGAGTAGCTTGAAGAAGTGGTTGACGATTGCGAGGTCGTGAGCGTGGATGGGCTGGACGTCGGGGTTCATGTATGCAGAGTCGCGCATGATGTGAGCAACCGAGTCGATGGTGAAGACGACGGGAGGGCGAGCGAGACCTGCACCCTCTGCTGAAGGGGCGGTCAACTCTGACCAAAGCGCCTTGTAGATTTCACATGCGAGGTCGGGGTCTTGGGCACCCATCATGGCGAAGCGGTCGAGACTGATGTTTGACTGGATCGGAACGGAGAGGTCGTGCTTTTGTGACAGGCGCATCGTGGAGAGGACGGTGTGGTTGGCTTTTGCGATCTGACCCAACATGGCTGCTGTGAAATGCGGTTGGTTGTAGATGCCTGCCTCGGTTGATGGTGCGTAGGGTGTGCTGCCCAGGACCAATTCCTTGGCTATACAAAAGTCAGCATACCGTGCTCCATCCATTGTCATGTCTTGTAGGACTTCTTACACTCAGGGATGTGTACGACGATCCAGCCCTTGAGCAGAGCCATGGCCTTGGCCTGCAGGGCCAGAACACTCTTGCCCGAGCCACGCTCGCCGTATATGACACGTCGCACCGACGTCTTCTTCGATTCAATTTCCTGCATCAACCTTGCGAGCTCGGCAGTCTCCTTGCGAACCAGTGTTGCCGGCCTTCGGAAGAGACTCCATCCTTGAGTTGGCTTGAAGGCTTCAGTCGCGCGCAGAGCATCAATGACCTCGTTGCTAAGACCAAGGACCTGGCCCTCGATAGCAGCATCGTCTATGTTCGTGGCAGAAAGGTTGTCGAGACCCTGCACCTCGACGGCGTTGGTGTTGGACAGGACGACTCTCTTGCGGATGGCCTTGCGCTCTCCCTCTCCTGGCGGCTTTCCGGTTCTGGCACCAGGCTGTCCCTTTCTAATTTGTCCCTGAGCCTTGCTGAATGAAGCGTTCGCGCCACGGCCGGGCTTGACGACAGAGGTGGTCTTCTTCTTGACGGCTGAGTTGGCTTCCAGAGAGGCACTCGTCGAGAAGGCTGCTGCCGATTGTGCTGTGATTCGTAATGTCTTCTGCTCTACCGAGCTCACCGCCGGCCTGGCTAGGCACCGCAGACAAATGGATCCAGACATGCTTGCGGCAAGGGTTATGTGCTTGCGCCTGCTTGACATTCCACTTTCAAAGTTTCCCAAACTCCGCGACTCGCCAAGCCGCTCGCCGAATGTCTCCAGGTTGCACAATTGTCTGCACAAATCTATGCAGTCATTCACATCAAAGTCCTGAAGGGAAGCACAACAATCACGTCAACCACAGCAATCACGTCGACCATGTTTGTTTGAACTGTATTTTATTCTTGTCGTCGTCAAAATTTTAAGAAAGGGGATATAACGTTTGTGCAATGAGAGAAACCTGGCCGTGCTCTGTCCTTTTTTACTCCTGGGTCAATGATGCGAAATTTACATGTTGACAGAGGTGCGGAACTTGGTACCGGCGTAGATGGCGTTGTCACCGAGCTCCTCCTCGATACGGAGGATCTGGTTGAGCTTGGCGAGACGCTCAGATCTGGCGGGAGCACCAGTCTTGATCTGACCGGCACGGAGACCGACAACGATGTCAGCAATGGTGACATCCTCAGTCTCACCAGAGCGGTGAGAAACCATGACACCCCAGCCAGCGCCGAAGGCATCCTTGGCGGCCTGGATGGCCTCGGTGATGGTACCGATCTGGTTGACCTTGAGGAGAAGGGCGTTGCAAGCCTTGGTCTCGATGGCCTTCTTGATGAAGGCGGGGTTAGTGACGGTCAAATCGTCACCAACAATCTGGTGGTCGTAGTTCTTGGAGAAGTAGCTCCAGGCCTCCCAGTCGTCCTCAGCGAAGGGGTCCTCGATGGAGATGATGGGGTACTTGGAAGCAAGGTCCTTGTACTGGTCGGCGAGCTGCTCGTAAGTAACCCACTTCTCGGGGTCAGACTCGGGGTTCTTGAAGTCGAGGTCGTACTTCTTGGCGTCGGTCTTGTAGAACTCGGACGAGGCAACGTCCATGGCAATGTTCATCTTGCCAGTGTAGCCAGACTTCTCAATGGCCTCGGTGATAAGCTGGAGAGCCTCCTCGGCGGTCTGAATATCAGGGGCAACACCACCCTCGTCACCAACGTTACCAGCAGACTGGCCGTACTTCTTCTTGGCGAGGGACTTGAGGTTCTGGTAAACCTCGGCACCCCAGCGCATGGCCTCGGAGAAGGTAGGAGCATCTCTGGAAAGATTTGTTAGTCATTGCTGGTTGGAAGTTTCGGTTGAGCCAAGAACTTACGAAGGAACGATCATGAACTCCTGGAAAGCAAGACGGCCACCAGCGTGGGAGCCACCGTTGAGGACGTTCATGAAAGGAACGGGGAGGACGTAGGGCTTCTTGGTGCCGGCAAGGTCGGAGATGTGAGCGTAGAGAGGAACACGCTTCTCGGCGGCGGCGGCCTTAGCGACGGCCATGGAGACACCGAGGATGGCGTTGGCACCAAGCTTGGTCTTGTTGGTGGTGCCGTCAAGCTTGTTCATGAAGTTGTCGACGGCGGACTGGTCCTTGACGTCGAGGTTCTCCTTGATGAGAGCGGGAGCAATGACATCGTTGACGTTGGCGACAGCCTTGAGGACACCCTTGCCGCCCCACTTGGTCTTGTCACCATCACGGAGCTCGCAAGCCTCGTGGGAACCAGTAGAGGCACCGGAAGGGACAATGGCGCGGTGGAGACCGCTCTCGGTGACGAGGTCGACCTCGACGGTGGGGTTACCGCGAGAGTCGTAGACCTGGCGGGCGTGGATCTTCTGGATAGGCATGATTCTGAGGAGAGAGAGAGAAAATGTTAGTCGAAGGTCAGGCAAAGGTGTAGTCAATGGCGAGAGGAAGCTGCGAAGACGTGTCGATCGGAGGATCTGAGGAGCATAGGGTGCGATGGCTCGAGAACAATGTTCAATACTCAGTAGCAAGGCTGAACAGGGTCCTCGGCTATAGCAGGGTGAAGCGCGGCGGTAGCAGACCGAGGAGAGTTGTCTTCGGGCAGAAACGGAGAGCTCAGGCTCATTGAATCAAGATCCCCGAACACACCCCGCAATCGACGACCCTGCTAAGCTCCTAGAGTTCCCGGGGAGGTGGAGGAAGGTGTTTCTTACATTTGTGATGTGGTTTGTGGATGAGAGAAGGAAAGAGAGAGGGCGTGATGGTGGACAGCAGGACTTTTTGAGCTCAACCCCTCCTAAGCACCACCCAACAAAGCTGGCGGGCACAGACCATCCCACCTGGAGTCACCTTGTGTTTCTGCACCTTTCCAGACTGCTTGCCCGCCGCGATCGGGCCGAGACGAACTATTGCTTGAAGCCTGTCCATCACGACACTGTCAACATCATCTCACTTCCATCTCGCTCAGGCGCCTGCTATAACGTGACAATGCTCTGCCTGGATACTGCTCAAGCTGCAGAGACGCCTCAATCATGAGAGATGCGATTGCGTCTTCGCCGCGGGGCCCTGTATCTTCCTTGCTTGTTCTCTATGGGCCGTATCTGTCTTCTCCGGCCTGAGCGGAGATTGCTCACACTCCGGCAGCTCGTACCCGTGTCGCAACCACCATTCATTACTGGCGGCCGACTCCGCTGTATGATTTATAGATTTTGTCACGTCTGCGGTCTAACGATTACAACGTTGATTTACTGATTGACGCAACAACTACGCAGATCAACTTCTCGACACGCTTTCGCGAACGCGACTCGCGAAGAGCAACGATTGTGCAACCCCACAATCAAAACCCCTCCACATAATCGTAGGTACCAACATACTAAGCACAATCTTATAACACGAGTGGAGATCAAGTGCAATCTGGTCACTTCACAGGTCTCAAAACAGATTCTATGTGGACAAGAATTATCGATACCAGTATGAATGATACAACTAGCGGGAAACACCTGTCCTGATGGTCTCCAAAAAGTACATGCCAGAGGCGTTCAGCCATCCGACAACGCGAAATATGCCAAACAATGAGAAAGAAAAATATTTTGGCCGGGTAGCTAACAGCCCCGACTGATCTCAACCGATCAAGTGACCGGCCTTCAGTCGACCAGCTTGGTAGCTACAATCTAGTAGACCATACCGGAGTCATCACCCCATCCGTTCCAGAGCTTAGGGTGGTACTTCTTGCCCCAAGAAGAGAAAGCAGGATCGGCTTCGGCTGAACGTCTGTAGACCATGCCTGAGTCGTCACCCCAGCCGTTCCAGAGCTTAGGGTGGTACTTCTTACCCCACGAGGAGAAAGCAGGGTCACGGCGCTCGAACTCCTCGTACTGCTCCTCAGAAGGACCAGACTCGGCGGGCTTAGCAGCACCGGTGGTAGAGGCGGTGCCAGCAGCCTTGGGCTCGCTACGGCGGTACACCATGCCCGAGTCGTCACCCCATCCGTTCCAGAGCTTAGGGTGGTACTTCTTACCCCAGGAGGAGAAAGCAGGATCGGCTTCAGCCGAACGTCTGTAGACCATGCCCGAGTCATCGCCCCATCCGTTCCAGAGCTTGGGGCGGTACTTCTTGCCCCATGACGAGAAGGCGGGGTCTGCCTCACGGCGGTAGACCATGCCAGAATCATCGCCCCAGCCATTCCAGAGCTTGGGGTGGTATTTCTTGCCCCACGAGGAGAAAGCAGGGTCGGCCTTGGCCTCAGGCTGAGGTGCAGGTGCAGGTGCAGGGTTAGCCTCGGCGGCAGGGGAGGCCATGGCGACAGTGGCCAGGCCGGCAAGTGCGACGGCAGTGAACTTCATGATGAAGAAAGAGTTTATGTATGTGTTAGAGAGAGTGTGTGAGAGATACTCCGATGGTGAGTTGATCGATCAGTGTTCGAAGGTGGGTTCTCTCTTATGTCTGGCTAACCTGATGTTGAAACAGTACGTCAATAAGACCGGATAAAGAACCACACCCTGACTACGCCTATGTGGTATACCTTGTTGGAAAGTCGAATTCAATCTTGCGCGACTTGGCGACTTGATGGGTCGACAATAAGTTGTCAAAGAACGTCTCCCCTCGAGATGCATTCGAACCACGATGGGGAGATTAGACGGCAACATTACTCGCACTCAGCACAAGGCGAGTCTTGACTGGATGTGCTCAAGTCAAAGCGTTTTTCTTGGATGTATGAACTGCTTTGTACGCGGTGATCCATGTCGTTCGAGGACTGACTAAAGCCTCCGGGCTGTGTTGTCTTGGTATGCCGAATTCTGGTATCAATAGGCTGACGAACTTCCGAATTCGATGATCAATAAACAATCACTAAAATTTGCCGAGTCCAGCCTCGTGCTGCGTCGATGCGACAGATACTGAATGTATGTGCCGCAGTACCAAACTGATTAATGCCAGCGTGCCGACTAGAAGGGACAAACTTGTCGACTTTCCAGAACACATGGCGTATTGCATTGAGTATCACTGCCCCTCACAACGCTAAGTGCGGCAACGACGACGACTTGCCTTATCCTTGGCTTATGATTGAAGCAGAAAAACAATTGCAGAGTGCTTTTCCAAGGAGGCAAGACGCCGGTGCTCGACCTCCTTACTTATGCCTTTTACCAAGATAACATACCAGCGGCCATTGAGGTGACACACATAGAAGACCATATTTGCGGCTGCGGCGACCGAGCTCACGTGAGACTGCTCCCGATGACATTCTCGCCCTCGTCGTGTGTCAGATCCCGTCCCTCCCAATCTCTCCTCCATGATAAGCGCGGATTGATCGCAAGCTGTGAGAAAACACGGTCTTTTTCTGGATCAAGGTGTGGGTACGGACTGCCAGCGAGACGACCGGTCACGATAGATAGTGTTGCTGTTCTTACGCAAAGTTGATGAAGCCACAAGGGAAACGGATCCTAGCAGTTAGGGAGGAGGACGTTCTCGCTGTGGCTCATACTGGTATAAAGAAACCAGTCTTTTGGTGTCCCTGCTCAACCTTTTCAACAAGCAGTGACTGCTGTTAGCCTTCACCCTAATGTACAACTCTACAACACCTTGAGCCATGCACTTGTAAGTCTGCTGTTATGCCCAGCAGCTAGACCCATCATGTATTTCCGTTTTGATGATGTGCAAAATTTGGACAGGGTCATGGTGATTGTTCGTCAAAAATCTGACATCGAGCCGAGCAGACTCAGTATCGGCTTAGGAAAGAGAACAATGCTTTTCTTCTTGTCAAAAATGCCCACAATCCTGTACGGCACAGTTGCTCGAATCAATCCATAGTCAACGATATGCTAAAGGTACCAAAAATTCAGGGCGCCGAATATACTACGAGGCGTCACCCTCCAGTCGACGATACCTCACAAACGGTGCTAGGAATATCATGATGTGGCTTCCTTCGTTATCTCTCAAAGACGCCAAATTGGGATTTATCTAAGTAGAGAAAGATCAGTCCTTGAGTCCGCTAGTGAGTGCTCCGTAAGATGGAGGGTCTGATACTGACATGCGTGATGCGTCAAGCAAATCCCACCACACCATGTACAGAGTCGACGAACGTCGGGAACGAACGCTCCCAAGGGACGTTCGCAAAATTGCACACTCTAGGTCACCTTCAACCTGCAAAAGCAATACTTTCGATGCTTGGAGGACTGAATAGATCTATTCCCAACAAGCAGCCGATAATCTGCCTATGCTGGTGTTTACTCATCTCCTAGATGAGCATGTAAAGCTGGAACTGCTTCACGCATCTAACCAACAGGCATCTGTCTGTTGGTGCAATCGTCTTTCGAAAAAAAGCGCCTCAGGACTTTACAAAGCCTCCGCCCTCGCCTCCATTCCTTCTTCAAAATGTAGTGTAAAGCGAAAGGATCGTAGTTAAGGCAAGCAACATATATTTGTGGAAAAGAAGCTTGAAAGGTGAGACGCGCTTTCGACTTTTGTGTTTGTGATCATAAAAGTTCGCCAAGACCATCCCACATTCTCTTTTTGCACTGTTATAGGCAGATTGAACATCATCAATAGTCGTGTCGATACGAAGCAATTTCAGTGATGTCGCAGACGTGGGGAAGAGCCTTGCAAGCTGTCTCCGGCGTTCGAGATTTGTTGGATTCGCCACTAAGCGTCTACTCCGCCACCCAATATTTTGTTCCCACCACCACTTCTGGATGTTGCGTTTGAGGGGAAAAAAAAAGAACACTATACATCGACTCGTGCTCTCAATAGCACAATAAAACAAAAATTTCGAAGTCATCTTGTTCTAGATAGGCAGTCAGTACCATGGTGATTGTGAGGAAGTTGTGGTTGTGCTTACTGCATGTGTCTAACGGCTTTGTTAGTAGGATGTCCAATTTGGTGCGCATGCTCCGGTTCGAACTTACCATCCTTAGTGCAGGGGCCATGCTAATCTTCTCTGTATAGTTTCAAATTGACTAACGTTCCGAAGAACGCAAAACTTGGAATCTGTTCAAATATAATATGACAGATGTTCACATATGTAATCGTGCCTCGAAATTCCATGGCTTCTAAGTGCATGGTTTGATGAAGAGTGATATCTTTCATCAAGGACCCCTGCGGCGCGTTGGATTTTCCAAACCTTGTTGCTGTTGGCCTCAGTATCGAAAGGTGAGAGTGTGCTGCAATATTTTTGCACACATCGGCGCGACTGACTGCGTGGTTCCGATATTCTACCGTAAACCTCGGACTCGTTCAGCCTACGAACACGTCGGCCCAAGTAGTGCTACTCGTCAAACAAATTCTATGTCCTATCAGTCTACACACAGCCTCCTCCGCCAAAGACAGAACAAGGCATATAGAATACAGAAATTCGCCACAAAAGGTATGCAGCTATTCCAGTGGTCAACACATCGACAAAGCGAGTGATATTACGGTAGTAAGTTATGTGCATCATAGATTCTTTCGCAGCGATATCTCCCCCTCCATCACCAGCAACCTTTTCTCAGGGAGCTGTCGAAAGGCATGGTTATTATGAGATTGGTTGCCTTAGGATCGGAGAGTGCTAGTCTCATCCACAGCATCAGAACGTGTATAATACAACAGAACGTGTCGGATTTTCATCGGCTTTCGCCGATTACCCATGATCATGACCGAGCCTCTCGGCGTTCGTCATGAGCTCTTGCAACCTGCCACGTCGAACGGCATCAGCAACTTTTTAGGACGTTATCCCACGACCACAATCTGATACTGCACAGGGGCATGGACAAGTCGACTCGAATGTGAGGATCAAAGTTGCTCCATCGTCTGCGACAGCCAATCCAAAGTGCGATTGCCGGGTCCATTTTCAACTCATCACAGCAACAACACAATTCTCACACTTCTACCACAAGACATTGATACTAATGACCCAGAGCGAGCTGGAGCGCAGTCACCATTTCAATATATATAATGCAAGCAACAATTGGTGGTCAATCTCGATAATTTCAAACTAATTTACATTGATGACCATCTCCCAGTTTCTTTCTCTTCCTTGAGAGTCGTTTTTGTAGTGTCAAGGTCTGCGATTCAAACCTCAACCGAAGTCTCGTTACCTTGGGCAGTCTCAGCTTCAGCCGAGACTTCCTCCGTGTGGGCTGTGACAGCTTCAGTTGAAGATTCGTCTTTGGCGACGTCATAAACGCCCTTCGAGTGGTCTTCGGCGAACATCGTCATGATCTTGCGTACTTGACCGTGGCTGTATCTGCACTCTTCTCTCTTGCAGTGGCCATTGCAGATCATATCGCAACAGGTGACCATGACGTCGTGCGAGAATTCACAGCCATCCTTACGACACTTTGGTCTGCTTGTGTTGAAGTAGCACACCTTCTTGAGTGTGCATTTCTCGCGGTGAGGACAACCCTTAGTGCTGAGACTGATGGGACAGAACTGCATCAGGTTGGCGATTTCGGCATCGTATGCTTCTCTGTCATTGATTCTGTCGTCCACGTACTTGTCAACGGGCACATGGTCAGACTCGTTTGCCGACTCGCATCCACTGAAATCCATTTCGAAGTCGACTTCATCGTCGGTGTCGTCGTCAGTTTCTTCAATGTCGACGGCGAGCGTGTTGAAAGCGCGACTGTGGCGGTGTGGAAGAGCCTCGATGAACAGGATGTTGCTACGGTCCATGGGCTCGAGCTTGATCTTGGGCGGTCTACGCATGACAAGAGCAGGCTTGATAGTGAGGACACGCTGCGCAGAGACATTCTGCCGAGCGGGAGCAGGCTGCTGCATGGTGGCATGATGCTGCACAGAGAAGTGCGGATGGCCTGGCATGGTGTGAGGGCTCTGCGCAGAGACGTTCTGCTGAGCGGAAACGGGCTGCTGCATGATGGCATGGTGCTGCGCGGCGAGCGACTGCAGTTCTTGTTCATGGAGAGTGGTGACAAGCTCGTTGAAGAGCTTCTGTTGGCTCGAGCTGCAACCTGGTAGCGAGGTAGCATACAACTCGAGCGCATGGTGCGTGACGTGGTTGATCATGGTTGGTAAAGGGGCACAACGATTCAGCCTCAGGCTTGAATGATGTGATGGAAGGAAGAAGAAAGAGGAAAGGGGGTTGCAACTTGAGAGGTCAAGGGAGAAAGAAGATCAAGAGGGATAGTGGAAGAAGTTGAGAGGTGAGAGGTGAGAGGTGAGAGGTGAGAGGTGAGAGGTGAGAGGTGAGAGGTGAGAGGTGAGAGGTGAGAGGTGAGAGGTGAGAGG